GAAGCGGTTTTGATGAGAGAATATTCATAAACTATGGGCTGTCCACCGATTTCATGCAATGCAAACAAAATCTCCCTACGTACAAAAAAAAAAATTAGTTTAGAAACAAATATAGGTTCTCAATCAATTATATAAATGCTGGATACAGATTCTCAACTAGGACTGATAATTAGCCGTTTGCTATCAACTAAATATTTAATTAATTTTCAACTAATTTGGTTAGTTTGTTGAACTTATTCAGCCCAAAAAAATTTGTTGTTGAACGTATTTCTTCAATAAAAATTTATAGATTTTCAACTCAAAATAAATTGATACTTTATCAATTAATTAAAATTTGTAATCTCTTTTCGATGTGAAATCTATAAATTTATGATATCAACAAAAATCAATATAAAATAAATTTTGGGTTAGATCAACAAAACTATTTTAGGTTGTATTAATTGTAGATCAGATCGATTGACCGGATTGATTTTCGGTGTTCTTATATTTAGCTTAAAAAAACTAAAACTAATAGAACAAATAAATTAACTTATATTTCTTATAAATTACTTGTTCATTTTTTTTGTTGCGGTGGTAATAGTATTAGTTACGTTTCCACTTCTTAACTAGTTAAATTTAGACTATTGAAAGAAAATTACTAAAATCGTATTGAAATTCTTTCAGGTATATATACAATATAAATATTAAGCAAAAAGACATAATCGTTCTTCTAAACTAAAGGTTTTATTTTAATAGACCTAGTAGAATTATAAAATGATTCGAGGAATTGTCCTTAACTAGACAATAATATTATGCTTTCTTGTGGAAGTCAAAATAACTGTTCCCCAAAATTAATATCTAAAGCCTAAACTATTTGTTCGAAAGAAAAAAGAAAAAAACATTTTCTGCATTCCGCATCTCTACACCTGCATCGCATCCCCCGATTTAAGCTTATTCTCTAAATGACACACACCATATATTACTAAAATAATCTGTTGTTCATATTCTATTAAAAAAATACTAATAATTACTTTTCGTCAATAACAAGTAGTAGTATTGTTTTTAGTCTTGTTTTATTTTAACTATGAGAGGATTTGTTTTGGAAAAAACATATTTCTTCACATTGTTATTTTTGGCGCATACGGAAAAGATGCGTGGTCGCCTGGCATTTGCAACATGAACACGTGGACGCTTCGAGAAAAGCCACGTAGGTTTGTGCTTGAAGAATTCACGTGGTCTTGGCCCCTTCTCTTTGTCATACATTCACCTTGAGAACCGAATCAGGTCAATCTTTGTTTATTTTAACCTTGTTTTATTTGCTCTGCTCCAAAATGCTTAATTGGAGAATTAAATCTGATTATTTTTATCGGACTTTATTGTTATTTTTTAAGATGAAATGTTGTTTACATTTTCAGTATCAAATCATGGAGTACTATCTTGTATTGTATGTAATGTGCAAATTAAAGTCTTATTTTCAATATAATATTGATGAACAAATATCTAAGTCATTTTTCATATATTTGAACATTGTAAAACCTAGTTATAGCTAAATAAAATGAATGATAAATATTAATTCATTTTTTTTAAGGAACCAAATAAGATAATTATATGTTCAATAAAAAAAGAAGTCCAGGAAAGGTTAAAGTTTCTAGTGTTTTAAAAAGTAAACTACAATTGTAGTATTTTTTTTTTGGAACAAATTGTGGTATTTTTTAAACAAAAACACAATTGTAGTTGTGGTATTTGATGGTATTTTTAAATAATAAAATTAGGGCTTTTAAAAGAAATTAAATCCAGAATATAGATTTTTAGCTGGAATCTGTCAAAGTTCAAACAGAGCATCAGCCCTCGTTGTTAGCTGGCAGCAGTACTAACCATTTACTTTATCCTCTCTAGTTTTTAACATTTTGAAGTTAAAACTTTCCTTTGCATAGATGTGCATCAATTTTTTTTTAAAAAAAATAAATAAATCTAACCATCTCAGTCGTGGAATATATATTAGATCTAATAAAAGGTTTTGACTTATGATTAGAATCCAAAGAGAAGTTAATGGAAAATGACGAGTACGTACAGAAGAAGACGAAGTTATAATTAAATTTTGACGAGCAGCTTTTTGGTTAGTCGAGTCATGTGAAGATGAGGAAGAGGAAGAAGAAGAAGAAGAGGAAGAGGAAGAAAATAATGGAGAATGGAGATCATTAATTATGGAGAGGGTCAGGAATCAGGGATACAGTAGATGACAGTTCACTGAATCTCAATGTGCCCCCACAAACCCTCACGCATATCACAGCTTCTGAATACAAACAAGCCTCGATCCATTCCACATACTCGTCCGTCTCTTCTCCTTCTTCTTCACAACACTCATACTATATCTATATCTATATGTTTATAATAATAAACACCTATATACTATAGTATGTATTCAAACAGTGTACATGCATATACATATACGTATGCTCATTTGTGGATGTGTGCCTATAGAGACACGTGGTGGGCAGAGTTTATTTATCTATGTTTTTTAGCACTTACGTATAGATTTAAATAGATTGACCCTTTTTTTGGTATGTCGTTAATCATTGTGTTTTTTTCCTTGCAATTTATAATTAAATCAAATATATAGTTTTAAACCTTTTTTTCTATTTGCTCAGGGAATTTTAAAATACCATTAAGTCAGGTGTTTAAAAAAAAAAAAAATCATTTACACTCCATGTACATGTGAATGCGAATGTGATTGTGTGTATATGATATTGGTTAATTATAGAGTGAAAGTGAGTGAACTGAAAGGACGAGAGAGGCCTTAGACAGTTTGTTTGTTTTCGTGAACATGGAGCTTCTCTTTGCCATGTGCTCTCTCTCTTCTTCTTTTTCTTCATTCCTTTATTTTATTTACTTTCTTTTAGTTTTGTTTCTTTTACAGTTTTATATATGAGAATGGCACTGAAGATGGAGCAACAAGTTCACATGCAAACATACAAATTTACATATAAAAAAATGAAAAAGCTACATTCTAGGCATATGCGTGATTTTCCGTTGATTTGTTTCGTATTTATATCATATATTTACTAGTCAAGTAGCTAGATTTTCTTCTACAAGTGTAGTTTCTGATTTAACCCCTTTACTTTCACATTTGCTATTTTACCCCCCCCCCCCCTCCCTCTTATAGTGCAGTTGAATTGGTGGAAGACCAAAGTTCTGAACGTTCCAATTATTTCGGTGATTAGTATAGAATAATTACAGCGAAGAGCCATCTGAATTATGAAAACTTGACTTTAAAAGCGTAAATTAAAAGAATAAACGTCAATATCAAACATAAGACAAATGTGAACATATGGCAATTATTTCTACGGTACTATGCTATGCATTAAAAAAGTTGGGATTACTATTCAGAAACGATACCTTGAATTAAGGGTCAAATTGCAATTAAAAACAAAACTGATGCTGATTATCTAATTAAGGCAAGATTTAGACGCAATTTAGTTATTTGCGTATCCACACAATAGACAATTACGTACGCTTGTGTGACCAGATACTAGTAATTTCCACTCAATCACTATTTCATCATTCAGTTTTGTATATTATTTAATTTATAAAATAGTAATATATGGCAGACAAAATAAATAATTAAAGCAAGAGGGGTAGACAATGTTGATCCGTTTTCGTCGAGACACAAAATTTGTGGGATCAAAGCTTTCCTGCAAGTAAATGGAATTAATATCAACGTATACTATCTTTCTTGTTATTTGTCAATTACGTAAAACCAATTATTAGACTCAAACGGTTACATTTTCACTTATTTAAGACCTGGATTTGATAGAGTTCAGCTTTTTTGCTTGTTTTTTTTTTTGTTTTTGTTTTGCCTAACAATTTGAGTCCGCCTTTCTATTGGAAAGAGATCATTTACATGATGTTAATCAATCAATAATATTATAGAATTTCGTGAAAACAAAAAAAAATCAAGTCTTCAGACTCTTAACTAAAATATTACCTTTTATATATTAGTGCCGTCGTCTCGTCTTATTATGACCTGAAATTAATATATAACATTATACGTATATGAATTATATAGAGGAGAAACAATAGCGTATTAAACACATATATGTCTCTACCAAAAAAAAAAAAACACATATGTTGGATTTACGGTACGTGTCAATATTTTTAAAAATTCTCACGGTTAAACGTTGCTCCATGCATGTCAGTAAAAAAAAAAAAAAAAAAATCAACACATAGGTAATAGGGAAACAATTTTTTTTTCAAAAAGTTAAATATTTGAACGTTTAGTAGGAAATGTACAGAGTAAACAGATCGATAATTAATTAATCTTCGTCTAAAAACTGAAATTATTTGAATGTTTCATCGTATTTATTTTGAAGGACTAATCTTATGGTATATCTATGACAAACGAAGAACTTCGAAAGTGTTAACCGCACATATATATTACAGTAATATAAATCACCAAACCAAAAGCTCTCTTATAAAATTATTCAGTTATGGTTTCCTCCTACCTTTCTACAAACTATGAGACCTTGTATTCATTTAAAAAAAAAAAAAAAAAAACATGTGCGTCTTATATAATTTTGAGGAAAAATCGATATTAACATTAGTAAACTTTTATTTTGCATAGGCAATACTTGCCAAATTAAAATTTACATGGATTCATGTCAAGTCTTGTATTATATATAGCTCCTCTATTCCTAGCTAGAGGCTAGAGCTAACAAAAATGTTTTTATTGTTTGTCACGAGATAACAATAAAATGTGTTAACAAAACAAAACAACGAAAAAAAAAAAAAAAAAAACCATACATTATATTTAAAGCCCATAGATATTAAAATAGAGTTTATAAAAATATCAAGGGTTCCCAAATTATAACGGGAATCTTTAATTTAATCAACACTATGCTCTCTCACTCGCACACATATCTGGACTCTGGATTTTATATATAAATACACTTACACTTCATCTTCTTTAATCCACAAAACTCACAAACACACACTCTGTTTTCTCTTCATCTATTACTAGCTAGAGTTATTTCAGAAAGATGGAACTGTCGACTCAGATGAATGTGTTCGAAGAGCTTCTTGTTCCGACAAAGCAAGAAAACACCGACAACAACAGCAACATCAACAATCTGAGCTTTAATGGCGGATTTGATCATCATCAATTCTTCCCACATGGATGGAATATCGATTACCTCTGTTTCAACAACGAAGAAGAAGACGAAAATACCCTTTTATATTCTTCATCTTTCATGGATCTAATCTCTCAGCCTCCTCCATTGCTTCTTCACCAAACACCACCATTACCACCACCGTCGTCTTCATCTCCGCCGTTGATCTCCTCCGCCGCCACAACATTCAATTACCCTTTTCTCGAGGCGTTGCAAGAGTTTATCGACTCTTCTTCCTCTTCACCTCCATTGATGCTTCCAACTTCTCACGAAGAGAACTTTAACACTCCAACGTCGTATCCATCGCCATTAATGGAGTCTGATCAGAGCAAGAGCTTCAGTGTTGGATACTGTGGAGGAGGAGACACAACAAACAAGAAGAAGAGCAAAAAGCTCGAAGGACAACCTTCAAAGAATCTCATGGCGGAGAGACGACGGAGAAAACGGCTTAATGATCGACTCTCTATGCTCCGATCCATCGTTCCCAAAATCAGTAAGGTAAATTAAAAAAAAAATAGCCTCTAATGATTTAACCTTTTTCAACTAATTATAATCAAAATGGTCAAAATCAGCGAAAGATTCTTCCTTTTATTTAATGAGTGGATTAATGTATTATTATATGGGTTCATAAAGAGATTAGCCTTTTTAATCATCTTGTTAGAAACACCTACTGTATATAGTTAAATCCCAAAAATCTAACCCTAGCTAGATACAAATTTTGTTTTCTTTGAAGATTTAACATTTCATTCAAATAAATATAATCAAATTTGGTCAAAAATCAACAAAAGATTCGTCACTTTTTATTGAACGAATTAATATATTAAATGAGTTTCATCAAAACTTAGCCTTTTTTTTTTGTTTTTAACATTACATGTTTGTTTCTTCTTGTTTGAACCTTTTTTCAAGATTGTTTAATTATTGTGTTCTTACTTTTATGGGAATCTACAGAACCGGTTGAAAAGTGGATATATAAATGATTAATCAGTTAAAGTTTTTTTAAAAAAATCAGATGGACAGGACATCAATATTAGGAGATGCCATAGATTACATGAAGGAGCTTTTAGACAAAATCAACAAATTACAAGACGAGGAACAAGAACTTGGAAGTAGCAACAGTTCACATCATCCTAAGCTCTTCGGTGATCTCAAGGATCTTAATACAAACGAACCTCTGGTCAGAAACTCTCCAAAGGTACAACAAGAAATTAAGATATTTTTTGATGTCACTCGCTATTCTTGATTTTGGGAGTTTACATATTAACCCCTGTATTTATGAATTGTTACAAAAGTCCCCCCCCCCAAAGTTTTCACAAAAGCACTGTTTGATACGGGATAATTTTTGTTAATCTTCGTTATGACTTATGTATAGTTTGAAGTGGATCGGGGAGATGAAGATACTCGACTTGATATATGTTGTTCGCCGAAACCGGGATTGCTTCTATCGACTGTTAGTACATTAGAGACTCTAGGCTTGGAGATTGAACAATGTGTTATTAGCTGCTTTAGTGATTTCTCTTTGCAGGCTTCTTGTTCCGAGGTACTTGTTCATATACATATATATATGTTAAAATAATACTATGATTATTCAAATTATAGAGTTCTGATGGTAAGATTGATGAGCGAGTGCGTGTGTCTTTTATAGGTAGCTGAGCAGAGGGATTTCATTACCTCGGAAGATATAAAGCAAGCACTATTCAGAAACGCAGGTTATGGAGGAAATTGCTTGTAATAATGAGTTCTTACGATGAAATTAATAAATCAAACATGTTATTTATTTTTTTATAATATTAGCGCTTTTAAACGTTTGGAGTTTCTTTCCATTGTGAGTTTGAATTTTCTAGGGGAAACATTATATAAGTCATAGAGTTGTACACAGAAGAATAAAGGAAAGAAAAAATGAGAGATCTTTTCTTGAGGAATAATTGGAGGTTGTAACCTTAATTAGAAGTCCAAGATCGAATTCAGATGTAATGATGTTTTAGTGGATTAAAATATTGATTAAGAAAAAGGTAAAAAGTTTAAATGGTAATTTTGCTTTGGGGGAAATGCCCAAGGGCAGGATAATTGAATTTAGGGTTTTGTATTAGAATATGTCAATGACCGCTGTCTCCAATCAAGAAAGATACATCTAATCAAAATTAATAGCGTATTAATCATAAAGTTTTAAGGACTAATCATGAGGGTGATTATAATGCTAATGACTGTGCCTCCAGGCCCAGTCCTCCACCATCAACGCATTTAATATACATTACAATGGCTAATGCCTGATGGCACTGTTTCAGTATGTCAACAAAAATTAATCTTGCCGGTGAGATTTTTAGTTAAGAGAGTCCTCCTAATTTAGGCCTAATCAATACATACTCTTCTTTTGGATTTTAGAGTTATAATTAGGACTTCTTTGAAAAAGATTGGGCCTCAGAATAATGGTTTTGTATTTTAAGGCCAGAATCTTGTCTTGGGTTTTTCTATAAGAGTCTCTTTCGAAACTAGAGACTAGAGAATAGTGAAATGAGGAAAAAACGAATTGTAACTACTAACTAGTCACTGCCTTAATTGATTCAGATGCGAATCGTGGTCGCCCGATTTTCAATAGGGGTGGGCACAATTCCCGTCCCATCCCGTTCCAGTCCCAATCCCAAATTCCTGTATTATATAGAAATGTGTTTCCCATATGGTACAACATATTGATTCCCATTTGGGAATGAGACAGGACGGGACGTGAGTGAGAATTCCCGATGTCTCATTTGTCCCGAATTATATATAAATAATAAATTAAATATTTAAAATATATTACCAAAAAAATAATAATTATTTATTAATATATTATTTTATATAAACGAAAGTTAAAACTTAAAAGTTGTACCCTAAAGTTCTAACTTATAAGTTATAACCTAACAAACAAACAAATATCAACTTCTACCTTAAAGCTTTTAAATTTTAATAATTAAGTTAAATTTGATTTTATTTGTTTTTTGGTTAATTTATAATCTTATATAACATGTTATTATTACTTATTAGGATTTAGGAGGTGAATAATAGACGAATATAAATTGAGTTTTTTTTTTTATATAATTGTCAATTTATCGTGTTGTTAGGTTTTTTGAGAATTCTCATCCCATTCCCGGCCCATTCCAAATTTTGAATGAAACACATATGGAACAATTATTTTGATTTTCATATTCCCGTCTCATTCCTATTCCCGCAAAATCCCTCCCATATTTCCGTTTGCCCCTCCCTAATTTTTAATAGTCGACGTATTATTAGGATTAATCTCGCTTGGTCCGCGCTGGACTCTTAAGAGTCTATGTATTGGTCTCGTTAAAGAACATCTATTAAAGTATAGACTTGGTGGGCTTTTATTTTCTGGCCCAAAATATTAAATCTTGTTGACCCATAGAGAATTTTTCATAGTAATTTTGTATTTTTTTTTTTTGAATATCGAAATACAATACTGGTAAGCTTTATTCGCTTACAAATAATTCAATTTATAAACTACAAATTACTAGTTAAAACTCCAAAAATCGATGATTATTTTCTAGAGATTTTTTACAAATTAGTAACAGAAAATGCTATATTGCAATTTATATACACACATATTATTTCGAGAGGATAAAGACTAAATAGTTTTTTTCTAAACTCTTTTATTTGGTCTACTGAAAAAATAATAGATTTTCACTCGGCTTATTGCATTTACAGAATGGAAACTATAATCATTGGACCATCACATATATAGAATGAAGTTAGACTTCCAATAAGGGAAAGTACTCACAAAACATATTAGTTCTTTACATAAGAAAGAACTCCACTTGAGCACTACGAAACAACTTGCCACAGTAACACTCAGTGGCACGAGTACAATGAAGACAAGGCCTACAATTCATTTAACTCATTTTTCTCACTTAGGTAGACAATTAAACTTGATCAGACAATGATTAGAAAACTGAGCAAACTTAAATCAAAATTTTCTACAAAAAAAAAATTAAACAATAACAAGAACAGTGTCTTATTTAACATAAAAATCGCTTGAAATAGCAAATGACTATAAATGATATTTAGTAAGGTCTAACCAAAAAACTTAGTTATGCAACTTGCAAAAATATATCTACGCGTGTGTTATATATAACACATTGTCCACATCCACGTTTTAACATTATCTACATTTTGGAAACTAATGATGAACCCTTTTTGAATTGTGATTTAGCCCCAACAAGTTGTGTAGCAGCCCTTTTCTCATTCATACCTGACAGATATTACGAAACAATAAAGTCGAAAAAGAGAATATAATGGGACATATATGGATTGATAATGGTCAGAGTTAGTTTGTTTTTTATAGTATGATTAAAAAATTACATTAAATTACAAAGCATTCATCAAAATACTTTTAAATTAATTTAAAAAACATAGATTACACAATATAAGAATCTATCCGTAATCCAATTAGTGTCGCGCATAATTACGATGGATAATAACCTCCGGGAGGTTACCGACCACAAACTGCATTATTTAAGATTTGATTGCTTTTTAATTATTTGGCCACTTCCATGTTTGTAAGCAAATTGTGTGCTTAAGAATAAAAGAAAAACAGGGGTTGGTATTAATCCATGACGAATTTTTAAATTATTAAAAGTACATGTACCGAACATCTTACATGGATATCCACTTCGGCCGTTTTTTAATATAAAAAAAAAAGAAACATAGTCCTTTTTTTGTTCTGTATTCGAATTCTTAAGAACGATCAAGTCACTGTAGCTAATATATTAAAGAAAAGGGAATAAGAATGAATAAGAATAAAAATAAAAAGAAAATATAGAAGGTGACGTCAGGAAATAAGGAAGGGATAAGAGAAGCACTAGGAAATGTTTCCCCCATGTGATCTTCTTCAATCTCCGGCCCGCTCTTGTCTTGCTTATCATCCGTACGTTTTACATTATACTCTACTTTTCATCATTTAAACAAAAAATCAATTAATTTTTAAAAATCTATAAGTTTCTTAGTTTTTTTTTTCATTTGACTATTTATTGTCTGGGTTATTTCGAGGATTGTACGCAGTGCGTACCAACTATCTCGAAATTTTTATATATATATTTTTTTACGACTATCTCGAAAATTTATTAGAAAGTTATTTGTAAAAAACCCATAATACTGTTTATAAATAAATAAAATAAATAGTTTTGAAAATTTGTTATACAAAATAAAAAATACTTGAGCTTATAAGTTATTGAACATTTCGTATTTTTGAATAATGACCACAAATTATAATTTTATAAGATATTATAAAATGTTCATATTCCACTTTTATGAAAATTTATGTTCCCACTATAGCATTTTATTAATTACATTATACAACATTTTCTGAAATTATAAAAGTAGTTATAAACGAAACTCATACAATATATTTTATTATATAATTTCCCAGCTGAAGAAACAAAAATAAATAAAGAGATTAAATGGCATGGTCCCTGTAAGTTTTCAGCGGTGATTGCGGTGCCCTCACATGCTTTCATATGACTACACAGTATTTAATTTGTTTTCATGATAATAGTTTATAAAATTCGTTGTAAATAAGAAAATTTTAAATCAACTCTTTTTTTTGGACAGCAACCCTAGTCAAACTTATGTGTTTTTCTACATCTACTCGATCTGTGAACCAACTTATATATATATATATATATCATATAAAACCTGATTCATATTTACGCACTAGTTTAAAACTAAATATGTTTTCCCCAACATAATTCGCAATAAACAAAATATAGAAAGATCTTTTAAAAAAAAATAAAATAAAGAAAGAACTTGATTCATATTCTTCTTATTTGAGGGTCTAAGTTTCTGGAAAATATCGAAAATTCACATTTTGTGTATATTGAAATTTGAGCTGAGATATAGTGATGTAAAGTGCTTCCATGTTACTGGTGTCTTTATAATCGTTTAGTAAATATGCGTTATATATATAAATACCAACAAAATGGCGACAAACAAAAATACCAACAAAAATAATTTCCAGAAAAATCGGTCGTGGAAGAACCACGGAGCATAGATAACGTCATCAAAGGAATCAGTACAGTTAATTTGTACTTTGCAGTGTAGGACGCACTTGAAACAACACTGTTTCTTTTGCATTTTTCGTCAGAAAAAAAATCTATATGGGACTCTTCCCAAGCATTAAATTACTTAATTATCGATTGAATGAAATTAGTTTATTTTGAATGAAAATACTTGTTATTTTATGTCGTTGTGATGCGTCTGAAATTCGAAACTTGATATGATAAAAGATATATTTGATTCGAAACTTCGAGTAGTTTACGAGTAGCATTTAGTTTGGTATTCTTTTTTTTTTGGGGGGGGGTTACATTATTGATAATTAGTGGACTTGAGCAAAAGATAAATCTCTATCGATCGGATTCGGGATTATTTGGATTAGAATATTAGGATCAACCAATAAATTAACAAAAGCTGAAATTCAGTTTTAATAATGACAAATGAGAAAATATACGAATAATTTTTTTAAAATAGTGAAATTAGGTCATGAAGTTGATTGTTAAATTGGAGGGGTCCATGTGGTGGGGATGTGTTTTGAGCACTTGGTTAAGAAACTTGCTAGCTAGTGACGTCAATTTTCTAATTGGAAGCTTTAGTGCCAAATTTATATTTTTTATTTATTTGAGGGTCCCTAAACTTTATCAAAGTTTAAAACAGAATAGAAATTAACGGATTGGGGATCGTAATTAACGGAGAGCTATTCGACGTCTAATTCGTATTTTATCCTAAGAAGTAAGATTGTAAGAACAACCAAAATCACTGTTGGTCGTTAGACGTCGATTTCAGTAATACCATAAAACAAACATGTCTCGTTTTGTAAGACTTTCAATACATTTAATTATATTATCCGTTTTGTCTTAACCAATACAAACGCTATATATCTATCTACTGGTTGGAAAAACAATTATTGTTTCATTTGTCCATATATACTGTAATTGTAACAATTATTTATATAATTAAGTGCAATATGAATTTCGAAAATGTTTCTTATATTCAATGATTAATCATCAAACTTCTTACCGTAACGCACAAGATTGAAAATTTATTGATTTGATTGTTTTTTTCTAATTAAAGCATTAAACGTGGTTGCATAAAACACCTTTTTAGAATTAGATTACTAATAAAAATGGAAATGTGAAGAAAAATGCAATATGCGTTTGCTACTTTAGGTACAATTCAAATAAATCTCGAGATGTCCTAAATTGGCAGTAATCTATTGTTATGGTAAAAATAAAAATAAAGAAAAAGTATTTTATATAGTTTCGTCTATCATTTGTAGCCAAAGAAAACAGAATTAAATCAGGACATCGACATCGAAAATATCGTCCGACGAAACGTGCCATGTGTTTTGTTGTTGCATACATAGGTAATAGCTCAAATCGATGTAAAATGATAACATAAAAACAAAATAACCATGCAATTTATTAAAAAAAACTATATTATTTAAACAATTACGTTTTAAAAATGTTTTAATCTCAAATTCAATTTATTTTGTTTAATACCAGTGTCATTCTATTTATTTTGTTTTTTTTTCTCGCACGATGAAACCATTCCATAGTATTACCAACCGAATACAAATTAAATAATCGGTGAAAAAAATAAAAATGTAATTTTATGATCCATATGTACATCAAAACGAGAGACATCGACATTTTGATTCCTCCTTTCCTGTTACCATATAGCTAATTAAATCTAATACAGAGGAACGGGAAAACGCGGCGGCTTAACAGGCGGCGAGTGCGGCGGACTTTGAACATCGACTGTGAGCTTCTCCGGTCGAGGCGGTGCACACGGACACGGCAATGCTATAAATTTCGGCGTATTATCTCCAGGCATCAACACCGGTACACTCAGATTCTGGGTTTTCTTCAAATCCTGTTCATAATCATCATATCTAGTTAACTCACTTTATTTACTTTTATATGTTCATAGAGATTTTCATAATTAGTTCTATAACATGGCCCCTATTATATATTTACTTTATAGTGAGTAACTAAATGTTCATATTTTGCCTCTAATCCCCAATAAATTACAATTTCATCAAGACAGCAATGTTATTTAATTTTATTTTTTTCCTAACTTACTTTCCGATTTTCTAAATTGTAATTAAAAGCACATATTTTATTTATGTAGATTTAGCACTTGTATGTGATATATATTTTTGTTAATTAATGAAAATAATAATAACTACTTAACTCTAAGAATTACGCTTATAAGATTCAAAATGGTAATCTTCTACGAGACAAAATTAACATTTTTGGTAATATTATAGTTTGAGAACTGGGAGAGGAGATTTTACCGGAAAAGGGGTTTTAGGTTTGAACGGAGAGGATTCTATGTCCGCGGAGGCAGCGGAGGGATGACCAGAGGCATTGGCCAAAGAGCGGCGGAGAGAGCGATGTTTGTCCCAATGGTAACAGCAAGAGAATATTCCGGAGAGGCTGAAAATGATGATGAGTAGCAGAGCTGTGCCGAGAGGGAATCCCAGTGACGGCCGAGAAGCGTCCATGTGCGGCGGAGAGAAATCTTGAGTGTTCTCCATCTACGGTGGCTATATAATCAACGGCTGAGATTGTGAGCTGATTTTGTTCTCTCATGTGTTAGAGAGAGAGAGAGAGAAAGAAAGAGTTTGTGAATTTGGTGAAGACAGGGGACGGGGAAGCAAGACGAGATATGGAGCGTTTATTTATAAAAGAAATTTTATGGAAAAATACTAATTTTGATTTAAAATTGTTTTACATTACAACTGTTAAAAAGTTTCTCCCAGTACAAAAAGCAAATATGCTGTACAATAAAGTTGTCCCTTTTTTTTTCGCCGTTGAAATTTTTATTCCCATTAATTATTATACCATCAAAGAGTGGATTTTTTTTTGTGTGGTTTTTTTCAAAAATATAAGGATTATGTTTCTTGACTTTGCTGAACCCTTTCTTTTAATCATTTTATTATTTAATTATGCAGTAATTTCAAAGTAATTTTGTGTTGTTGTTGTTGTACTGGATAAGTTGCATGGGCGAGGAAAATGATTTCTGAGGTGAAATATCTTATTCCACGATGATAAATTAGCAAACTTTTTATTCCTTGGAGATGTTGATAGGAATAATATGTGAGATTCTTTTTACAAAAACGAAGATGGAGACTCCTGCAGCGAAACAAAATGGGATTTATAACATAAAAACAATATGATAAGACAAAATTATGTTGATAAATAATCTGAAAAGAGTTAAAACAACTAAATAATAGTGGCATGGAGCAACATAATTTGTAACGATATTTTGTTTTCTGGTAGTCTGTAAAATGACAACAATAAAATATTTCCAACCAAAACTTTTTAATGCATATTATAATCGTTGTATAAATGATTAACTTCTTAAACGAAATTAATAAAAATGAATAAAATCAAATCGTAAAAAAATATTAAAACAAAGCGTGAAAAAGGGGAGAGAGAGTGGAAAATGTACGTGGAAAGAGAAGAGAGGTGCTGCCTGTACGGAGAAGGCGTGGGCTCCAAGCTCCACCATGTTATCATATTTAATCCTTTTTGCAGTTGTTACCTAATCTTCATTAATTACCCCCTAATCATACTCTTATCTCCATTAGCTACTCCTACCAAATATACTATATTACGCTTTCATTCTGTGTCTTATCTTCATTTAGACTCCCCTTTATAACAAACCCAGAATGAAACATTTCTTCACATTTATGCTGCTAAGCTTTCATGTGTTTTTTCGGTTATATACAAATCAAGTCGGGTAAGAAAGAGTGTTGAAACTTACTTTTAATGACAACAACAAAAAGTCGCAATATTATTTGTTAATTCAATGAATAACGTTAGCCCGTCGATCTTCACCGACGATATTCTATTTAATTTATGAGATTTCACATTATTTTATAAGAGTTTTAGGCATTTTTAAATACGAGAGAAACGTATATGCCGGTACGAGTACTATTATGCTACCAAATCAAACAATTATCACATGATTTGTCTCTGTTCGTTCGAATTGTTTTTGAACTACTTAAATAGTTCTGAAAGAGACTCTTACGTCTTACCAATAAATGTTGTGATGTGATAAACATTTATATTTTCAATAAATGTTGTCGAATAAGTTTTTGTTTTACAATTCTAATACAACTTCGTTGATAATTTCAATTATTATTCTTGTGAAATGGAGATGTATAAGACTATAAGTTTAACTGCGAAAACTAAAATGAATAATACAAGTTATTTTTTTAACATTGAGAATTTGAAGATATGCATTTTTGTAAAATTTGCGAGAGAAAACGAAAATAGTATCATTGTTATGGCCATGTGCATTAACTTTGTGTGGGCGCGTGTTAACAGGCACACCCAAGTTGTAAACGATGGGGAAGAGAAGTCGAGTACTCCTTGATCGTGCGTACGTCTTTTTGCTTTCTTATTATTCATTATCTTTTTAAAAAATAATTACAATTTTAAAGGAGTTCTTAGTTCTTAAAAATAGAAGTTATAGTAAGTAACTTTTTGTGTAATAGAAGTTGTTGAACTTCAAAACAGAAAATGTGGAATTGACGAGTTGTGTTTGGTTCCTACACCGTCCCAAGACAAACAGTCCCCACTTAACACCTAAACATGTCTCCTTCACAAATATACGCTTTCTTGATATTCAACCTTTAAGTCTCTCATCTCATTACCGATATTTTTTTCTTTTCTTTATCAACAAAAATGCTCATTTTCAAATCAATTCATAAACAGCTATTAATCTTGATTGATTATGATAGACAATATGTAACCGTTATACCTTATAATCAAGAGATGACATATATAATTATACTCCCTCTGTTTCATAATAAATATAATTTGGAGAAAATATATTTACAATATATCTGGATGTATTAAACTCAAAACACATCTACATACATCCAGTTGAGAATAATAATTCATTCATAGATTATCCACTTGGGCTCTATTGAGTAAATCCGGAATCCAAGTAAATCCAAATACTGGTATTTACTCCAATCCAACAAAACCCATAATATAGGTGAAATCTGGTGAAAGCAAAAAAAGGACAAACCTAACTCAAAAGATTTCTCGGATGACTATGAAAATCTTGCGTCAAATGTTTGGGACTTTTGCCGGCACTGCATATGACCTTTTTCATTCTTTAATTTTGTCAGTTTAATTAAAAACATTTATAAGGAATTAAAAATTTATAGAAAATAAATAAATCAAGATATTGTCAAATACACAAAACCCTTACGACTCAAAACTACCACACTCTCGAGTTTGAAATTACGAGAATGGACCTGAGCGTTTTTTGGGTTTGGTTGGTCCTTGGCCTTTTGAGTCCCTAAGGGACAAATATCGGTCCATGAATTTTTAAACGACCCAACGATTGAAAGTACAGAAATCGATGATAAGATATGATCATGGAATAGCTTATTATTATAGATTTTTATTTTTATAATGTTTGACGTGTATGTGTACTTGTGAATTTCATAAACATAACATGGTTTGATCGTTGAAGATACCCTAGAAATGCTGTATAAAAATATGAGATAACAATAATTAAATATTTGTCACATGGGACAGTATCAGTAACCCGTATATATACTATCGAAGTCAAGATTAAGTTAGATTTTACGGCTGCTATACAAATCTAATGAAAAACAAAAGAGTAGCTGCCGTGTGGAACTCGAATTTGACAAAACTCTTACTTTTGTTCTGACTTCTAATTTATTTTTGTTTGTTTTAGCTGTATTTTGTTTTTGCAGTTTTTATTACAAATAATGCCAAAAAATCTGTTAGTCTAATTTTAAAGTTCTCCCAACCTTTTTACTTTGGCTACAAAAAAAAAATGCGTGCGTTCGGGATTCAAAGGTTTCACACACATTGGCATGAGAAACGATATAATAATTAACATCCGTTTATTAAACTACCACTGTTTCTTTGCAATTTTACGTTGCTATTTGGATTCCGACATAACAAACTAATTACTATCACATTTGGTATATACTATAAAACCATTAAATATTTTAGTTTTACAGATTTACTTGAAAGTTAGAAGTAGCTTTTGCTACTTTTATATGTCTGAACTGTAAATGGGGCTTGAATTGGTCTCCGCCGTGTCTTTTAGGTCAATGAGTATGTATCCACTAAACCCAACTCACACTTTTCATTTCACAACTTGTGCCTTCCTGTCAAAAATAAAGCTCCATAAAACGTTTTTTAACCATAACCATCATAATATATATATAACCCATGGAGTACATATTATCTACTAATACGATCTGTGTATGGTCTATATAATGGGTATGCAGTATGCTGGGTTTGTTTTGAGAGTGACACCAATCCTTTACTCCAATCTAATCAAAGATAACATAGCGATTTTTTTTGATTCGGTGACATATCTCAATTCTAGAAACAAAAAGATTTAATTATATAGAGAAAATGATTTAATATTCAAGTATGGCTCTTCTTTGTATAGCAAATCCGAACCTGTTGCACAAGTAAAACTAAGCTGTATGGGACCATGTTGATGTAGACTAAGACCACAGGCGATAGGTACTAATGCTAAACACAGGTGTTATTCAATATTTATATAAAATCGGTTTTCTTATATTGAATCCAATTCATATAGAGCCATATATAATATATCTAGCTACAATTTTAAATGTTATCTTAAGTTAATAAAATATCACGAGGGACGAAATATATTACGGGAGATTTATATGTGAAAACTCGAAGGTGTATTTGATTTTGGTCAAATATATTTTAATGGGACTCTCCTATTTCTAAACATCCATGATCACGCCTAGTTACATTGTCTTTTACGAATGCCAAAACCAAATTTATTATTTAATTGCGAAGATTTGATTAGTAGCATGTCGTTTGACCGTATTATGATTTATAAGACGATAAAAATATAACAATTTGAAAATGATTGATAGTCGTTTTGTGTGTAGAGTAAAAAATTATCGAATAAAAGTAGGTATTAAAAAACATTGAAAGCAACGTTACTTGACTGGCCAACGAAGAAAATATCTTAGGTGCATTACGAAATTCAAACGATAAAAAAGTATCTCTTCTTAAACTTACTTCTCTTGTAATTTTTCATTGTCTGTCAAACATTATGTTCCTTTTGGGTTTCACATGTTTGCAAATGATAGATTAGGTTGCATTTCTTAGAAGAAAAACATTAAATGGTATTTAGAATCCTCGCATTTACATACTGACATACCTCCACAAAACAAAATTAAGTCGAGGGAAAAGTGTACTAAATTAATGGGCTTTAGCCATTAAGAATGAAGTGTTTTATGGGCCTATATTATAATATGTGAATAATGAAATTAGCCCAATGTTACATGTATCTTGTAATATGATTCCGTTCAAGTTTGGGCCCAAGTAACAGTTTAACGTGTCTTGTCGTTGATCTCATTCTTATTATTAATTAATTAAATAGAAAATTAGCTTAATTAACTGTAGTGGATCATCATTAATGAAGACTAATAAAATAAGCGTGAAGGACAAAAGCACTGGGGGTCCCATTGTCTTGTCTCAACCCGCATTATTTGCACTCGCACTGCTAATCTGATATACTGTTTTACTTTTGCATTTTGTAATAATTTATCACGATTATTATTGATTTATTGTTTGTTTTACTAATCACTAGTAGTACTATTTAACTAGCCACACATTTTTGTAATACTAAATACTACAAATATATAACTCTGATTTGCACTTTTCTTTATCAAAACTAGCTAGCCCATGTCTTTTTACAGCTCGTAACAAATGGTAGAAGATTTCATGGGTTTTTCTTCTTTATATTATTTTTATGATAGTTTCAGAAATTTATTTCCTTGGCTTATTTAGATCACTGTATAAAATATGAGGAAGAATTTGTGTAAAGCCTTTTTGATGGTGCAGAATGTTTTGTTCTTTCTCTTCGTGCATAAAGTTTTGAAGAAGACTTTATTTTGGAGATTTTATGGTCTTTTGCAAAAGAGAAAGAAAAACTAAAAAAAAGAGGTAAAATAAGATAACGTGAGTGGTACGGAAGAGTCATGATTAAACAGTCAGAGAAACTCATGATGAACGGACACAGGCCTCCTACCATAAAATCCAACGGCCAGATATTTTGCTTCCCATGCGTGTTCCTATTTTCATTTTCACCGCCTGTTATTATTATGCCTCTGATCCATTTAAATGTTTTCATTAGTATATTTACTAAGTGCAATTGTATCAAAAACAAAATTATTTAGAAAAATCGAGTACGCAAACAGTATGAGAAATAATAACATTCAAAACTACTTATACCATTTTTACATTCAACTATCTAGAAGACTAATGAAACAAAACAAGAAAATAAAAAATATACAAAACGCAACATGAAGAAAAAAAATTCAAGTTTGGGGGACTAACATTTGCCGATTGGGCCCCATCGAGTTGGGCCAATCTAAGTTAAAAAAAAAGAAAGGAGGATAAGGAAGTGCAATAATGAAAGTTAAAGAATTTAGGAAGGTGGCGGAATTAAATTAATTAAATGGGAATCGAAAGAAAGAGAAGATTTATCAAAAAGATTAAAGAAGTTAAATGAAAGTTTAATTAAAAAGAAATTAGATTAAAGTGGAGAGAGAAGAGAAAGTGGAGGAGGTTAGATGTCCCATTCACCACCCGGCAAACCGACTTGGAATGCCGCTTTCTTGTCCCCTCTCACTCCTCTTTTCCTCACCTCGTAATTACCATTGTACCCTTCATACTTTAATTCTTAAACAAAATGTTCTCAGCATATAAAGGGTAGCTTAGTCATTTAACACAGAGGATAGAATCGGTATTTAATATTTGCAGACAACCATCCCCTTTCGGGTGGAGCCAGAAAGTGGAAAATTAAAATGATCCGACCCCCGACAATATATCAACGGTACAGCTCCCTTGATACAGATCGGACGATCCAGATTTCTCGTCTGGATTAAGATATGAGCCGTTGGATGAGAATCCATCACAAAGAAACCGTAAACAAAAATGCGCAACTTTCTCCACTAATTTTCAATTCTGCCACTTTCTTTAATTCCTTTTTGTTCTTTTTTTATAAGTATATTTATTTAATTTTTTCATCTCGGCTACGAGTTTCTGGGTGATGATAATTAAGCTTTTCTGCTTTAATGGAAGGACCTTGACACCTCTCTCTCCCTCTCTCTCTCTTTCTCTCTTTGCTATTCCTCTTCTCTACAGCACGTAAATTATTCTCTCCTCTGCAAATATCTGACACTAATCGTTCGTCTTCTTCGGCGTGAGCTCCATTTTCATCAGCCATTTAGGTAACCATTTCTTCTCCATTCTCAGATGTTCAAATTCCGCTTATTCAGCTTCGTTTTGTTGATGTTTGTGTGTGAATACGTCTTAGTAGTTACTAGATCTACGGGGTTTTGAGTCTCTTCTTCGAAAACTTTCACACTAAGGTTATACCTATGGCGAATTGCGGTTTCTGTTTAGCTTCAACACGCTGGTTTGTCTCTAGTAACTGTTGTATACAGTGGTCGAAGAAGGTGAAATCTGAGATCAGCTCGAAGAAGAACGTATCTGACTCGTTCAAGTTTCTGCGTCTGACCCTGAGTTGACTTCTTTTTCTTTTTTTTTCAGCTGCTTCTTGCTTTCCATTTTTCTTCTTATAAACCTCTCTCATCCTTGATTCTGAATCGATTCTACTAGTTTTCACTGATTTAGGAGAAGAATGTTTCTCTCTGCTAGAAACCTAATTGATTTGGTAGAGATTTTGAAGTTTTTCTTTTGGTATGTTAAATGTGAATTTGATGTGAATGAGTTTATGCTGTGTAAATCAGGTAAAAGCTGCGTTGCTTTGCAGTTGAAGAAACCAAAAGAATCCCAAATGTCTCCGGAAGAGGAGCTGCAGAGCAATGTCTCTGTGGCGAGTTCTTCGCCAACAAGCAATGGCATCTCGAGGAACGCATCAGGAGGACTCAAGGAGCATAACTACTTGGGCCTCTCTGATTGTTCTTCTGTTGGAAGCTCGACTCTCTCGGGACTTGTAGAAGATGACAAAGCCACTATCAGCCTCAAGGCCACTGAGCTGACACTCGGACTCCCCGGGTCACGATCTCCTGCGAGAGACACAGATCTCAACTTACTGAGCCCAGCGAAGCTCGATGAGAAGCCCTTCTTCCCTTTGCTTCCTTCCAAAGACGAGATATGCTCCTCTTCCCAGAAGAACATTGCCTCAGGAAACAAAAGAGGCTTCTCTGACACAATGGATCAGTTCTCTGAAGCCAAAAGTTCAGTGTATACTGAGAAAAACTGGATGTTTCCTGAAGCGGCAGCAACACAGTCTGTAATAAAGAAGGAAGTGACGCAGAACATACCGAAAGGACAGTCGAGCACTACGAACAATAGCTCTAGTCCACCTGCAGCCAAGTAAGCAATGAGCAGAAAGTTGGATCATTCACCTGAGTTTCTCTGATGTGAGTTTCTTTCATCAGCTAATGGGTATTCTGAAATTTTTCAGGGCACAGATTGTGGGTTGGCCTCCAGTGAGATCCTACAGGAAGAACACGTTGGCCACAACTTGTAAGAACAGTGATGAAGTTGATGGGAGACCAGGTTCTGGGGCCCTCTTCGTGAAGGTGAGTATGGATGGTGCTCCTTATCTGAGGAAGGTTGACCTGAGGAGCTACACTAACTACGGGGAGCTTTCTTCAGCCTTGGAGAAAATGTTCACCACATTCACTCTTGGTGAGATGTTTCTGTGATTGCTAGTGATGTCATTGGTGGATCAATGAGTGCAATCAAAGTGGTTAACGTGCATGGTTTATTTTGATGTTAGGTCAATGCGGATCTAATGGAGCTGCAGGGAAAGATATGCTCAGTGAGACCAAGCTCAAGGATCTTCTGAATGGAAAAGACTATGTGCTCACTTATGAGGATAAGGATGGAGACTGGATGCTTGTTGGAGACGTTCCGTGGGAGTAAGTTTACTTTCTTACAAGAGTTGTACTCTCTGCCAGATATTGAACATTACTGTATAGCTTATCTTAGAATCAAATCTAACACACGATAGAAAGATTGAATGGTCTATATGAAATTAGCGTTCCTGAATGATTTGTTCTGATCTAATCTTCAGGATGTTTATTGATGTCTGCAAGAAGCTGAAGATAATGAAAGGCTGTGATGCCATTGGGTTAGGTAAGTCTATATTCTTCTATCTGTTCTTAAACTTCCATTTTTCTATAGATTCATTAGAAGTGCGCTTGATGAGATTAGCGTCGATTTAGAAATTTCAAAACATGTTTGCTAAATGTAAATGCAAACGCCAGAAAAAACAGTCTTAAGCCTTTAGGAATGTATTGTGGCATTTGATTCTGAAATGTCTTAATTAATTGATTCGAATGTGGCGTTTGCAGCTGCAGCTCCGAGAGCAATGGAGAAATCGAAGATGAGAGCTTAAAAAGACTGGAACATGGCAAAAGCTTTCTAATTATACAAAATATGTGCGATTGAGATTATCCCTTTTGGTGGTGTTTTAAATTTCAAAACATCTACATCTTTAGTTTCTGAGATTATTAAGAAACGGAAAAAAAAGACTACGTTTGTAAGGAAATGAAGAAGAATTAAAAAACAAAGGTCTATTTTTGTTGTTGGTGCTTGCTTTCTTTAGTCGAACCAGTAGTGTACTGGTCGTTGTTTCTAGAGTCTGGTCTATGTTTGGTTTTGATTTCGATGTGTGGTTGACTTACACTTTTGGGATATTGATGTTATGTTTTTTCTCTCTCTCCCCCCTTTCCTTCTTCTTCTTCTTCTTCACTTTGTTATCGGTTCGGTTTTCCGTTTTGTAAAATTAATCTAAATAAAATCGTCTGTAATTCGGTTTTGATATATACCTTTTGTGGACCTTGTCAAACAAATTTAGTGGATGAAACCACTAAAAGAAATCAACAACTTGTCTAAACCCGATTTAATTATCTTCAACGGCCATTCTATATGCAACGTGAAGAAAAAGTTGGTTAACTAAATCGATTTGATGTGATGCTAAATTATTGGCGCTAATAGATCCTTAAACCAACATAATGTTGACGAAAAAAGAAAAAACACCTCGAAGACCCAAAAAGGCTACGAGACATATGATATAAGAAGACAGGTGATTGCGCTTGGAAACGGGCAAACGGCTTTGATGTCCTAATCTTTCAGTTTGTTTACTCTCTCGCATGCAGTAGTGTGTAAAGTCATCAAAATTATATCTTCAAATGAAGAGATCATAAAATTTCAACCTATCAGTTCTAAACTCAGAGCTTTAATAGTATTGAATTATATCGTTTCAGACAACGAATAATCAAAGATATACATGAACATACTGATGGGATGATCTGTATCAGTATAATCTATAATATTCTCCCATCCTTCTCTTAATTATTTTCTGTTCCTAAAGATGCGAACATAGTGCGCCTTTGGCTTTGGCAATGGTGGTTTGCTTATTTATTATTGCCATTTATTGCTCGTTTTAATAATTTTCCGTTTGCGTTGACAAAACAATATAATTCCCATTATCCATTTAAATAAGCCCCATCCATATGAAAGGTTACGTTCATGGGGCTATTATATCCAAGTGACCTTTTTTTTTTTTTTTTTTTTGAAATCCCAATCAACAATTCGATCGAGATCATTGAATATTCATGTGATCTCATAACTTTAAAAGAATCTACGGGTTGAATTTAATTCAGTCTAGTGCTTTAATCCTAACAATTATATATATGTGTGATTCTTGAAGCTTCACGTACGTGAACTAATAGTATGCACATAACCAATTATCATTGGTCGTGAATCACATTTAATTCGGTTTCGCGTTGATGCATGCACTTATTTCGAATGTGATAGACTATATATTTACATAAGTTTATCAACTATATAGTATATTCAAAACTTCTAAAATTAAATATGATATAGACTTAGGGAATGACATGTCAAATTTGTCTCCAAAAGATAGGAGCTGGATTATGCGTCTCGATAATGTAACGTGGCATTATCTTTAACACTCATTTTTGGTTGGTTCCCAAAACTATCTCTATATAAAACGAAATACCAAAATGATAAATGAAATGGTTAATGATAATTGGTAAACGAAGTATTTTGGTCGTCATAAGGAACTTGCAAGTTATAACCAACTAAGTTAAACTAGATCATAATAGGAAATCAGATAGAAAAGCCTAATATAAGAGTAACCGTAAAGCTCAGACATATCACTATCAGACAGGTGTTTTAAGAACTCGATAGTACAGTCGGATTGGTTCATCGATCTCATAACTATCTATTATATGTAAATACAATCATACTCCATCTTGATGATACAATAATATAAATCAATACATACAAACTTATACAAACAAATGAACTGTTTACATATTTTCGCCACGTAGATGATACAAGCTCTCTAACCTTCACCTTTCTCAAACATTTAACCCTTTGTAGTATAATAATCTCAACTTCACATGTAGTATAAAAATTTCTGATTAAACGACATGTTTTCTGATAAACCATTGAACTAAAGTTTAGAACCGATTAGATATTTAAATGAATCGTTTGTACAGTGCTGAGTTCTAATTCTAAGGAATGACATCAACCTTCTATGATCGTTCTGTAAATGGAACTAGTGCCAATAAGTGCGTTAAAGTCATAAAAAAAAAAAAAGAATTTTGATAAATGCATATACGATCATCAGAATGAATGTGTGTTTCGATTTGGTAGACCTTCAACAACTCACCGAATTGATGGTATCCATAGATTTCTTATCAGTTATCAATCATGGGAGGTCATTATCTATTTATATATGGACAAAATCGTATCGGCAATATTATTGTTTTTCTTTTCTTTTCGTTTTTCAAAAGTTTGATTACCAATCTTGTCCCGACAGACCAAGTATGTAAATTTGTGGCTGTGTAGGACGTTAAAAGATCCCATACAGTTTTCCAATTAATTTGTATTAATGTTTTATCAAATTTACTTAAATTAAATTAACAAACTAATTCTTTCATTTACTAATGGATAATCAACGATTTTATGGCATGCACGCACGAAGTCATGTGCTGTTACTATTATAACAGCCGCTTTAAACCTATTAAATAGAGTTATTTGCAAATCCTTGATTAGAATTAGAAATTTCTTCTTTTTTGACATCTATTAGAACTTGAATTTAGTATCCCTTGACCACTAAATTAATATAAGTATTTTGAGAAGGCCTTTTTTGTCAATGTTTACATCATTTTTGCGCATGTTAACTAAACAATAAAAAAAAACTAAAGAAACACAAAATCATTCTCTAATAAAACAACAATGGTTAAAGAATTTTATATGGGTTAATACTTGATAGTTCAAATCTTAATGACAGAAACACTCATTTTTCACAGATGTCGAGATTAGTCTTTGCTTTTTTTACCAACAAAATTAATCTCTGTTTGGGTACAATAGTAATCTTTTTTTTATCAAGAAATATAAATTTTGTAAAGTCATGTGAATATGGTCATAAGATTACCAATCATTTACTTCGGTGGAACAAAAAATATAGATTCAATTTTTTTTTAATCTTTACGAAATGTAAAAAGTATGAGTTGTTTCACTTGTTTGGGAAAAAAGAAGAAGAGAAGAGTTAGCTATCGCAGCATTGAATAATTAATTAATTATCACCCGTACTAGTCATTCCTGTGGCTCCTCTGCAAAATTCCAAAATACATAAAGACTGCAATAATTTATATTTTGGAGTTTATTCCATTTATCAAATACTACTATATAATTATCATAATCACTTGATCAGCCTAAAGAACTAAAAGGTTTTCAAAAAGGTTAAAGAAATTAATAGAACCATCGTAATCAAAGAAAAACCACCATTTTGCCATAGCAAGAATTCAAATTTTGCTGGACCAGTGTCTAATCTGTATGTCATATCATTAGCTCTTGTCGTCACCGTATAATTTTTATATTATTTGGATCTTTCAAAATGTGGACAAATTTAAATTATTTTGTCAGTATTTTTTTTTTTTTAAATGGACTTCGACCTTTCGCCATCAAACATCCAAGCTTTTCATATATAATTATATATAACCCCAAACCCACAACTTTAGCTAAATTCATCCAGTCAGCATATATAAATATAAGATTATCCACAAGATTAATCATCTAATAATCTCAATTAGACGTAAATAAAGTTAAACTCAAATGGAAAGTAAAACTGCAGAAGTAAACGTGGAAAGATACTTGACTTGACAGAAGGTACAGTCGACAAATAAATACATCTAGACCTCTGGTCCTCTACGAGTCAGTACAACGCAGTTTTGACAATCTCTCTGTAATTTTCTTTATATGTTCTAGAAACATGCTTACCGCTTGTGCTCGGATTCTAATGTCACGTGCCACATGAATTTTGTTTGACTTCTTCCTTTTTTTTCGCCGAAGCAAAATATCAGAATTTGCATTTATATAAGTTAAATGAATTCGAGAAACTTCGGTTAAGTAGTTCATACACTGAAGAATAAAGTACATCAAATTATATGAAGTGTTTAAGTATTATAAATCAAGTTAAGCTTCAATTGGGTTATCAAAAAAGAAGTTAAAATTTTCTTCTTCTTTTTGTTCTTGGAGCTTCAACTAATTTATTATTGTTTTAATAAATTGCAAATTAAGATTTACATGCAAATGGAAACAAAGATCTTCCGCGTCTTTGGTTAAATGAAATCTCTCATATGCATATGGTCGGTTATAGCGTTGACTTTGTTAATTTTTTACTTTATTGTTCATCCCAATGAATCAATTTAAAATATAATGAGAATATATTACCTTCATAAACAAAGATAATAGTGGAGGAAAATGATAGTTTGACCCAAAAAATAAAAAAGAAGGGGACGTAACGAATCAGTGATTCAGTGACGATTTTCTTCGAGGCAAAAAATTAGTATGAAAGATTTACATGCAAATGGAAACAAAAGCCATTTCAGACGCTATAAAGTCACAATTTTTACCTTTTGATATTGCTACAATTAAAAAACCATTAAAAAGTATATCGAAACATATTTCTCTCTCTAGTCTTTTTCTTATTTAATTTCTCCATCTTCCTTATGATCCATGTCCAAAGTCCTTCGTCTTCTCTATAATTACTTCCATAAAAAGAAGGATAAAGAGAGAAATATCACAAAGAAAATTTCCTCATTTTGTTCAACTGGAAATGGTGTTTGGCTGGAGAAAAGCGTTTTGCACTTCCGTTTCAAGTAATCAAGAGAAAACTCAACAATCATCACACCTTCTCAACACTGATCCTCCAATTCCCACCCCAAAGTTCCGTTCAAAGTTTGGATTTTTTTCAAACCCATCAACTCCCCGTATCCGATCTCGTGGCGGCGGAGGCGGTGGTAATGGAATCGGATGCCGCACCGCCGCTTCAACCGCAGTTGCTACACCATCTCTTCCAACAAGTCCAAAACTCCATTGCAAGACTACGAGCAATGCTACTCCAAGGACCAGTAACAGCTCAAGTCCTAAATTTTTCTCTAACCCTTCTTCCCCAAAATCATCTTCTTCTCCTTCCTCACACGGCGGCGTCTCTCTCCTCCGTGCCACACTTCTCCTCAACAAGGTAAATCATAGTTCTTTAGTTTCAGATATATATATTTCCAATACATTTCGTAGTTTTTTTAAATCAAACTCTGTTTTTTTTTAGATGCAGAGCAATAGTGGCAGATGTGGGATTTGTCTACAGAGAGTAAATTCCGGTCAAACCAATTCGACGGCGATTTTCACGGCGGAGTGTTCGCATTCCTTTCACCTCTCTTGCGCCGTCAGACTAGAAGACAAACGCTGTCCGTTTTGTTCCGCCGCGTGGAGTCACGCACCGAAATCGGATTCTCCGTCTGTGATAATCGGATCCGACCCGAATAGGCGACCCGAGATCCGAGAAATCAAGACAGGGAAATCGCTGAGAGTCTACAACGACGATGAGCCGTTAGCTTTTTCACCGGTTTCTCTTGCACAGTTCAACACTATACTGGAATCAGACGAAAACGACGACGTAGAGGAAGACGACGAATTCCCCGGATTTTTCGCTGATTCTTTGGTTAGACCTGCTTTGCCTGATCCGATCCCTTCAATCTCCGGGAACCTGGAGGTTAAACTGCAGCCGGAGTCCGCCGTTGTGGAAACCGGGAAAAGGAGCGAGACGCACGTCGTCATGATGAAATTAAAGGCGTCTCCGTCGTCGATCACGGATGCGATTATGGCTCGTAGGCCGTCGATAGATCTGGTAACGGTTCTCGATTTGAGCAGAGGCGGAGCGAATTTACAGACGGTCAAGCACGCGATGCGATTAGTTATCTCTTTGCTCCGAGAAATGGATCGGCTCTCAATCGTCGTGTTCTCTACGGGATCGAAACGGTTAATGCCGTTACGACGGATGACGGCGAAAGGACGGCGATCGACACGGCGACTCGTAGACGCGCTCGTCGGAACTGAAACCATCGGTGGCGTCGGTATGAGCGTTAACGACGCGTTGAAGAAAGCTGTTAAGGTCGTCGAAGATCGGCGAGAGAGGAATCCGTCGGCGAGCATCTTGGTTTTATCGGACGGTCAGGATAACGCGGAGGCGGTTTTGAAAGCGAAACTAAACTCATCACGCGTTCCCTTCGTCGTGTCCACCACGCGCTTGTCTCGGCCGGAGATCCCCGTCCACTCTGTTTGGATCGCCTCTCCAAGCGCTCTGCAGCACGCGCCGCTTCGAGACGCGTTCACCGAGCGAATTGCTGCGTTGATGAACGTGGCTCTCCATGACGTCAAGCTCAATCTCGGTTTAGTCTCCGGTTCGCCGTTGACCGAGATTTCAGCGGTTTACTCGTTAACGGGTCGACCCGAGAATTTCGGATCTGGTTCGTTGGTTGAAGTCGGCGATCTGTTTGCGGAGGAGGAGAGAGAATTTCTCGTTGAGCTCAAAGTACCGACTTCCTCGAGCGGGTCCCACCATGTAATGTCCGTACGGTCTTCGATCGTTGACCCGACCACGCTTCAGTTAATGACGTGTCCCAAAGAAAAAAGGTTTTTGATCCCGCGGCCACAGACCGTCCGATTCGTATCTCCGAGCATCGAACGGCTAAGGAATCTTTACTCAGTGAGTCGCGCTGTTGCTGATTCACGCAAGCTGATTGAGTGTGAGGACTTAGCCGGAGCTTATCAGGTTCTAACGGCGGCGCGGTCCAATGCGTTGCATGCGGATGATAGCTTAAAGAGCTTGGATGCCGAGTTAGCTGAGCTGAGCCGGTTAAAACCGAGAAACGGTTTAACAAACCGAACCGAAGAAAAAATCGAGCAACTGACGCCGACTTCGGCTTGGAGAGCCGCTGAGAAATTGGCGAAAGTGGCTATCATGAGGAAGCATTTAAATCGAGTCAGCGACATGCACGGCTTGGAAAATGCCAGATTTTAAGTTTTTTTTTTTCTTATCATTTCAATGATTTTTGGGAATATGGTATATAAAATTTTATAATTATAAGTTATAACCAATAATTTAGCAAGACTCTATAAATAAATGTAAAACTATAGAACTATGATTTTTTAGAAAGAGGTGCATGATAGCGACAAGCAGTAGCCGACGGGTGTGGCCTTTTGTAATGCCAGAGATTGGAACCCTACATGAGAATTAATTGGTCTTTTTACTTTTATCTTCTTCCTTTTTGTAATTTTCAGAAAATCCAAATGAATGACTGAAAAAGTGGAAACGATTGTAGATAAAATAAATGAAGAATGCTATATATTTATCATACAATTAAAAGTTAGGTATAGTGGATTATGAGAGAGTGTGCTTGCAATGCTGGCCTTCAAAATCAAAAGTTAATTTATGCTTAATTTATAATATCATGCCGTTTAAATCTAATAGATTGATCATATTTTATATCTTTTCATATAAGTGATCATGATTAGTCATGTGATCATCATTATGGCCTATAGTTATGGGAAACTTTAAAGGATTATGAAAAAAACTATTCCAAGTGGTTCTATGATAACATTTGTAAAATGCGAAATTCGTTACACAACATTGAAATGCAGACAATTAATGATTAATATATTATGAGAGGCCAAAATGATTATACTTGTTTTTTAAAAATTCGATAGCTATATTTAATCGAAACATAAGCAATTGAAGGACTATAGCTGAATGTTATTATTAACTAATTATGCTACTATTAACTACTACTTCATATACTAATAATGACAAAGCATTACTACTACAAATCTAGCGCCAAGTTGCAAATTTCTTTTTAATACTGAAGTTGCAATGATTTGTGTGTTATTAAAAGGGATTATCTAATGCCGAAGGTCCACTTCTCGACGTGATTCCAAATGGTCAGTGGCCGAAGAATCTCGAACAATAATGAACAAATTACAATTTATTACTAATATATCCTTTAATTACATATTGCATACGGTAATGATTATTTCAACTAGAAATATTATTGTTTTTGAGTAGCATATAAGGTTAGGTACGATTTAAAGTTTCAATATATCAAATGAAGTTTCACATATGTGTAAGCAGGCCATTAGTTTCCAAACAGAAACAAAATACAATGGTTGTTAATATGTAAATAGTTGTCAGATTGTGATGTATTTGTAACTACAATAGAACCAAAACTTCAAAAACAATACATGAGAGCATTTGGTGTTGTCTTTGAATTTAGAAACCACCTTTTTTAGCCGAAGACGCGTCAGTTTTTCACGAAACGTTTTGTAAAGCAACCGCCTCCGAACGAGACGTGACCGCATCACTGTTCGGAGAAACAATTTATCAATGAAAAGTGACAGCTAAAAACACCACCTTTCAGCTGAAATTTCCTTACCATATACTCTGTGTAAGCCCGTTAATATAAAACATGAGTCTAAGCCCACTAAAATATGATTTTTCCCCAAAATTAGGCCTTAATCTTTCATGTCGGTCACTGCATGGGCCACTGTACGGCCGTAAAACATAAAGATCCACAAATAAGATGGCGAAAACTACAAATTATTACTACTTTGCAAACTAATTGTCAAATAAAATGGACCTAGCCCCAAATCATATCAAATTTAAGGCTATGCATTAAGGAAGTTAAGCCTTTTGTAAACCTTTTTTTTTTACCCTCAAGCCTTTTTGTTATAAGTAGGAAAATGCCTCTTTGTCGTTTACCAATTTCTCTTTTAAACATATTATTGAGATTTTATAAATAACTTTACAATAAAAATATCATACAAATATATTTTCCGATATGCTCTAGTTAGGTTTATAACTATAGTAGTATTTTTCAGGACATAAAAACAAAATTTAAAACATATGTTATCAATTATAAATATAAGTAAGTTACAAAAAAAAAATATATATATATATAAATATAAGTCGGAAAAAATAAACCTATTGGTAGACGCAAAAAAATGTAATTTATTAATCACCGAATTCTCTACCTGAATGTATGTATGTTAGTGGTATAATTATATTGACTAAACTAAAATCATTTTCCAAAAAGCTTGGTCAACTCATAATGCCACGTGTTATAACAATCCTCGTAATGCGGCATAGAGATAAGGCAGCTGACGTGGTTGTGATGTGCGAAAAGCTGTCAAACATTTGACCTTCCGATCGCCGTACCTTGAAATCGACGGTTCAGATAAGCCTACTGACACTTGGCTTTCTATAAAGGTTAACTATAATTAAATTTATCGAATTTTTAAGTAAACTTTGGTTTACTACAGCCCACGTTGGACTTCCAAGTTTAAAATAAGAGCACTCAACTCAAGGATAATTTTATTTCTGATATTGTTTATTTGACTTGTGCTTTGCAGCCCAGGATATTATTTTTCTAACATGTACTTCAAAAGATTAAACCTGAAAAATGGTCGTTACAGCACAATTGATAATGAAAAAAAACGTGCTTTAAGAGATCTGTTTGACCTTGTACGGATAAGATCTTGGAAAACGACATAGACATAGTTTCTTACTCCATTATACAGTTGAAATCCATACAAACTAGTACTGGAAAATGTAATGTAGTTGATGAATATTCATGTATACACAAACGTGAACTGTTTCTTAATTACAAACGTGAGTGCATGAATACAACCTAGTCCATCGCACAACGTAATGCCTAGTCATCTTATCATTTAGCAAAGACTAATAATAGTAGTAACCTAGATAGCAACTATTGAATAGTAGGATCTGCAATTAATTATTCAAACATTTCTTTCTATATGAGTAACGTGATAATCATCATGTAATTAGGACAAACCACGATTAGTTAAGACGCGTATTGTGTGATTGATACAAAGGAACCGAGTCAAAGAAACCCTATAAAAGCGGCTCCTTCTTCCTCTTCCACATTACCATAGCCATTGATCTCTCCTTGAGACAACTTTTTCTTATTTTTATATATTCTTTATTTTTTTTCCACAAAAAAAGAAGAAGACATTCCGGTAATAACATTTTCTTCATACATCTCTCTAAATCCATAGACGTGTGGGTATATATGTGTGTATGTGCTAATTGTGTATATTGATCTTAATCCCAATTTAGTGGAAATGGCGGGAAACGGAAACGAAAATACCGATGGAGAGTTCAGTTTCTCGGCTGCGGCGGCGCGTGATGCGCTTCCGAGGATCACGACGGAGAAGGGCGCCAAATCCCCGACGTCGGCAGACGTGTGCCACGACGATACCGCATCGCGTGTCAACTTTCAGACAATCGATGAGCTTCACAGTCTGCAGAAGAAACGATCTGCTCCGACCACTCCTCTCAAAGAAGGCGGTGGCGTAGTGATGGGAACCAGTGGCCCTACCACTCCTGTCTCCGGCGAGACCATGCTTCAATCCGTCAGGTACATCACAATCTGCTCATTTCATTTCTTATTCATATAGCACAAGGTCCATTTGGTAAATTTGTTTAAACAATGATGAGGAATGTACGTAATAACGTAATTACTAAGCCAATCTTAATTGATGATTTACACAAACAAATTGTTAAATCCATTATTTGCATGTTACCAACAAGGGGAAACAAATATTCGGTATCTATCTAGAGGTTGAATAATAATAACGCGGTCGATGATAAGTTATATGTAATTTGAGAAAGCAATGATAATGAAAATGTTGATGAATCGACAGTGCATCGTTGGCGTCGTTGACGAGAGAGACAGGACCGAAGTTAATCAGAGGAGATCCGACGTCGGCGGCGAAAGTGGCGCACGTGCCACAGACTCCCACATCACTTCCGGCTGCTGACGTCAGCGACAGCGCCTTGAAGTTCACTCACGTCCTTCACAACCTCTCTCCCGCCGGTAATAATAATCCTAAAAAAAATGCCACCCTTTTTCATTAACCTGATTTGATTTACCTTTCTTTACACAAAAAAAAAACATATATTTGATTTCGAATTTTATGATTACAGAATTGTACGAGCAGGCGATAAAGTATGAGAAAGGATCGTTTGTGACATCGACTGGTGCGTTGGCGACGTTGTCGGGAGCCAAAACCGGTCGGTCTCCTAAAGACAAGCGTGTGGTTAAGGATGAGACCACTGAGTCCGAGCTTTGGTGGGGAAAGTAAGTCCCTTTTGTTTCTCTACCTCTCACATATGTCAACAAGACATTAGTGATCCGCATTTAGTGGATTTTTTCCTTCTTTTAAAATTCAAGAAAATTAGAACCGGAAGTTAGCTATTCGGTTTGGTTTAAGAGAACTTAGGTTCGATATGATATCTGGTCCGGTTCAACTTACTTTTGTTTTAGTTCAATTTTGGGTTAGCTTTACGTAATACAGTTTTATAGAACCGATCTATTTACTTAAAATTTCGGCGTGGGTTCATTTTCGTTTACACAGTATTTACTCATTCCTAATACATTATGTTACATTTTTTTATTTTAATAGAGGATCACCAAACATCGAAATGGATGAACAAACCTTTTTGGTGAACCGAGAAAGAGCGGTTGATTACTTGAATTCTTTGGACAAGGTAACTCAGTCAAACAAATTTATACATTAAAATATGAACGGTTTGGTAAAATACACACATTAAATTGATTTTATATTTATATTTTATTTGTCAGGTGTTTGTGAATGATCAATACCTAAACTGGGACCCAGAGAACAGGATCAAAGTCAGGATTGTATCAGCAAGAGCTTACCATTCACTTTTCATGCACAACATGTGTATCCGTCCAACACCTGAGGAGTTGGAGAATTTCGGAACACCGGACTTCACCATCTTCAACGCCGGAAAATTCCCGTGTAACCGTTACACTCATTACATGACATCGTCGACGAGTGTGGACATAAACCTAGGAAGAAGAGAGATGGTGATTCTAGGGACACAATACGCTGGAGAGATGAAGAAAGGTCTCTTCGGTGTGATGCATTATCTGATGCCAAAGAGAAAGATCTTGTCTCTTCACTCCGGTTGTAACATGGGCAAAGATGGAGACGTTGCTCTCTTTTTCGGACTCTCTGGAACCGGAAAGACAACATTGTCGACTGACCATAACCGGTACTTGATCGGAGACGATGAACATTGCTGGAGTGAGACCGGAGTCTCGAATATCGAAGGTGGCTGTTACGCGAAATGCATTGATTTGTCGAGGGAGAAAGAGCCTGATATCTGGAACGCTATTAAATTCGGAACAGGTACGTAATCATAAACAAAAACTCTTACTGTTTGCTTTCTTGGAACATATCTTTATGTATTTTAACGTTTGCTTTGAGTTTGTGGGGACAGTTTTGGAGAATGTGGTGTTTGATGAGCATACAAGAGAAGTGGATTATACAGACAAATCGGTGACTGAGAACACACGTGCGGCTTATCCGATAGAGTACATTCCAAACTCGAAGATACCGTGCGTGGGACCACACCCGAAGAACGTGATCCTATTGGCTTGTGACGCCTTCGGTGTGTTGCCACCAATCAGCAAGCTTAATTTGGCTCAGACTATGTATCATTTCATCAGTGGCTACACTGCTCTCGTAAGTCTTCTTCTATCATCAATAACTAAAAATTCCGGTTTGGTTCGGTTTGGTTATCATATTCTGAGCAAAGAGTCTGTGAGTGATTTTGCAGGTTGCAGGAACAGAGGAAGGAGTTAAGGAGCCACGAGCGACTTTCTCGGCTTGTTTTGGAGCTGCTTTCATTATGCTTCACCCAACCAAGTACGCAGCTATGTTAGCCGAGAAAATGCAGGCTCAAGGAGCCACCGGTTGGCTTGTTAACACCGGCTGGTCCGGTGGAAGGTAAACCATCCACCCTTTTCCTTAAAAAAACTCAATCATAATCACATTAAAAAAAAACATAACATATATAATTGTTGATAAATTATGCAGCTATGGTTCTGGAAGTAGAATCAAGTTGGCGTATACACGAAAGATCATTGATGCTATACATTCGGGTAGCCTCTTGAATGCAACATATCAGAAAACAGAGATTTTTGGTTTGGAGATTCCAAATGAAGTTGAAGGAGTGCCTTCTGAGATCCTGGAACCTATGAATGCTGTAAGTTAGAGAGAACAAAACAAATGCATTACTAGTATCTTCTATGAGTCATTAAATTTTTTTTTTTTTGACATATCTATTTATGTGTGTGTTTGGTGCAGTGGGAAGACAAAGAGGCTTATACGGACACATTGTTGAAGTTGGCTGGTTTGTTTAGAAACAATTTTGAGACATTCACAAGTCATACGATTGGAGACGATGGGAAGTTGACTGAAGAGATTCTTGCCGCTGGTCCAAATTTCTAAAACTGATGAAGCTGATGAAGAACCCTACCATGATGTCAAACACACAATAAAAAAACATTTGCCCCATTTTTAAATGAGAAAATTCAGCAAAAATGCTAAATTAAAATAAAGCGAATAATACTGTTTAGTAGACGGATTTCAAGAAAACCTCCCCATTTGTTTGGTGGGTCATTTATTTATCTGTCCATTTTTATTTTCCCCATTTCAAATGAGAACTATTCTTTTTCCTTTTGTCTTTCATGAATGTTTACCAAAAAATAAGTTTACATGCTCTGTTCATGGAAGCTTTCGCTACAAATGAACTTCTAGAACTTTTTCAAGTTTAGTTAATCTGAAATCTTTTCTCAAGCTTTTTTTGGTTATTGCATTGTTGATTCATGTTTTTTTTTTGTGTGAATATAACATAGGCTCCAAAATATTAATTAGGATTGAGCAAAAAGAGTTATCTAACAGAGTTACACATTTATAATCAGGTTTAAATAAAGAACACAAAATCCCATCCATTTAAAATAATTTTTTTATTCAAGAAATTAGTTTATGTACACAAAAGAAACTGAGAAGCTCTGGAGAAGAAATTGAATCAAATGAATTGTTGTTCAGTTAAACAATGTGGAACAAAAGAAATCTAAAAAAATTATTTGGTCAGAAGAAAGAATGATGAATGTCTTCAAAACTTTAGACAAGAGATGAGTTGTTGTCTGCTTTGGTTTCCAATTTCTCTTCTTCGACTTCTTCATCATCATCACTTTTTTCATTAGACCGGTCCACACTCTTCATAAATATCCCTGCAACCAAATAAAAAAGTTACTTAAAATCTTTTATAGAGAAAACAAGACTATGAGATGAATGAATAAAAAACTGATTTCGAGTACTTACCAATACCCCAAATAATAGCTGCGAGGAAGAGGATTGAAGTAATAATAAGAGTTGATGTTCTCCAGTTTTTGAGACGATCCTGCAATTTAAATCATTAAGAGGGTTCACAAATCTAACTCAAAGAAAGGAGAAGAAAACAAAAACTGAAGATCTTTGCAAAAAGACAGAAAATGCAAACCTGCATTTTTCCAAAAAGAGGGGAAGAAGGAACATCGCCCAAGACATGGATCAAAACAGTTGAAACAGCCATTGACAATGGTCTCAAGTTTGGTCTAACGCAATGGAGACACACAAAGTTAACTGGAGCCTGCAAAATAAAACAACCAAGAAACATGCAGTATGTTTTAGGATCAAACTCGTCGGAGAAACAAAACAATAAGAAAAAACTCTTACAAGATTTTGATTATTATACATATATTACCTGTGGTGCAAAGATTAGAATTTCACCCACTGCAAAGAGACCGATGAAAACATACATATTCTTCATGGAGAAAGCAGCGAAACAGAACGCTGCGCCGAATAATGTAGATGTCGCTAGTAGCTGCATAGAAGATTAATCAATTTAATTAAGAGGTAATCAGAAAAAGGATTATTCTTTGTAATAGAAAAAAATGAAGAAAATATATACATTACCTTGAAGGTGTTAGAAAGTGTAGCGTTAATGCGATCAAGCACATAACTTCCACCTAACGTTCCAACGATCCCACAAATGATTGTAAGCCCTCCAAAAATCATGTCAGCATTTTTCATTTGGTAGATACCAAAACCAGCTTTTGGTCCCCAATACGAGTAAGATCCGATGACAAAGTTGTAGGTGATGTAACCAAGAACATTCACGATGAATACTTTCTCGCTGAAAAGAGCCTTCAAGTCTTTTCCAAACAATACTACCAGGTTCTGACTCTTCTTGGATCTGCCCAAGGAGAATGAATATTAAGTATACACTAAGTGCATAGGACAGAACAGTGAAGAGAGGATAGAGCAGCAACTCACTTGGGGGTTTCGGTTTTGATCTGTGAAGCTTCTGCATCTGTAAGAGCGACTGTTTCAATAGATGTAGAGGGCTTCTTCGGATCTTTATTAGCAAAACCTATCACGCAAAGAAGATAAATCAAAAATTAGCACAATTTCAAGAAGAAACTAGAGATTATCTACAAAGAGAATCTAGTTTTGGATACCTTTTAGCTGAGGTGGTTTGAGACAGAAGGACAGTACAACAAAGAAAGCCATTGCGATTGCCTCAATGTAAAACGCCCAACGCCATCCAAAATGGTTTCCAACCTGAACACGGAAACAAACAAAAACAATTACCTACAAGATTCACAACACTTAAAACCAGAAACCCGTCAAGCATTTTACTTACATATCCACCAAACACGTAGCCTAAAGCAACTCCTGCTGGTATACACATGTAGAACAGTCCAAGCCACAGATTTTTCTGGAAAGAAGAGCACAAAAAAACCAATTTAGTTTCAATTAGCTGAGAAAAAGCGTGACAGTTAAAAGAAACCGAGTCAAAAGACTAACCCGTGCAGCAGGAGCGCTATCATCGATGTACGGTGCTGCAAGACTGATGAAAGAAGCCTCACCAACACCAACAAACCTAAAGGCAAAAATTATGAAAAGAAGAAATGTCAAAGTTGAAAAAAATATTCAGCAAATTTTGCAAAGAGTACAAATCATAAAGAATTGAATACTCACATTCGAAAAGCAGCAATCATCCAGAAGTTGTAAGAGAACCCGCAACCAGTAGCGGCGAGAGTCCAGACAGTTAACCCCACACCGATTAGTTTAAAAGGATTGAATCTGCAAGCAAATTATACAAAGAGATATAATCAAAACAAGTGACTTTTCAAAGAACAAAGTTTATCAATTTATGGTTCTTGTTTACAAAAATTTCACCTTTTTGACAATCCAGCGAATATTGGAGAAGCCACAAGAAGCCCAACCATAAACGCAGATGACAAGAGACCATCTTCAAAGTTGGTTAAGTTAAACTCTCCTCTGTAACAAGACAAACCAAAAGCTCAAGTCTTTTTTTTTGGTGATTCGATGAAATCCAAAACTTGGAAACCAAAACAAAAATCTTACTGAATTCCAGTTCCTGCAGAGCAAAGCCCTTTGGCGTCACATGTTCTTGAGCTTCCATTGACACCATTACTTGCGATCACTCCTCGATCCACGTAATTGATCAGGTTTATGATACACAAGATCGCAACGAATCTACAAATAGAATACGGTCTTAGGAGTTAGAATCCACAAATCTAGGGCAGGATTCAATTTGGGAAACGTAGACGAAATCAAAGCTTGTTTCTTTAGCTGCTTCCCTAAACATGACATGACACAACCCTAAAAAAGTTTCAAATCACGAAACTCTTGCTTAAATCACTTTTTGGAATCCTAAATTCACCCAAAATAAAGGCTTTTTATATAATTTCACAGAACCACGCTTAAATTATTTTCACAAACCATTATCGTCATCATCTTAATTCGACTTTCTAAAACCCACACACACACAAAATTGATGATTTTTGATTTTACCTTCCCGGAGTCCAAAATCGTTTTTTAGCCGTCGGCGTCGAAGACTCTGTTATCGCCGGAGAATCTCTCTGGCCAACTTTCGTCATTATCTCTCTCAGATTTGGATTTCACACTCTGTCTTTCTTTACTAAAGGGAGACCAAACAAAATATATAACAGCTCTGTTATTCGTAATTCCGATTCTTGTTTTGATTTGGAGTATATTCTCATTTTCTGTTAACAACTTCGGATTTTCAAACTCGGTTTCTAATTAGGATTTACTCGAATTTTCATTTTCTTTATATTTTGTCACTTTAAACACACAGCGATATCTTCTCATATTTACGTAAAAGCTATTTTTAAGCCTCAATTGGTTTCTATATTCAATGAATGTATATATGTAGCTGTTATCATAATACTATGTTATTATGTTATTTTTATTATTTTTCACTTACTATGTTTGTTGGTTTGAAATTGAAAGGGCAAAAACATGAAAAAGCAGTATTTTTGACCATTAAGTTTGATATCCAATTATTCGTTCTTTGAACTAATTGACCCTAACAATCAAACATACAATACAATTAATCTCACTAAACACACGGCACATGCGCACGTGCGGGGTCATCTTTTTTATTTTTATATATATACTGAATATTTAGTTTTCATTCATAAGTTAAGTCTTTACAATCGATCATAGCATTTATGAAGGAATAATTCTTTTTATTTTGATTGAAATTTTAGTTTATAACTGTAAAGTTTTATTTGGTTAAGAATTCTTGTTTTTTTCTTTCTAATTCTTTTTATGTTAGTTTTATACTATGTTTTACGACGTATATCATATAACATCATAACAAAAGCATGCATTATGTGATGATAAAATACTCAGAAAACAGAGTAATTGTTACCCAACAAACTAAAATCACTCAGAAAAAAAAAAAGTGTTGGTAGAGATAACTAACGGGGAATGTGTCAGAAAGAAAAACAAAGCCAATAATATTGCTTATAAAGCAGAAAACACCTAATTATATAGATATAAAAGATAGAAGAAAGGTCCCGGCAAGAAGATTGTTCAAAGACAATCGGAGAAGATTAACCAGAGAGTAGTCTACTAACCTGAGAATTCTCAAACTCTTCATGCCCTTCTGATCTGATACGTACAAAGCAAAAAGAAAAAAAACGTTTTTTTTAAGGAATAGTTCACAGAAACCATGAAAGAATGAGACTTCATTGCCAAACTATCTAATAGAGTGGCACAATTTCATGAATTTCTCGGCTATTCAATCAATCTACATTTCTAATCAAATATGTATGTAACTCAATTATGCTAAAAATGTTACATCAATGATATGTGTGTTTATATTTTTTGTTGTTTTTTAAATGAAATGAAATGGATATTACGAAAAGCTTTGAGCTTTGTTCCATGTGATTGACGTTTTTCGATGTATACATCTTTGGTATAACGAAAAGAAAATAACGTTTTTCTTTTTCGTTTTCTATGATAGTCATTGTAGATGTATTTGATATATATTAGATATTTGTGTTTAGTTGTTGTTTTACTTTTATGTGCGAAACTCTTCACAGGCTTTAGTTGGACCTTTTTTATTATAGGCTTAGGCCCATACTGATAAGCGTTTCTTTTTGTTGCAGGTGGCTTAGCTGGGGAACGGTGCTCAAATCGAAGCGGAATTTGTGACTGTCACACCCATGGTACCAGCGAGGAAAACCACTTTCTTCGACACAATCGGAGAAATCATGGTGGTTGATGTCTTGGTGTGGAGGAGGCTTCCTTCAGGATTTGTTCTGAGGAGAGTTGACGACAAAAGGACCAAAATCACCTACATGCAACAATAAATTTATGGGATGTGGTTTTATCCGACCGCTTGTCGCGAATGGAGCACCTTACGGCTTCGATCGTTAGATAGCCATTATGAAGTATAGGCTGGAGAGTGCACTTCCAATTCGGCCTGATATTTAATCAACAATGGCTTTGCAATATCATCACAAAGAATGATGGGTGATGGATTGGTCTCCAACATTTAAATCATATCATTTAGTATTATTCAGATATTCAAAAGTGGATTGATAAATAATATTTCTCAAACTTTGTGCAAAAACAAAACTAAAAGTGAAGCTTTTCATTTATTAAATAGTTTTTATTAGTCAAAAATACTTTTTAGTTACTATATACTATTATTTTTATTAATACAAATCTCTAAAACAATTTATATTTTGAATAAATTTTAAAGATGAATTTTTAATAAATAAAAGATTTTTTGGGGACTTATTATCAAAAGCCAAAAACGCTCGTGACCTTATCATCAACAAGTCGGTGACTTGTCTAGAAGCGGTGCCGAGAGAGGAAGAGAGAAAGAAGGAGAGATTCGATAAATTGTTGTTGATTAATTCCATGAAGAGATTACAAAAAGAGAACGAACCTAAATATGGAAACATTAGAAACAATGGCAGATACTGTAAATATGCTGAGATAATGTTTAACTTGGGCTTCAGATTCTTTCTTCAATTCCTAAGCCCAATAAAGGCCCACTCCACTTAGCTTGAAAATTTTTGGCTCTATTTTCAGACGTCCGAAAGACTAATCGATTCTTCAACATGCATTTCAACTTCAAATACTCCTCTCTTTATGTTCCTGCTCTGCTTTTTACAAAACCATACAAGAAACTCTCTCACACAGTAAGACTGAGGATCAGATCACTGGGTCATGCTCACAACTCAGCATGGCTCACAACTTGTGGATTCTTCTTGATCTCTACTTTCACAGGTTCTTAATGGAAATATATGCAGAGATGTGAAAGTTACAGCACAAGTCTTTCTCCATTGCTTCCATTATCTTTAACTCCCACAACCTCCGATTCTTCTTCTGCAATCATCCATTCATAACACACATCCAATTAGCATCACCATTTAGCATATAACACTTATATTACTAAATGAATTTTCGTAATGTAACTCACAATAAGATCCAATGCTTGACTTAAGGACATGCCTCTGAATAAGGAACTGATAAACTTAGCAGTGGTGGCTTCTTGTTCATGTGTTCTAAAATGCCTGAAACAGAGACTTGATCGTTTCTTTGTTCCTTTTAACTCTGCTGGCAACAAAAAAAAAAGACAGATCATACTCTTACCAGAACGCTTCGGTTTGGGGGTTCAGTTCGACTGGAGCTGTTCCGTATCTCAAAGCTTTGAGCTGCATCATAAGAAACCAGAGAGATATATGAGAGAAAGCTTTGAATAGATCTCACAGAGCAATCATGGAATGTGGAAACCTACATGGACTTGGAGAAGTGGATCTTGGAAGTTGAGACACAACATAATGTCTCATCCCGCATAAATCAAATGCGAAACAGTTTCATTGTTTCCGGTCACAACCTTTAGATTTCCTCCCTGTTGAAGATTATACAAACATCACTTTACTGAGTGAGGGAAGATAGCAGATGAAAGAAACAGAGAAAGATAGAGTGGAAATGTTCCAACCTTAATCTCATCTTGAATTTTCTCCAGTTCCCTGATTATCATCTGATCTTCATTCATTAACATTATAACGAACTGTGTTTTTTAACAAAGACAATAGAGAAAAAACGCATAGTTAGATTCTTGGAAAGTGTATCGCAATCAGTGGAGATATCGAGCAATCAAACCTCGACATCAGTCATAGTTGTACTCAGTACAAGTGACTTGAAGCTCTCAAGATCAACATCTGATATCTCCGAGAAGATGCATCCTACCTTTGAAAAAGTAGTTCCCACGTCGTTGTTGTGAATGAACACCATAAAATAAGAGGTATGGGTTAATGCATTTAGCTCCAGTTATAGAAAGCGAGAAACACATACAGTGGTGGTTGAAGCATCCTCCACTAAACCAAGTTGACGCTGCAATTCAACTTTGCAGATTGATTTTCCACGAATATCCTCAGCACTGTAGTTTTCAGGGAGATGACTAGGGGTGGGCACAAAAACCATAACCGAAAAAACCAAACCATACCGAACCGAAAAAAGTGATATGGTTTGGTTATGGTTAAATCTAAAAATCAATTTGGCCATTAATTTTTTATAGCTTTGGTTTAGATTTGGTTTGGTTAAAAACCGTCAAACCAAAATGTTTTTTTGGTTTTTAAACTAAATTTTAAATAATTTATATTTTCCTAGTTTCTTAATTTAATTTAGGTATATATTTTATTATTTGGCTTAGTTATCTTTATAATTTACTAACTTAACTCATAAATTTAAAATATAATATTTATAAAAAATATCTACATATAAATAATAAAGTAAATCTTAATTTTTCAATAGAGAAAAACGTGATTAACTTTTTTTTCTTCACATTCAAGTCTTCTAGTTCTAGTTCCAAGGCTATAGGTATTAAATTTTAATCTAGATTTGTTTATTGTTTTATAATTATTAATTATGAAAGATTTGATAATTTGTTTGTTTCTTTGTTTTGAAATCTGTCCTTATTGATGAATTTTTTATGATTTAGATTCTATTTTTTGGATTTATTATTTTATTTCACTCATATCTATTATTATTATTATTTCCATTAGTTTGAATCAAAAACTTTCGTGATAGTATAATTCTAAAAAACCGAAACTAAACCATATCGAACCGAACCGTAAAAAACCAAACCATACCGAACCTAAATGTATATAGCTTTTATATGGTTTGAATTTTCGTAAAACCGATAAACCGTAAAACCGAAAAAACCAAACCGAAACCAAACCAAAAACCGAAGTGCCCACCCCTAAGATGAACATCTCTTGAAGGATCCCATTTTGAGTTGTCCAATCCAAAGGGAGCAAAAAAACAACTTCTCCCTAGTTTCAGAGATAAGATGATGCAAATTTATTATATACGTGATCAGTTTTATCTAAGATCGCTAGAAAAAGTGGCCAGGAACTTACTTGTGAACAGCTAAAGTTGGTTCGAGACCAGGGATTGATCTATGATGGACTGAGGATGACATTATTACAACTTTGTTCGAGTAGACAATACCACCCTAAGTAAGAAACAAAGTAAAGACAATGTGAGAATAAGAGTGTAACCTAGAGATAATTTCTTGTCTACTGTATTTTCCTCACACTTGTACCTTCAGAATATTAACAACTTGTGGATTCGTGTTATCTTGTAAGCGATCAAGGCGATGAAGACTAGCTGGATCAAGCCCACATAGCTCCAACTTCTCAGGAGGCACAAGCACTACAAAACCAGAGGATATGCTACCAAAGTTCTTAAGTCGATCTTGCCTAATGTAGAATGTTTAAAACACTAAGGGAAAAAAACGCAGAGTGGCTTGCCTTTGAGTCAAAGTCTTGGCGTGTTAAGAGTACTCTGGTACTTTCAAGTCCCTACAGAATTCGCAAACAGATGTCAATAAGAAAAAAACTATGGCGTGGTGATCTTTAGATTCTTTACAATGAAGTCGCTTTGTTTTTCTTACCTGATTAACAAAAACATCCCAGAACAGCGGTCCAACTATTGCAGTTTGCCAGTTGTGAATGTGTAACACATCAGGCTGCTTTCCGGATTTGGCAATGTAATCCAACGAAGCACGAGAAAAGTAGGCAAATCTGATTTTTATCAACAGATCAAAATCAATGAATCTAGTCTGAAAACAAATGTAGATCGAGCTAATGGCAGTACTGACCTATCAATATCGTCTGGATAGCCATAGACTTTATCACGGCTAAACATTGAAACGTAGTACAGTGGTTGAATAAGTGTCACTCCTATTCCAGAGACAACTCTGCATCAACAAGGTCCTGCTTGCCTTAAACTTAAGAAGAACACCAACTTTATAAAAACAAATATCAAATTCCAACAACTCACTCACCCATTCCATATACGGTTTGCATGAAGCTGGCCGTTAAAATAAGAATACGCATCAGCTTCGATTTCCTTGAGCCCTTCAATTTCGTCCAAATCAAGTGTAAAATATCTGTTAATGAAAACCGATATTCATTACTAGGATTCTGCTGCACAGCTGAATTTGGTGACAAGATAAACTATGCATATGTCTCAAGGATTTGAATAATACTTTGGCAATATAACTTCAACCAAGTAGCCTTTTCTTTGGAGTGCACAAGAGAGTCATGTGATATATGAAGCCAAAGGTCCAACAGAAACAAGTGGATCCATTTCGGAGCAAATATGAATCACGTGGAGTCCATTCCTGGAATCGAGCTCAAATTTAAAATCCGACTTTAGGGATTGAAGATAAACTACACTAGAAGTCTTAGAATATTCACCTTTTGCCTTTATTTGGGACCCGTCTAAGTTCTGCTAGAACTTTGGCATCTCCCTGTTGCAGGACATCAAGAGGGAACTCAGAGATGTCCACTTCATGCTCCCTAACCAGATTTCTCATGGATGAAGCTTCTTCAGTGCCAATTAATCCATTGATCACCATAGAATCAATTCGGAGAAGCAACTCCCATAACAGAGATGACTTATCTGCTTATAACATGGTAAAAAATATAGAATTCTGAATGACTCAGTATCACTATCACATCACACACTTGGATATCTGATGAATCATCAAAAGCAGGACTTGCAGGAGAAAAAAAAAAACAGAAACCTTTCTTGATTACAGTCTGACTTTCTGCTTCTAATCGGTTTATCCTCTCTACTAATTCATCTTTCTCCTTCTTCAGCTTCTCTGACTCCTCAACTGCAGCTAGGCGTTGCTTGTTTAAGAAAAGGATATCTATGAACAGAGCAAAGACGATGCAATACAATACAATCTGTGAGTTAACTTTCAAAATATGATGACTTTAAAGTTTGAACCCAATGACATCCAAATTTATTTTTACTTTGTTGAGCTTCTTTATAGAGGTTCCATATATCCTTTTGTTTTGCTTCTTTTATAACAGAGGACATTCCAAGATTTTCCTGTAAACTAACCAGTTACACTCTGTAAGATACTCGGAGAAGATTAACCAGAGAATACTACTAACCTGAGAATTCTCAAACTCTTCATGCCCATCTGATCTAGAACGAACAAATAGGAAAAAAATATTTTTTAAGAAAAAGTTCAACAGAAACCATAAAAGACTGAAACTTCATTGCCTAACTATCTAATTGAGTGGTATAATTTCATGAATTTCTCGTCTATTCAATCAATCTACATATGTATATAACTCAGTTATGGGAAAAAATGTTAATCAATGATCAATGTTACTATCAACCTGAAGAATTCGGACAAAGCAGAGCATAAAGAGATGAAACTCGAAATCATTGATCATCAAATGAATATAACTCAATTACTGCGAAAAATATGTTACATCAATGATCAATGTTAAAAAAGAGACGAAACTCAAAATCAACCTCAAGCAGTGAAGCCCGTGAGCCTTTTGATGCTTAAGGCTCAGTATTTGAAATTTTGAGGGTGACTCGCGCGGTGAAAGATTCCATATCACCGGAAGATTCGCCGCTGATTGCATCATTTACAGAGTTCGAATCGCCGGCAACAATTCTTAGTGACTTCGGGAAATTTGCCGAGAACAACAAAATAGAAACAAGCCGGAAAACTTTAACATATGGAAACTCGAAAATACCCCACTATTTATTAGTATTCTCAACACTCACTCAAACACTATCACAACTTTCAAAATTCACCCCATGGCAAAAACAGAAGCCAGATGAGAACTGTTATTTTCAAAATCCACCCCATAGTTTCTAAAGTAAAAAGATATTGCACGGTTTTTAATCCTTTGATGGAACTCTAGTATATGGAAATTCGAAAATGCCCCAATATTATTATTATTTTGAAAACTAAATCCATAATTTGAAGTGTGTGGCCAGATTAGTACATTACTATGCTAGATTAGAGTTTGCCATAATACACATGAAATACATAAGATGGTTAATAAGTTACACAATTTACTAATGTTATCAACGAGGACACTTAACTAAATCCTCCAAATGGAAAACGACTTGAGAGAGTTGATACTGAAAGTTTTCAGAACATGTTTCCTCTCTGCTTCTCTCTGTTTTCACTATACAAAAATAAAATTCCCAGTATTGATGTGTTTCATACTAGTGAGTAGAGATTGTAGAGATAAGTAATGGGGATTGGGTCCATGTTCAAGTCCGTGATGGTCGGACTCAGAAATAGAGTGGTGATGTGAAGATGACAAGTTTATGGTCCCATTTTCACTTTTATCGGCTACTGTTTCACCTTTCAGATGGACCACTCCAAATTTGAAAAGAATTAGAGAAAAAAGAAAAGCCTTTTTGTTCTAATTTCAATTTCAAACCAAAAGAAAAAAAAGTTTGCTTTGTTCAAACTTTCCTATTGGTTCTATTTTTCTTCATCATGCGTCGCTTTCACTACATGCTGTCTCTATTTCTACGTGGTTTTAAATGAAGCAAAACATATCAACTTTGTGCTTCTGTCTCTCCCAAAACAATACACAATTCCTAATTTTTATAATAATCAGCTTCTTGAGCTTTATTCTCCGTTAGTCCGAGAAAATGGTGTTTTTACCATTGACATAGATTCCACATACTTACATGATTAGCAAAAAGCTACGAAGATGGTATATTATTCTATAAGCATTCTATTTATCTACATACTATTACTAATCAGAATCATCTTTTTGGTGAGTAAAGATCTGAATAAAGATTGTGTTGGTAACTACTAATAAGAATCCTTATAGAGATGTGCGTTTAAGGAGACAAAAAGGAACACTACACGAGACGATGCGATTAGAGAGAATAAACAAAAGCCTGGTAATGGATACAACGTGCTTCCATGGTTGGATAAATTTATCTTCGGGCTTTGCATTCTTCCCTTATTTACTCTTAACCCAATGCTTTTCTCTTCATTCTCCGTTTGTAATTATATTTTTCTATTCACTTAAATTACAATTTTCAAGGCAGTTTTAAAATAAGGAAGAGATGGTTAAAAAATAAAGAAACGAATCTCCTTAAAACACCTACTCCCCACTACTTTCAGGTCGTCATCAAACCCACCAAGTTTTTCTTACATAAAGTTTCGTTCACACGTGCTTACCAGATCAGATTGTATATATAGTAGTTTTGGCTCAATAATACTATAAATTTGACACTACTTGTATTTAATAAGATGGTATCATCATAATGTAATATTTATAAAAATGTATTTACTGTGAAAACGAGATCAGTGACAGTGAACTGTAGCAACTGGCGAAGAAACCTCGTTTGCTGGACTGGCTGCGACTGCCTCCTTCTACGCGTTTGATTTACGATCGTGTCCCTAGTCTCCTCGCTTCAGACGGCTGCATTAATGCGAACAAAGTAGAGGGTGCTTTCGTCATTTTATGTTCCCGTCTGGTTTGGACTCGAAGGCTGATATGGGCATTTTACTCGCAACGCAACGACCAGTCCACTGAAGTTTTAAAGGTTAGAGATGTAATCTTACTCCTTTTCCTTCAGTCAAACCAATAATTGACCTAATGTTTTTGGTTATTTTTTCCACCACCAGCAAAATTATTACTACTTTTTTTTTTAATTATAATCAATCATTTGCAGTATCTTTTTTATTTTTCATGTAACTTTCTAATTTTTAGGTATTCCTCTTCTCAACATATTTTGCTGGTCTTGTTCTTCTAAAGAAAATATGATTATGTTTTTAGAGATTGGTTTTATTATATGGTCTAGATCTTATTCGTTTTTGTGGAGCTACTACTATTAAAAAGAAAAAAACACACTATACGTTTTGGACCTATTGCAATTTTGTTTCTTCATATATCGACCAAATAAAGAAAACGAAAATATGTAACAAAACATAATAATAATTCACTATCTGATTTTCGGACACATGGGCCCTGAGCTTTACGGCCCAATGACTATAAACCTCTCTTTACAAAGCGGGTCCTACGGTTGGAAACTTTTTGACTCACACCATTGGATGCCCTTGGAATGATTTCATCTGGACCGTTAAATCTAATTTAATTATTGGGTTTATCGCTTTAAAGCATCATTAACTTACGTATGGAATTATATTACCAATAACGATCTTTTTAGCTTTTGTCGTTTTTCTACAAAACCATAGGTTTAAGAATATTACCTGTCCTTTTTTGTTTTTCTGAGTGATTTTAGGTCTAAAAACCAATGGTATTATTATTAGCTTTTTAATCTATCTAAAATTAGAGTCATTTTTACAGTATCGGAAATATGACGTGGCACATAGACACCTTTGATCGCTGAAAAATAATTAAAGAATTTCAAAATAAAGCAATTTACAATTATAAAATAAAATCACTCCCTCCTCATCTTCTTCTTCTTCTTCACTTACCCCTCACCACACTCACACCATCTCATAAGTTTATAACCCTAATCTCTCACAGAGAAGAGAGAGACAGAGAGTTAAACAATGAAGTTACTTCTTCTTCTTCTGTTTCTCCTCCACATTTCTCATTCCTTCACCGCCGGCCGACCAGTCTCTGAGTTCCGTGCCCTTATCTCACTTAAATCCTCTCTCACCGGTGCCGGAGATGACTCAAACTCGCCTCTCGCCTCCTGGAAACCCTCAACTAGCTTCTGCACATGGACTGGTGTCACGTGCGATGTCTCTCGCCGGCACGTGACCTCTCTTGACCTCTCCGGCCTCAACCTCTCCGGTACTCTCTCTCCAGACGTGTCTCATTTACGTCTTCTTCAAAATCTGTCGCTAGCTGAAAATCAGATCTCCGGTCCAATCCCGCCGGAGATCTCGAATCTCTCCGGGCTTCGTCACCTGAATCTCTCAAACAATATCTTCAACGGTTCGTTTCCCGATGAGATGTCATCTGGACTAGTGAATCTCCGAGTTCTCGATGTCTACAACAACAACTTAACCGGGGATTTGCCGCTTTCCGTCACCAATCTGACTCAGCTCCGTCACCTCCACCTCGGCGGGAACTATTTCGCCGGTCGAATCCCGTCATCTTACGGAAGCTGGCCGGTTATCGAGTACTTGGCGGTTTCCGGCAACGAGCTCGTAGGCAAAATCCCTCCAGAGATCGGAAACCTAACGACTCTCCGGGAACTCTATATCGGCTACTACAACGCCTTTGATGACGGTCTTCCTCCGGAGATCGGAAATCTATCGGCGCTCGTCCGTTTCGACGCCGCTAATTGCGGGTTGACCGGAGCAATTCCGCCGGAGATCGGGAAGCTTCAGAATCTCGACACGCTTTTCCTGCAAGTGAATGTGTTCTCCGGGCCGTTAACTTGGGAGCTGGGAACGCTTTCGAGCTTGAAATCAATGGATTTGTCTAACAACATGTTCACCGGAGAGATTCCGGCGAGTTTCGCAGACCTGAAGAACCTAACGCTCTTGAACCTCTTCAGAAACAAACTCCACGGCCAGATACCGGAGTTCATCGGAGAATTACCGGAGCTGGAAGTGTTGCAGCTTTGGGAAAACAATTTCACCGGAAGCATCCCGCAGAAACTGGGGGAAAACGGTAAACTTAATCTCGTCGATCTCTCCTCCAACAAACTCACCGGAGCTTTACCGCCGAACATGTGCTCCGGTAACAATTTAGAAACTCTAATCACTCTCGGAAACTTCCTCTTTGGTTCAATCCCTGATTCTCTGGGCAGATGCGAGTCTCTGACCCGGATCCGAATGGGCGAGAATTTCCTAAACGGGTCAATCCCCAAAGGGCTATTCGGATTACCCAAATTAACTCAAGTGGAGCTCCAAGATAACTACCTCACCGGCGAATTACCGGTGGCAGGAGGTGTCTCCGTCAATCTAGGCCAGATCAGTTTATCAAACAACCAGCTTTCAGGTCCTTTACCTCCGGCGATCGGAAACTTCACCGGCGTTCAGAAACTTCTCCTCGACGGAAACAAATTCGAAGGACCGATTCCTTCAGAGGTAGGGAAGCTCCAGCAACTCTCGAAGATTGATTTCAGCCACAACTTGTTCTCCGGTCGAATCGCGCCGGAGATCAGCCACTGCAAGCTACTGACGTTCGTCGATCTGAGCCGAAACGAGCTCTCTGGTGAAATCCCAAACGAGATCACCGGTATGAGGATTCTCAACTACTTGAACCTGTCGAGAAACCACCTGGTGGGATCAATCCCTGGTTCCATCTCGTCAATGCAGAGCTTAACATCACTCGATTTCTCTTACAACAATCTCTCCGGTTTAGTTCCTGGAACCGGACAGTTCAGTTACTTCAACTACACATCCTTCTTGGGGAATTCTGATCTCTGTGGTCCTTATCTCGGTCCTTGCAAAGACGGTGTTGCTAAAGGAAGTCACCAGAGCCATGGTAAAGGAGCTTTATCTGCTTCTATGAAGCTGTTGCTCGTTCTTGGACTCCTCCTTTGTTCGATCGCCTTCGCGGTTGCAGCCATTATCAAAGCTAGATCCTTGAAGAAGGCGAGTGAGTCACGCGCTTGGAGATTAACAGCTTTCCAGAGACTAGACTTCACTTGTGACGATGTCTTGGACTCTCTCAAAGAAGACAACATTATAGGCAAAGGAGGAGCTGGAATCGTCTATAAAGGCGTGATGCCTAATGGTGATAGTGTCGCCGTCAAAAGACTCGCTGCAATGTCCCGTGGCTCTTCCCACGATCACGGTTTCAACGCAGAGATTCAGACGTTGGGAAGGATAAGGCACAGACACATCGTGAGGCTACTCGGTTTTTGCTCAAACCACGAGACGAATCTACTTGTATATGAGTACATGCCTAATGGTAGTCTCGGTGAGGTGCTTCACGGTAAGAAAGGAGGGCACTTGCACTGGGACACACGTTACAAGATTGCTCTTGAAGCTGCGAAAGGGCTTTGTTATCTCCACCACGATTGTTCTCCGTTGATTGTTCACAGAGATGTCAAATCAAACAATATCCTCCTCGATTCGAACTTCGAAGCTCATGTTGCTGATTTTGGTCTCGCTAAATTCCTTCAAGATTCCGGTACTTCTGAATGTATGTCTGCAATCGCTGGCTCTTATGGCTACATAGCTCCAGGTAAAAAAAAACAAGAACTTGCAAAAATGTTTCTAACTTTGCTCTGTTTTTTTTCTTTCCCCTGTTTTCTAAATTGTTTTGTTGTTTGTGTAGAATATGCGTATACGTTGAAGGTTGATGAGAAGAGTGATGTGTATAGTTTCGGTGTGGTTCTATTGGAACTCGTCACCGGAAGAAAACCAGTCGGTGAGTTTGGAGACGGCGTCGATATCGTGCAATGGGTTCGTAAAATGACTGATTCGAATAAGGAGTCTGTTCTTAAAGTGTTGGATCCGAGACTTTCTTCGATTCCGATTCACGAAGTGACGCACGTTTTCTACGTTGCTATGCTCTGTGTCGAAGAACAAGCCGTTGAGAGACCGACGATGAGAGAAGTTGTTCAGATTCTCACAGAGATCCCGAAGATGCCACCGTCGAAAGATCAGCAGGCGACGGAATTGACCGGAGTAGAGAAGTTAACACCGGATAATGAGCTCTCGCCGAAGTCCGGCGGCCAAGGTCCACCGGATCTTCTCAATCTCTGAGAGTTTTTCGGAGGTATAATTAGGGTGCCGGTAGAAGGGGGAATTTGTTCTTTTTCATAAAAAAATGTTTTTAGCGGTGAGATTTGGTTGTTAATTACTTATTTACCCTTTTAGTTTGGTTTGTGCTTTATTCCGGTTAGTGTTTTTGATTTGACTCTTTTTTAAGTGTGTTTCATTTTCTCGGCTTTTACTCTTTTTGTTTATTATCGGAATTCGTGTCTATTTAGTTTGTAATTTGAATCAATGAAGGTGTACAGTTGGAAAATGCGAATTTTTAATTTTGTCTTGAAAATAGTGAATTTCAATGTGTAATGTGAATACTCTTGCATGTCTTGCTCCAGCGTCACGCATCTGCAACTGATCTGAATTATCCAACCACTAATATATTCTATGCAAAATCGCATGGAGGTATCTAATCTATAAAAAAAATTGTTTGTCTTAGAAATCCGACAACAAGTTAGATATAGTTTAAAGCCTAACCTACTAGAACTGGTAGATCAAACCTTTGTTTTGTTTTCTACGAAGCAAAATTCAAAATAAAAAACATATTTTTAAATCGTTACATATATACAACAGAATTTATGTGTTAGTTTTCAGATATATACGCAAAGGTAATCTAATTAATAGATTGATGAATGTATATTTGCACGTACTGTTTGAGGGCGATTATGATTGCGGTTGCGTTAGCGGTTTCCATGAAGATTGTATGTAACTTAGAAGAATAATTAAAGAGAACAACGCATGTGGGAAAAAAGTCAGAAGCTCCAAGGTATAAATGTGGAGAGGGATAATGATTGGCTTTGAGTTAAAAGTAAAGAAAGTGAAACCTATCTCACTCACCAAAGTCTCTCCCACATGCAAATTAAAATATCTACTATATATAAATCTTAGGTCTTCAATGTTCTTGATGAGATCTCTTTGTCTAACTCTCTATTCCCTTCTCATGAAGCAATTTCTAGTCTATGTGAAGCATTTATGATTTCTCCATCATAAATATAAGCCGCACCCAACTTACAATATTTATTTGGTTTCATTTGGGTGTACGTAGATTCCAATGATGATTGTAGATCTTATATGGTTCGTCTAGTTTTTTTTTATCAGAAAATTTGGGTCAAGCATACAAAATTACAGCTATCATAATGTTTGCTCACATCTTATATAAGTGAAAGTCTGGTATGATGACTTAGTGGCACGTTGATATTGCAGTAAATTGATGATGGTAGACTTGCTAGTATTGGGAAGGGGGAAAAAGGGTATTGTAGTAGTTGCAATCTAATTAAAATGTTCTAACGTTTTTCCGTATCAGTCTAACGTAAATAGACGAAATTGTTTTTGTTGGTCGAAATCATACTAAAACGTGGTGATATATCTACATGCAAATTAGTATTCTTGTCTACGTAACATAAAATTAGTGAATATATATATATATATATATGTTTGTAAGTTCAAGTTTGTAAAAAAAAAGAAAACTCACTAAAGGTGTGTGTGATCACGATACCATCGCATAACTACTATTCGCGTCAATGGAAAAATCATGTTCGATGGATCAGAAAGGTGAAAAGAAAAATAAATAGTAATGTCTTTTCATCTCAGCTTCATATTCTCACGCAATGCGTAATTTCCGGACAATGAAGTAAACGATTTAAAACAAAACTACAAACTTTCTTACCTCAAAGAATTTTCGTCTGTGACAACTCATGAGCACTGAAAATAAGACTCCAATTCCCTAATTTAAATTTACCCTGTATCTACGCTACAGGCCTATCATATGAATAATCCAACATTTTGATTCGTATGTGTTAGCTTTTTAGGGATGAAAAAGCCACGTGAAATATATGATTGTGAAAAGACAGAGACACGTAGAAAAGAGAGAAAGGAGTGCACTGTGTTTGAATGGGTCCGTTTTGTCATTTTCTTGGTTTCATTGTTTTCCCCGACACAGTTATGTCCCATCCCTCGTAGTTGCTAAGAGAATCCTTACACAAAGGTAAATTACAATAACATATAAAAAAAAATTTATCTCTTCATTTTGATACGTGCAATGCTGTTTGAAGAAACACGTACAGTCTATTTTGTTTTTTGAAACTACAAATTATGTATATGTATTGGTTACCACTTACCACTTACACACTACACTGCCAAACCTAATCTTACCTGCTATCCACTAACAATATTATACTATAAATATAATATACGATAGTGTCTAAATATGTAAGATCATAATAAGAGCCTTACTTTATACTAGTATATTTTATGTGCTAGTGAGTAGTGAATGTTCTGTTGGCCCAAATTTACTAATTAATACTCTTTGTATTTCTTAAATTTACATGTTTCTGGAAGATGATTATTTGAGTTGAAATGCGATTAAGTTCGCACGTCTATGACATGTGACTGAACGAATTAAAATAAACGGTGTGAATAGTTAGTAGATGAAGTGATTCATGGTACGTAGGTCAAAATCAAAAAAAAATATTTCATATCGCAGCATAATGTTAGGTAGAGATTCCCCCTTGCTTTTGCAATATAATACATCTTTTCGTTTAATTTGAATCGACAATATATACATTAAAAATTGAGGAACAGATTCATCATTAATAATATGCGAATGAGATGAAATATTCATAAGCGAGTTTTAAACAAAAATAATAATCCATCAGCGGATTTTTTTGTTCTGCTAAATTGAGAATGAACAAATAACTAAGAAAGCGAAATTAAAGAATTCGGTAAATGTTAGAAAAGACATAAAGAAGAAGAGACATTGGTTAGGGGCCCCCTTCTCTATTTGTTTGCAAACTTTTTAAAAATTCAACGTAAGAAATGTTTTTATACGCTTCTGATCATTTTGGCATTAAAACACCCAAGCATACATGTATCAAAATCATTTATTAAATAAGTTAGCTGTAAAGTTCACTCGCCACTTTGTTGATAAATATAAATAATAATTTTGATAAATATCTCAATTTTCGTAAGAAATTTGAAAATATACTGAATTTTTTTATATTTGATAAATACATTATTTTCAACGTAAAAATATTTAATTAATAATTATTTAAATCAATGATTAAAAATTATTAAACTGAAATTTGCAATATATAATTTATTTAGATTATTTAATTTTAAACATTCAAAACTATTTTTTTAATATTTTGTATTAATGAAATACTAATTTTCCAATAAAATAAGATTTGGAATAACTTATATAAATGACTAGTTAAATAATCTTGATTTTTTTCGTATAAATATTAGATCCAATAAAAAATTGAAAAAAATGAAATTCAACCAAATCATTGATGCAATATATACCTCTTAATTTAGACTCGTACTCAACAGAGTCTTTTATCTTTTGCAGTGGGGATGATTATCATATATTCGATAATTAACATTTATCAGTGAAAAGTTAAAACATATGAAATTTTAATAACAAAGTTATAATTGCGAATCAAAACTTTAGCTTTCTTTGTCTTCGGATTCCATTTCCACCAGACCAGTTAATATCGTCCGAAAAGGGAAGACCCAGTCAACTTGACACGTGCCCTTGTCACACGTGTCTCACTAAACATTCTTCACACCGCACGATAAGTCTTAAAGCATCACTCACGAGATCACAGTAATTGTTAAGATTTTCCCTCTTATTTTTGTTGTTGTTGTTGCTAAACTTGAATGGTCTTTATATTAATGTTCATTACAAAACGAGAGATCATCACACGAGAATGTACCATTGTTAAAAGTTTACCAAAATGACTAATGTATATTGGGCCCGAAATTTATGGGCATTGGTTAGACCCATATGAGCTCAGACTAGAGTTGGGTTATATCACATATTGAAGACACCAGTACAGTTCCGTTAATCATAGAATTAAATTTGCCTTCATAAACTGGGGGCTTATGAGTCATATCACTAGTACACACTAATGGGCTATACTTTTAAAGACGAAGACCCAGTAGAACGAGAAGTAAATGGCAAAAACACCCTCAATCTTCAGGTCTTGGGGAGCGTGTGAGTCACGACAAAGGAGAAAGCCGTTCTGTTCTGTTCGGTTCCGTTCCATTCGTATCCACAGATTCAGATGGCTGTCCTTGATTAAGTTTTTTCTTATAATAATTTAGATTTTTCTCTTGTACTATACTCCTTAATTAAGGTTTTTTTTGTTTTTCTTTTATGCTATAATAATTGAATACGGTTTTAATATAGAATAACGTTGTTAGAAAAGCGACACAACAACACAAGTGGAAGAGAGTGTCGTGGATAAGAAAGTGAGAAAGGAGACAAAGGGGGGGGCAGTTCAACAACTTTCTAAAGTTATGGGCTTATAATTGATAACCACAAAGTATATACATTATTCTATTTTCTTTATCAAAAAATATTAATTCACATCATGATTTGTTTTTTCTCAACACAATTCACTTAGTTGATAGACTGGCTACATTATATGTTGACCAGAGTGAATCGCATTGCATCATTCTTAGACTGGCTACATTATTATCAACAATGTAGTGTTAGATTTTAATCATACGAACGCATGTATTTAAAGTGATAATTTTTTGAAATGGTCTTTTGGGAAAGATAAATGTTGACTAAAGTACAGTTAAATCAGACAGAAGAGTCTTCACGGCGATTGCATATTCCGAAGCAAAATTAAATAGTAAATGAACTGATAATTTAGAATTGGTACTCAAATAGGTTCCTTCTATATAATTCCGAAATTATATTTACACCTCCCATCAAGTCAAGTTATAGCATTTACTTACCCTATTTTTTTCTTTCTAGGCGATCGTTAATGTCAAAGAATTTAAACAAACAACATCGGGGAGAGAACAATATTGCAAAGAAGTCTCGTTACACTGTTAAATTAATCTAAAGATTAGACATTAACTGCGCCTAACTGAAGACTAAAGAAGAGTTTATCAAAGTCTACACAGAACCTAACATTCTCTGTTCTCCATGCATCCATCTAAGGGACAATTACCATCCTTCAACTCAATGCTACCTTTGTATTTTAGTTTAAGTTTTCTTTGTTCAAAAATATAATTCCTGGCTTAATACAAGTAAAACATATTAGTATTATTTTAGTATGCAAACGCAAACCTAAGAGCAGAAGCATACAAATGTACATAGTTAGTAGAATCCAAGTATCTAACTCGATTTCCAAAATTTGCATACCACTAAAACCACTCGGTATTAATTATATTAGAGCATCTCCGGCGGTTAACAATCTTTGTAATATTTAAAAAAAAATTATTAGTTTTTAAATAATGAAAGAATCTGAACTAATCATAAAACACCCATATTAAATGAGTCTGTAAAAAAGCTTACAAATATATTTTGTTTAATCAATTTGGTAAACGGTTTTTCCATCTTTTTTTAACTTTTATTATTATATTAATATTTTTTAGTAAAGATACTGTGATAAGTCTTAGTGACGAACACGAGAAACATCAGTATACGTCCACGTTAATACATACACCACCTTTACTTTTTTTTTTGATAACTTACGTGTTTGTATTATTCAAACTTTCGGTTTGACGATCCTTATCTCGCAGTTTTCATTCTGTTATGTGGTGGAAAATGAAAATACAAAAAGTAGATTTCAAACTCACTTCACATTCTCCATCCACCTTCTCTTGTCCGTAACCCAAAACGAGATTTGGACATTTTAATTGAAACCCATGCTTTGCTCGCACTTCGCTTTCTTCACAATCTTACCGTTATATTTCGAATAATCATCTCTCTTAAAACGACAAAAAATTCAATTCCCACTTCAAAAAATATTACCAATTATGTATTAAACGTATGATCAATTGATTTTTCTAGATTAGTCGATTTTGCCATACATCATAAATTATACTAGTATTATATACTTCTATTAGGTCCACCAAACTTTGTTTAAACACCCGTAATATCTGAAAATATTTAGAAGGCAGAACACTAAAAAGAGTTTTCTAGATTCCTTTATTCAACTTTGGACTCGAGACACTTGAAAGAAAGAAAAAAACTGTCACTAGACTTAAACCTACTTCCCATGCGAATCAACAAAAGAAGAAAGAAAGCAAAAGAAGGAAGAGTCATTTGGAAAAAAAAAAACCTTTAAATCCGTTCTTCTTTAACTCGTTAAACGTTACTTAGCTTTCTAACCCATCAAAAACCCATGAAAATTCTATGAACAGATTCTCACATTCATCGTGTTTATTCTCTCTCTCTCTCTCTTCCCAACACGATGATAAGCACTACTACATCTCTCTTCTTGTTTCTCTCTCTACTTGTTATTTTCTCTTCTCTCCAAGTATCTTCCAACGGAGACGCTGAGATATTGAGTCGGGTCAAAAGGAGTCGGCTTTTTGACCCGGATGGAAATTTAGATGATTGGGTCATCACCGGAGATAAACGGAATCCGTGTAACTGGACGGGAATTACATGCCGCTCTAGAAAAGGTAATCCTGGTGCCGTCACGGCGATAGATCTCTCCGACTATGGAATCTCCGGTGGGTTTCCTTACGGCTTCTGTCGTATCCGCACGCTCGTCAAAATCACTCTTTCCCAAAACTATCTCAACGGTACGATAGATTCTGCTCCTCTCTCCCTCTGTTCTCGAATTAAGGTTTTGATCCTCAACGTAAACAACTTCTCCGGGAACTTACCGGAATTCTCGCCGGCGTTTCGTAAGTTACACGTCCTCGAATTGGAATCAAACCTGTTTACCGGCGAGATTCCCGAGAGCTACGGGAGATTTGCTTCTTTGCAAGTTCTGAACCTCAACGGCAACTCGCTCGATGGAATCGTTCCAGCGTTTTTGAGTAATCTGACCGAGTTAACTCGTCTTGAACTAGCTTACGTCGGATTCGAGCCTGGTCCGATTCCATCGGCATTTGGGAACTTGACGAAGCTGAGTAATCTTCGACTAACTCACTCGAATCTCGTCGGAGAAATTCCGGATTCGATAGGGAATCTGGTTTTCCTAGAGAATCTCGATTTAGCTATGAATGGTCTCACCGGAGAAATACCTGTTAGTATCGGACGACTCCAATCGCTTTATCAGATTGAGCTCTTCGATAATCAGCTGTCTGGGAAATTGCCGGATGGTATCGGAAATTTAACCAACCTGAGGAATTTCGATGTCTCGCAGAATAATCTCACCGGTGAATTGCCGGAAAGCATCGCTGCTCTGCAACTCGTCTCTTTCAATCTCAACGACAATTTCTTCACCGGAGAATTACCACAAGTCGTAGCTCTGAATCCTAATCTCGTCGAGTTTAAGATCTTCAACAACAGTTTCACGGGGACGCTACCTCGGAATTTCGGAAAATTTTCCGGAATATCTGAATTCGATGTTTCCACGAACAAATTCGTCGGTGAATTGCCGCCGTATCTATGCTACAGGAAGAAGCTTGAAAAGATAATCACTTTCAGCAATCAATTAAGCGGAAAATTTCCGGAATCTTACGGCGATTGTCGTTCGCTTAATTACGTCCGAATGGCGGATAACAAACTCTCCGGCGAAGTACCGGCCAGGTTTTGGGAACTTCCTCTTACTCGTCTCGAGCTATCCAACAATCAATTAGAAGGTTCGATGCCTCCGTCGATATCCAATGCTCGTAATCTTTCTCAAGTCGAAATCTCCGGTAACAACTTCTCCGGCGTGATTCCCGCGGAAATATGTGATCTCGGTGACCTAAGGGTCATCGATCTAAGCCGCAACCGTTTCTCAGGAAATTTTCCATCTTGCATTAACCGATTGAAGAATCTGGAGAGAGTGGAGATGCAGGAGAATATGCTCGACGGCGAGATTCCGAGTTCAGTGAGTTCGTGCACTGACTTAACCGAGTTGAATCTCTCGAATAACCGTTTCCGCGGCGGAATACCACCGGAACTCGGGGACCTACCGGTTTTAAACTATCTGGATCTCTCAAACAACCAACTCACTGGTGAGATTCCGTCGGAGCTGTTGAAGCTGAAGCTAAATCAATTCAACGTCTCCGATAACAATCTGTACGGCAAGATCCCTTCTGGATTTCAGCAAGATATTTTTCTATCGAGTTTCTTGGGTAACCCGAATCTCTGTGGCCCGAATATGGATCCGATTCGACCTTGCCGATCCAAACCCGAAACCCGGTACATCCTCGTCATCTCTGTTATCTGCATCATTGCACTAACCGGAGTTTTGGTTTGGCTATTTATAAAAACCAAACCGTTATTCCGGAGAAACCCGAACTGGTCCAACAAAGTAACCATTTTCCAGCGGATCGGATTCACCGAGGCAGACATATACCCGCAATTAACAGAAGATAACATAGTCGGTTCGGGCGGATCGGGTTTGGTTTACAGAGTGACGCTCAAATCAGGTCAGACGCTCGCGGTTAAGAAACTTCGGGAAGGACCGGGTCAAAAACCAGAATCCGAATCCGTTTTCAGATCCGAAGTAGAGATTCTGGGTCGGGTCAAACATGCAAACATAGTAAAGCTTCTCATGTGTTGCAGCGGCGAGGAGTTTCGGTTTTTAGTGTACGAGTTCATGGAAAACGGCAGCTTGGGTGACGTTTTGCATTCAGAGAAAGAACATCCTGCCGTTTCTCCGCTTGACTGGACGACGCGGTTTTCGATCGCGGTTGGTGCAGCTCAAGGACTTGCTTATCTACATCATGATTGCGTTCCGGCGATTGTCCACCGTGACGTCAAAAGCAATAATATATTGTTGGACCATGAGATGAAGCCACGTGTTGCTGATTTCGGTTTAGCTAAACCGTTGAAAAGAGAAGACAATGATGGTGTCTCCGATGTTTCTCCAATGTCTTGTGTTGCTGGATCCTTCGGCTACATTGCTCCAGGTTAGAACTTCTGGATGCTATTTCTTTACTTTTCTAATCAAATTATTAGTGTTTACAAAAGGCTATCATCTAAACCGAACCAACAAATCATACAAATATATGTTATTCTGTTGTTGTGATTGCAGAATATGGTTATACGTCGAGAGTGAACGAGAAAAGCGACGTGTATAGTTTCGGGGTAGTGTTACTCGAGTTGATTACCGGAAAAAGACCAAATGATTCGTCTTTTGGGGAGAATAAAGACATTGTTAAGTTTGCAATGGAATCAGCTTTGTGTTACTCTTCTCCATCACCTGAAGACGTAGTAGACATGAATCAAGATTCACCTGCATATTTTCGAGATCTTAGCAAGCTTGTGGATCCAAAGATGAATCTGTCGACAGGAGAATATGAAGAAATAGAGAAAGTTCTTGACGTTGCTTTGCTCTGCACGTCGTCGTTTCCGATTAGTAGACCGACCATGAGAAAAGTAGTGGAGTTGCTCAAAGAGAAGAAACCAATTGAGTGATACAATGGCCGTTTTTCTTCATCTGGTTTAAATCATAGGATCGTTACTTTATTATATAGGTTTGGATTGTGCTTGAAAGTTTGGGCTTTTAGAAAACTATAGTTTATAAACTTAAACAGCTAATTATTCTCGTTTTTGGTTAAGATTTGTAAGATTGGGAATGAAATTTTAATGCCATTGGTTTTTCTTGGACGTATCAAAACTAAACCTAGAGGAAAATCTGAAAATGATTCTCGTTCTTGTCAAGATTTGTAAGTTTCATGAAGTTATACATGTAGTGGAAAGACAAATTTCTTGTGAGAAACTAAAAAAAATCTTTTTCACCAAAGAATTTAGTTGAAAGGCCCATTATAAATTAACAGGCCTACTTCACTCATATTGTCTTTAATTTAGGGTTTCAGAGACGACCACGTTGCCTGTGTCACGAAACCGACAGTGACGCTATCATTTTCACCTCCGATAAGCATAGAACCTTTCGCATCTTTTTTCTCTTAATCTCAGCTTCTTCTTCTTCATCAACACCGAAGCATTAGACGAGAAGATAAGAGAATCAATCAACCAATTAGAGAAAATTGGGAAACGCAATCTGAGGTTTGAGAATCAATGGCGTCTAAATTTATCTATTCCACAATCCGCCGATCGCTAACAAAACCGCATGGCGCTGTTTCCCGGCGTCACCACTTGTCTACCGCCACCGCCGCTGCTCCTACCGCGACGGCGGTGGATTCCTACGCGGATGAATCAGGGATCGTGATGAAAGGAGTTCGAATTTCAGGTAGGCCTCTTTATCTGGATATGCAATCGACGACTCCGCTTGATCCCAGAGTGTTCGACGCGATGAACGCTTCTTCCATCTACGACTACGGGAATCCTCACTCCCGAACGCACCTTTACGGCTGGGAAGCGGAGAACGCAGTCGAGGTCGCACGAATCCAGGTCGCGAAGCTGATCGGCGCTTCACCGAAGGAGATCGTATTCTTATCCGGCGCGACGGAGGCGAACAACACAGCGGTGAAAGGGGTGATGCACTTTTACAAGGACAAGAAGAAGCACGTCATAACCACACAGACTGAGCACAAGTGCGTCCTTGATTCCTGCAGGCATTTGCAGCAGGAAGGATTCGAGGTAACGTACTTGCCTGTGAAAACTGATGGATTAGTCGATGTAGAGATGCTTAGAGATGCTATTAGACCGGACACAGGGCTAGTCTCTGTTATGGCTGTGAACAATGAGATTGGTGTGGTTCAGCCTATGGAGGAGATAGGTAGGATTTGCAAAGAGCATAAGATTCCGTTTCATACTGATGCTGCTCAAGCTATAGGGAAGATTCCTGTTGATGTTGAGAAGTGGAATGTTAGCTTGATGTCGATGAGTGGTCACAAGATCTATGGACCGAAAGGGGTTGGTGCTCTGTATGTGAGGAGGAGGCCGAGAATAAGGATCGAGCCACTGATGAATGGTGGAGGTCAAGAGAGGGGGCTTCGTAGCGGCACGTTGTCTACGCAGCAAGTTGTTGGCTTTGGGGTTGCTTGTGATTTGGCGATGAAGGAGATGGAGTATGATGAGAAGTGGATTAAGAGGTTGCAGGAGAGGTTGCTGAACGGGGTTAGAGAGAAGCTTGATGGGGTTGTGGTGAATGGCTCGATGGAGAGTCGATATGCAGGGAATCTGAATCTGTCGTTCGCTTATGTTGAAGGAGAGTCTCTTTTGATGGGTTTGAAGGAAGTTGCAGTGTCTAGTGGAAGTGCTTGCACAAGTGCGAGTTTGGAGCCTTCTTATGTGTTGAGAGCTTTGGGTGTGGATGAGGACATGGCGCACACTTCGATTAGGTTTGGGATTGGTAGGTTTACGACGGAAGAAGAGATTGATAAAGCGGTCGAGCTTACGGTGAAACAAGTTGAGAAGTTGAGGGAAATGAGTCCGCTTTATGAAATGGTGAAAGAAGGAATCGATATCAAGAACATACAATGGTCTCAGCACTGATTCGACAGAGTACCAGTCAAATCGTGCGGTATAAGAGGGAAACTCGGGTCTGTGCATGGCCTGGTGTGAGCCATGCTGAGATGTGAGCGTGTGACTCGATGAACTGATCCTGAGTTGTTACTATGTTCTGTTGGTAATTTATCTATATTTGCTTTCTAGATATAGATTCCAAGTGAGAGTTTCTTTGTATGGTTTTGTAATAAGCAGAGCAGGAACAAAACTTAATTTCTTTGTTTTGGATTGTGATCGTTTGGATTAATTTCTAGGTGTTATGAACCTTAATAGCTATTATTAGCTTTACCTTTATATCATCCATACGCAGAAGGAAATACAGGAAAAAAAAACAAATTTACATTAATATTTTTGTACATACTACTACTTTCGTTTCAAATCGAGTTTTAGCTTTTAGGGGTAAAGTGATATAATTATATGTTTTCCAAGGATAATTTTTTGTAGATGCGGTAATTCTGTTACACAATAACATTTTCAATATATTGATAATTTTCTCTTTGATTGTCCGTTTTTTTCTTCTTCCAGTTTTGATGGGGTTTTTAACCGATTAAACGTACTCACTCAGATTTTGAAGTAAGAAAACATGAAATTAATTTGACCTATTGAATATATTTTTTTTAATTTTAAACATGAAATTACATGGGCCTAATACTCTTAATGCTCTGAGTCGAAGTATACCAAAACCTCATGTGGTTCGGTATTGAAAGTTTATCATTAGATCTACGCTCGACTCGACCTTTGTTACAAACTCATATATGATCCAATATATGTAATAATCTTTTTTTTATATATATATTCTTGAATTTATTTATTATTTAATTGGATAGAAACAAGTACTTGGTAGGTTACAAGTTACAGGAGGCCCATGGGAGACATGAATGGATACAAAACCTCATATTATAAATTCTCTACCATAGGTTGTGTTTTTTATCTTTGTTGCTGAGAAAACCATCGGTTATGTTACGTACCACAACTATCATTTGATTGAGACATTACACCCTTTCAAGTGTATAAACCACACGTTCGTATGCATTTTCTCCCCAAATATATCTTCGCTTTGTCTTCTATAAAAAAAGGAATTGAAACATTTAATGTTTTGTAATTGCACGTTTCGCAGTCAGTTTAAGGAAGACTCTTAGTTAATTTATTACGAAAATGGTCATATGACTGAATGTATATTTGCATATAACATATACGGGGTTCTGTATTCAGGCTTGTCGATAGTGTAGGAGCTTTAGTTCAACAGGTAAAAACTAAAAACGTCCTAAATTTTATCCAAATAACCAAAATTTAAGTCACTCGCGGAAACATAAGATGATAACCATTCACATCCTTGTCATATTATTGGCATCAAATTTATGTGTTTTTATTTGGGATAAAAATTAATAGTTTCATAAATGAGTAGGCCATGAGACTGCTCGCAATTAGCTGTGTGGAAAGCTAAACGATGTCTCCTTGTGGTGTTAGATGCTACCGTCCACGTCATCGTCCTAAATCCTCAATTCCTATTGGCAACAAAATTTTGCGTGTATAAATACATGCACACTTATCATTCTCTTGACAATTTAAAAGCAAACACACAAGTAAAACACAAAACACTTTTTATTTTTGATACAAAGTCACACCATGGCTATGAAATATTTTCTTTGCATTGTCACACTCTTTACGCTAATGTACATCCAGCAGATTTCCGCCCGGCCTGCGACATTCGCCGACGATTTCAAGGCGGCATGGTCGGACTCTCACATCCGTCAAATCAACGGCGGAAAAGCTATCCAACTTGTCCTTGACCAGAGCACAGGTAAAACCAAACCACATAACATAAACATTCCTCTTTGACTTATATTGGAACATTTATAAAAAAACTATTGTCTCTCAAAAGGATGTGGATTCGCTTCCAAAAGGAAGTATCTATTCGGAAGAGTGAGCATGAAGATCAAACTCATTCCCGGCGACTCTGCCGGTACGGTCACTGCCTTCTACGTAAGTCTTTCATTTTACCCCCATTAGTTTTAATATTTCACACATTTACCACCAAACAAATGATTTCTTCAAAATATACCATTTTTTATAACATTGTCGGTTTAATCATTCATATGTCTATAGATGAACTCGGATACCGACACGGTGAGAGACGAGCTAGACTTCGAGTTCTTGGGAAACCGAAGTGGCCAACCTTACTCGGTGCAAACAAACATATTTGCTCATGGCAAAGGAGATAGAGAACAAAGGGTTAATCTTTGGTTCGATCCGGCTTTAGATTTCCACACTTACACTATCCTATGGACACACAAACACATTGTGTAAGCTTTCTCTCTGATCACAACTACAAGTCTTTTTTTTTGTTCACACTGTTTGAAAACTAAACGTGGGCATGTTTGGTTTATTAATCAGTTTTTACGTAGACGATGTGCCAATAAGAGAATACAAAAACAATGAAGCCAAGAACATAGCCTACCCAACATCACAGCCTATGGGAGTTTACTCAACATTATGGGAAGCCGATGATTGGGCGACACGTGGTGGATTAGAGAAAATTGACTGGAGCAAAGCTCCGTTTTATGCTTATTACAAAGATTTCGACATAGAAGGTTGTCCTGTTCCTGGACCCACCTATTGTCCATCGAACCCTCGCAATTGGTGGGAAGGTTACGCTTACCATTCACTTAACGCCGTGGAAGCTAGACGTTACCGTTGGGTTAGAGTAAATCATATGGTCTATGATTATTGTACCGACCGGTCTAGGTATCCGGTCCCACCACTCGAGTGTCGTTCTTGAAAATAATACCATATCTCCAATGTCCATACGTACGTACAATGATCATGTTTCTTCTTTGTACGATATTTTATATATATATATATATTTGTGAGAAAACGTGGATTGTATTGTCTTTTATGCGATTCTGCATATACGTAAGTACGTGCTGTATAATTGCTAATGTGTGGTTATTTGAAAACTTTATATAATTGATTTTGTCAAGAAGTAAATGTTAAATGATGTGACTATGAATATCGAAAGCAAATATTTCTCCGTATTACCAAAGAGTTTCGAATCTTTATCCCCCAATTGCTTCGGGATGAGGTTCAAACATGTAAATTTAGTCAGTCTATATATTCTCTAACATTGAGATTTCAAACTCATGACTTTGAAACGCATTTTTTTCTTGGAAGATCTTTATAGTAAACGGGTAGAGTTGAAAACATTGGATTCCAAATGTTAATGACGTTACAATTTACATGACCACTAAAATAAACACGAACACAGAGAAAATAATGAAACAATAAAACCTATATAAAATTATAAATGTTACAAGGATTTGTTGCACGAAGAAGATATTATTGGTTTTGGCCATATGGTCCCATTTCCAGCAAAGGCGTCAGATTTGCATTAAACCTTAGAAGAAAATGTCTAATCAAGTTCAGAACTTGTTGAAATAATGTGTAACTCATAGCTAAATGCCAAGAAAACCATAAAAATTTGATGGGAATTAATGTCATATCTAATATTTCAACTTTAGGATCGAGCGAGTTCTCATTTACATATTTTTCCTAACAAGTAATACGTGGTGTTCGAAGTCATCGTCCATACACAGGCCAGAGACTTAAACAAAGATTAATTTTTTTGTTGTGGGTTTTAATTGGTTTGTAAAAAGATAAGTTATTTTGTTTAAAGTTTAAGACTTGTGATTTCTTAAACACAGATTGATTAAGCCACCGACAGTACTACAGCTGGAGAAGAAGGCTAGTAGAGCCATGGGGAAGAAGGCAAATAATAGCATTCAAAAGCTCCTTTTTTTATTCTTTATAATTTATTCACTAAGTAAAAGAGTTATTGCTTGAAACTGATTGATAGATCAGCTTTGGAATTGAGTGGCCAAAAAGACAAAATATGTAAGGTACAATTACATTACTTATTTGAAAGCTACTTGAGTTTCTATCTTAAACAGTAGAGAAGAAAATATAGTAAAAGAAGGGAGTTTTTATCACCAGTCACTTATTTGAAAGCTACTTGAGTTTCTATCACCAGTCACTACACCACTCTCATCAGTCAAATGTAACTCACTCTTTGTATCATGTTTCACTATGAAGTATGGGTTCAAGGGTTTGAGACTAAGAGGATGGTCTTGTCTAAGCTAATTTGTTCATGTTGTTGATTTTGACTGCGACTGGATCTGAACAGTAAGGGCAGTTCCCAAACAAAACATCAAATGACCTGCAAGAAAATGGATCAAATTTGCGCGTTAGAGCACATGAGACATGACTTGCGTGTGTGTGTGACAGAGGGAGAGAGAGAGAGAGAGATTAAGATTTCTTCTACTTACTGTCTTGTTGTTGTGATAGACCTTAACCAGTCTGTGAGGCAAAGGCTATGGAAAGACTTGTTGCAACTGGTGTTTTCGCATGTGTAATCTGTCCGCGTCCCACTTCTAGCTCCGAGTTCCTCATCTTTGTTAAAAGTAAACGAGAAGTTAGTGTGTACTAACAGTAAATTACTATTCTGAACTATATAAAGACTTGTTTATTGTTTTTTCGGTTGAGAAATCACCTGTGGGTAGAAACTGAGCATAGCAGATTCCGCAATCAACTTGCTGATGATCGTCTTCCTCTTGGAGACCTTGAGGCCTTGGAAGCTCAGTGCCTAGAACACATTCAAGGTTCTCGAGAAATGACTTTTCCTTTGACCTGTGTGATCATATTCAAACGTAGTTCATGCTTTCAACAATCCATAAAAGCTCACTTCTCTGCCTATTCCATGCTATAACCTATTAAAAGAGATTGAAAATGGGAAAGACCATTTTTTGCTATTTCTTCTGCACATCATATGTAAGTTGTTGATATCCATGGCTTGAGGCTCAGGACCAATAAACCGGCACCTGCCTAAGCAATTCGATATTCCATATAATGTCGAAAAGACAGAGATTGTAGTGAGTGCGTGTTTGGCTAGAAACATACTCTGGAAGGGATTTAGGGTCGTTGAAGTTGACATGAACAATGAGGATGCAATCGTTTCCTAAGAAATGTTTACATAAAAATGATATGTTATACAACATAATTTGAAATAGAATAGAGAAAACAGAAAAGGGTCAAAGGTGTCATTAAACCAGCATGAATACGACGGACAGGAGAGGCACGAGATGGTTGCTTAGCATCAACAACACACAGAGATTTGTCGATATCGTCCAAGACAGACCAAAATTCTTGAAGATTGTCCACATGCTGTCAACATATTAATAAAACCAAACCCATGATGTGTGTTTGCTGATTACTGATGATCACTAAGAGAGGATGTACAAAGTCGCTACCTTTTGGAACTGGAGCATCACATCCTTCAGTCTTGAGCTTGTTGTTGACCATTGTAGAGTAAACATGTACGGCACATCCTGCGTTTCAAAGGCAAACGTTAAGCAAGTCAAGAAGAGTGGAGAAGTTGAAAGAGAAAGCATAACAAAAACGATAAAACAAACCGCGGAAACAGAAGGTTTGGATTTAGGATAGTCTCTGTCCAATTGAATTTCTAAGATGTGTGCTCTTCCCTTCTTATCTCTGTATATATGTTGATGATGATGATAAGAGATGTTCAGGATACAAAACCAATCTAACGGTTCACTAACATTATCCATTATTCAACGAATTCGAAGAAAACACAACCCAGAAAAATTTATGGAGCTTACTGAATGTGAAAGCTGAAAAACGTTAAATCTCCACCTAATCTTCGTAGCGGTTCCCATCCTACTTCCTCTATCTACAAACAATCCGTTCATCAACCAAAATTGTTCAAAATTTGTTGTGAACGATCGATTTTTTCAGGAAGGAAAATGAAATACAAAGATCGATGATTAACCTCCGAGTAAACCTTCCGGTAAAACGAAGAAGACTTTGCTAATTCCTCACATCTTGCGCGTCCTATCGATTCCTGCGAAAATTTGTCTCCAGAGGCATTCATGAAGTTCTTATTGAAGTATCTAAACTGGACTCTATTTCTGTACTCTAAGCTCAACGAAGAACTTTTCCCATTTTTGTATGAAGAATTCGAGTGTGATGGGTTGGGCCGAGAAGCCCAATGTCTGGTGGATTGTGTGTCACGGTATGGGCTAATAAGCCCATTATTATCTCTTGGGTCTTCTTCGACTTATTCGTGCTGTGTATGTAATATTATAAGACATGCTTAAATTGTTGGGTATTTTGACATAAATTATTCTACAATCCTTTTTTCGGTTTAATCTCCCTTTGTTCAAAACTTCAAGTTGATTCCAATTTTATGTTAGTCAAACAATTTTTTATATTAATATAATTGGCATTTGTTTTGAAGAAAAAGTCACTGTCTTGGGAACCTAAAATAAATTTTTATTATATCTTCAGTCTTATTCGAATTATTCGTACTATGTATATATTTGTTATCTCATCCAAACCGTATTAAATATTATAAGACACACATTAATTATTGGTTATTTTGATGTGAATTGTTCTACATTTTTTTTTATTTAATCTCCCTTAGTTCAAAACTTCAAGTTGATACCATTTTCATGTTAATCAAACCAATATTTTTTATTAATAAGCTTAATAGGCATTTGTTTTTTAAAAAAAATCACGTCTTCCGAACCTATAATATAAATTCTTTTGCTTTTAGTTTGTTAACCCAATTTAAAACATACATAAACAACTCGATTAACCACTTGAGTAAGACCATGAACCTTCGTTGGGTTTAAATCCCTCTCTTTCATACTCTATTTTTTGAAAAACTCTTTGACTTGTTGTTGAGATTATGAGTTATAGATGATTTTAATCACTTGTTTGGATGATTTTAAATCACTTTTTGGATGAGAAAAAAAAATACACATCCATATATATAGTTGTACCAATTTTGTACAAAAGCCATTAGATAGAACAAAAAGAAAGTGAAAAATTTAAGAACTTCTACTGAATTGTTTGGTGCAAAAGACATATGAATTCTCTTACCAAAATATTTTTTTATAAATTCTTTAAATATAACATTATTGTTAAAGAGTCGAATCGGTAACCGTGAAAGTTTGTTGACAAGCATATCTTTGTGTACAAGAAAAGTGATTTCAAGATTGACCTGTTTGAGACCGACTCTGAGTCTGATCTGTAAGTTTTATTTGTTTAATTGTAACTTTTTGATTTGGTTTTGTTGTATTTGTGTCACTAATATTGTTCCTTATTTCGCAGGAACAAACATGTTTAAAAGGGAAGAGTTTGTTGACAAACATGTTTATGTCTACAAGGAAAGTGATTTTATAGTTGACCTCTTTGAGACCGACTCTGAGTCTGATATGTAAGTTTTATTTGTTTAATTGTAACTTTTTTGATTTGCTTTTGTTGTGTTTGTGTCACTAGCTTGTTACAAAGAAGAAGGTTTGTGTCTCTCAAGTGTTTTATCACATAACTTTGTAATCTTAAAACAAAAGAAACGTTAAAACTGTCAATTCCCATCTAATAATTTCTCTCAGCAATCTTTTGAACAATAAATAGCAAAAACAAACACAAAGAATATAGTTAAAACATGGGCCAACAAAACCTGTTGGACGTGACTGTTTTTCTCTCTACTTGTTACGTAGGGCTAGGCTCCAACTCCAAGTTTCATTGCGTGAAGATTAAGCAAAAGAGCTGAGGTAAACCTTGTTGGCCGATTTAGCTATGGTTGAGAAATCTCTCTTGCAGCTTCAATCTTTCTCAGAGCTTCATTGTTTGCAATAGCTCGGCCTATGAGTTAGCATTCTTAGCTTCTCCCTGTAAATTGCAAACTTGGTATTTAACAACTTAAACCAGAAACCAAATTCTTTAGGGCCCAAAATGTGGAAAGATCTTATTTAGGGCCCAATATCTCGAGTCTTCTTCGACTATTGATATTATTCGTGCTAAGTAAATACTTATCCTTGCAGCCAAACGCTGCTTTGTAAGGCGGTGCACTTTCTTACTTTTCTTTCTTTCTCCGTCTTAGTTTTTCCACTTCACTGAGTCCTCCTCTCCATCTTTGATCCAGCAGGTTCGTCTCTTTCTCCTTCGCTGTGAATTTTGTTTCCTTTTTCCTCATTTCTGTTTCCATGTCCTCTCAGGAAGTACTCCAAAATGAAAAATTGTTTAGTTATCTTCGAATTTTTTTGGGGGATTTCTAATTTTGTCGATGATCTGAATGGTGAGATCGGTGATAAACAATGGAATTAATTGGTTATTCTCGTTTCAGGTTTTCTATGTTTTTGGTGCTTGCATGAGATATATAACTAATTCGTTCCTCGTTTAGCCATTTTTTAATAATCTCTATCTACTTTCTTTTTTGAGTATTTTATTTGTCTTGTTTAATGGATCATTTCCAGGTTGAGAGAAGGAAAAAAACACTTGCGGGTTTAAGCCTGGGATTGTATGATTTGTTGTTGATAATAAACTATGGCTTGGTTTAGAAGTGGTTCCTCTGTGGCAAAGCTTGCCGTAAGAAGGGCTCTGTCTCATTCTCAGTGTGGCTCATATGCCGCAAGAACAAGGGTTTTGCCTTCTCAAAGCAGATGTTTCCACTCTACAATACTCAAATCAAAGGCAGAGTCTTCTGCACCCGTTCCACGTCCCGTGCCACTCTCTAAGCTAACCGACAGCTTCTTAGATGGAACAAGCAGTGTGTATCTTGAGGAGCTACAAAGAGCTTGGGAAGCTGATCCCAACAGTGTTGATGAGTCGTGGGACAACTTCTTCCGGAACTTCGTGGGTCAAGCCGCTACATCGCCTGGAATCTCGGGGCAGACCATTCAAGAAAGCATGCGTTTGCTGTTGCTCGTCAGAGCTTACCAGGTGAATGGCCACATGAAGGCCAAGCTTGACCCTTTGGGTCTAGAGGAGAGAGAGATCCCAGAGGACCTGACTCCAGATCTTTATGGATTCACAGAGGCTGATCTTGACCGAGAATTCTTTCTTGGTGTGTGGAAGATGTCCGGGTTTCTGTCTGAGAACCGCCCTGTTCAAACGCTAAGGGCTATACTGTCGAGGCTTGAGCAGGCTTACTGTGGGACTATAGGGTATGAGTACATGCACATCGCTGATAGGGATAAATGTAACTGGTTGAGAGACAAGATCGAGACTCCTACACCTCGTCAGTACAATACCGAGCGTCGTGTGGTTATTTACGATAGGCTTACATGGAGCACACAGTTTGAGAATTTCTTGGCTTCTAAGTGGACCACAGCCAAAAGATTTGGGCTCGAAGGTGCTGAGTCTTTGATCCCTGGGATGAAGGAGATGTTCGATAGGGCTGCAGATCTTGGAGTAGAGAACATAGTTATCGGAATGCCCCATAGAGGTCGGCTTAATGTTTTGGGTAACGTTGTTAGAAAACCTCTGCGTCAAATCTTCAGCGAGTTCAGCGGTGGGACTAAGCCAGTGGATGAAGTTGGACTTTACACTGGAACAGGCGATGTGAAATACCACTTGGGTACATCTTATGATCGTCCGACAAGAGGAGGCAAACATCTTCACTTGTCTTTGTTGGCAAACCCCAGTCACTTGGAAGCAGTGGATCCTGTCGTGATGGGTAAAACCAGAGCGAAGCAGTACTACACGAAAGACGAGAACAGAACGAAGAACATGGGTATTCTGATCCATGGGGATGGTAGCTTTGCGGGACAAGGCGTGGTGTACGAAACTCTGCATCTTAGTGCACTTCCTAACTACTGTACCGGTGGAACAGTGCACATCGTGGTGAATAACCAAGTGGCTTTCACAACCGATCCCAGGGCAGGAAGGTCTTCACAGTATTGCACTGATGTTGCAAAGGCTTTAGATGCCCCGATTTTCCATGTGAATGCGGATGACATTGAGGCGGTGGTGCATGCATGTGAGCTTGCTGCTGAGTGGCGCCAGACTTTCCATTCTGATGTTGTTGTTGATTTAGTATGCTACCGTCGCTTTGGGCATAACGAGATAGACGAACCTTCATTCACACAACCGAAAATGTACAAGGTGTGCCTCTTGAGAATATTTTTATGCAAATTCCACTTTCCTTCTGATTTCTTATTCGAATTTGTTTTCTTCTAATTTCTCTTGCACCTGTTAATGATAGGTGATACGCAGTCATCCCTCGTCGCTTCAGATCTATCAGGAGAAGCTTTTGGAATCTGGACAGGTAACCAAAGAAGATATTGATAAGATTCAAAAGAAAGTAAACTCTATCCTCAATGAAGAATTTGGGGCAAGTAAAGACTATATTCCACAAAAACGTGACTGGCTGGCGAGTCATTGGACTGGATTCAAGTCACCGGAGCAGATTTCTAGGATCCGAAACACTGGGTATAAGCATTTTCATATTATATAGTTTGTCATTGCTTTTTGGCCTTTTCTTTTTCACTTGTAAGATTTTTCTGGAAAACTTTTCCTTTTGCTCTCTTGCAGTGTGAAGCCAGAGATTTTGAAGGATGTGGGAAAGGCAATCTCGACCTTCCCAGAGAACTTCAAGCCGCACAGAGGAGTGAAAAGAGTTTATGAACAACGTGCTCAAATGGTTGAGTCAGGAGAAGGCATTGACTGGGGATTTGGAGAAGCTCTTGCGTTTGCTACGCTGGTTGTGGAAGGCAACCATGTTCGGCTAAGTGGTCAAGATGTTGAAAGAGGGACTTTCAGTCACAGACACTCAGTGCTTCATGATCAAGAAACCGGCGAGGAGTACTGTCCCTTAGATCACCTGACAATGAACCAAGACCCTGAAATGTTCACTGTCAGCAACAGGTATTATAATTTTTTTTCCTGAATCTCTAGAGATCATAACCACTCTTCATTTGTTTTTGACATGATCATCTTGCTGTTTCTGCATGCAGCTCTCTTTCGGAATTCGGTGTTCTCGGATTCGAACTGGGTTACTCAATGGAAAATCCGAATTCTTTGGTAATATGGGAAGCTCAGTTTGGAGACTTTGCTAATGGAGCACAGGTGATGTTTGACCAGTTCATTAGCAGTGGGGAAGCCAAATGGCTCCGTCAAACCGGACTAGTAGTTCTGCTTCCTCATGGATATGATGGTCAAGGTCCTGAACATTCCAGCGGAAGATTGGAACGTTTCCTTCAGGTAACTTTATTATATAACCATTAAGTTTCTCTCAACTTATCATAGTTTTTTTCTCCCCTCTCAAATGTAATTTTCTTACTACAGATGAGTGATGACAATCCTTATGTTATCCCTGAGATGGATCCAACTCTTCGAAAGCAGATTCAAGAATGTAATTGGCAAGTTGTTAATGTTACTACACCTGCCAATTATTTCCACGTTCTGCGACGACAGGTAGATTAATTAGACGATGTGAAATATATTAAAAGATTGCGACTATACTTGTTCGATTTTCTTACATTTGATGTCATCCATTTGCGCAGATACACAGGGATTTCCGCAAGCCGCTGATAGTGATGGCTCCCAAAAACTTGCTTCGTCACAAAAAATGTGTATCGAATCTCTCGGAGTTCGATGACGTTAAAGGACATCCTGGTTTTGACAAGCAAGGAACCAGATTCAAACGGCTGATCAAAGATCAAAGTGGTCACTCTGATCTTGAAGAAGGTGTCAGACGTCTAGTCCTCTGCTCTGGGAAGGTAAAAAAGATCCAATCTTCTCCTTTTTCATAGTTGCTTGAAAAACTCAGATTATGTGATTTAGTTTGGATATGTTGATTCAGGTCTACTATGAGCTTGACGAAGAGCGTCAGAAGTCTGAAGAAGCAAAAGATGTAGCCATTTGCAGAGTAGAGCAGCTTTGTCCATTCCCTTATGATCTCATTCAAAGAGAACTAAAGCGATATCCAAGTACGTCTCATAAAAACTCGAAACTCTCGGATTGTATTATGAACTCTCTGAAAACTTGTGTGACTCTCTTCGTGTGTGTTTTTGCAGATGCAGAGATCGTGTGGTGTCAGGAAGAGCCGATGAACATGGGAGGATATCAGTATATAGCACCGAGGCTTTGCACCGCCATGAAAGCACTGCAGAGAGGAAACTTCAACGACATCAAGTACGTTGGTCGTCTTCCTTCGGCTGCTACAGCCACTGGATTCTACCAGCTCCATGTCAAGGAGCAAACTGATCTTGTTCACAAAGCTCTTCAACCTGATCCCATCACCCCTATCGTCCCTTAGATGATCCATCATAAAAAGAAAGCTTGAGCTCTTGAGAGTGTGTATAAAGAAGATGCAATACAAAGATTTTACCAAATAATTCCACTGTTGTTGCTACAGAGTTTTTTCATTTCAGTTTGGTTTTGGACTTTGGAGTGATTAATAAATAAATAACCTAATAAATATTTTCTTTTCTGTTTATAAAAATGTGTTAAATTGGCTCACAAAACTTGTGATTGTTGAGAAGAGCTGAAAATGGCGAACCATTTCCGATTGCTTCTGCTGATCATCACTTTCGTTTCCGTCATCGTTTTCTCCACTTCATCGTCTCCGTCGAACGGGTCGCTACTGTCTTCTTCTTACTCATTGTTTTCACAGCGACTGCCTCGTTTTCCTCGCCACACTTTCCAGAACCGAGCAAGAACCCAGCCGTTCCGGCGAGATCGAAACGGGTACCAGTACGAGACTAAGTTTTTCTCCCAGCAGCTTGACCACTTCAGCTTCGCCGATCTTCCGAGATTCTCGCAGCGGTACTTGATCAACTCCGATCACTGGGTCGGTGCTTCTGCGCTCGGACCTATCTTCCTCTACTGCGGCAACGAAGGCGATATCGAATGGTTTGCTACAAACTCTGGATTCATCTGGGAGATCGCTCCCAAGTTTGGTGCCTTGCTTGTTTTCCCTGAGGTTCGTTGATTTTGTTTTTCTCCTGTTTGATGATAGTGAAGAAATAAAGCAATCCGTTACTAATTTTAGGGGTTTTGGTGTAGCATAGGTATTATGGAGAGTCGATGCCTTATGGAAGCAGGGAAGAAGCTTACAAGAACGCTACCACGTTATCGTATCTCACAACTGAGCAAGCTCTTGCGGATTTTGCTGTTTTCGTGACGGATTTGAAACGGAACTTGTCTGCGGAAGCATGCCCCGTTGTGTTGTTTGGAGGATCATATGGTGGAAGTAAGTAAGGATCATATATGATTGTTTTTGGAATAAAATGTCTTGGAATGAACGAGATTGTGGAGTGAATGTTTCTGTGTTTGTTGATATTGATGCAACAGTGTTAGCTGCATGGATGAGGCTCAAGTATCCACACATTGCAATCGGAGCATTAGCTTCCTCAGCTCCAATTCTTGAGTTTGAAGATATTGTACCTCCTGAGACGTTTTATGACATTGTATCTAATGATTTCAGGGTATGCTTTTTTTTTTTTGCTTTGTTAGTCAATTGGCTTTCTCTTTTTCTTATCGTGACTGTTTTATTAGCTCGCAAACTTTGTAGCGTGAGAGTGATAGCTGCTTCAACACCATAAAGAACTCGTGGGATGCGATAATAGCAGAGGGTCAGAAGGAAAATGGTCTTCAGAAGTTGACGAAAACTTTTCACTTTTGCCGGTAAGCAGAAAAACTGGAGTTGGTTTGATTGTTTTGTTGTCGATCGTATTTGAGCTAAATTGAGGTGGTGGCTCTGTTTTTCCAGGGCGTTGAATAGTACTGATGACCTATCAGACTGGCTGGAGTCTGCTTATAGTTATTTGGCAATGGTGGATTATCCGTATCCCGCTGACTTTATGATGCCTTTGCCTGGACATCCTATTAAAGAGGTACACTACTGTTTTAGAGTAAACCCGAGAATTCATTCAGTAGCTTGTGTGGATTGTCATCTTTACATCAATGACCCTTCGAGGCTATGTTTTTAATGGTTTGCTTGTTGCATATGATTATTGTTCAACCACGTCTTATGTAGGTGTGCAGAAGAATTGATGGTGCTGGTAGTGATGCTAGCATTCTAGAACGCATATATGCAGGAGCAAGTGTGTACTACAACTATACTGGGAATGTTGACTGCTTCAAGTTGGATGATGACCCTCATGGTTTGGATGGTTGGAACTGGCAGGTCTGAAGGATAACTGCTATATTTATCTTCATATTCCAGGAAAAAACTTGTATTTTAATCTCCTAATCTCCTTATGCCTTTGGTTACACAATAGGCGTGCACGGAGATGGTAATGCCCATGTCTAGCAGCCAAGAAAAGAGCATGTTCCCAGCTTATGATTTCAATTACACTTCATACAAAGAGGAATGCTGGAATACATTCCGAGTCAATCCAAGGCCTAGATGGGTCACAACAGAGCTTGGTGGACATGTAAGACTTCTTTTTCATAAACTCTAGATTCTTTCCATGGCCATAATCTGAATCTTTACTCTCTCTCTCTCTTTCTCTAATCCAAAAGGACATGGAGACCACCTTAAAGTCGTTTGGAAGCAACATCATTTTCTCCAATGGTCTTTTAGATCCTTGGAGTGGTGGCAGGTAAGAATATTACTTCATTTACTCAGATCTCGAGAGTTATTTTTCAAAAACAAATCTCGTAATTTGGCTATGAATGCTTGACTCGCTAAAATGCAGTGTTCTGAAGAACTTATCGGATACCATTGTTGCTCTTGTCACTAAAGAAGGTATAACTAAAAGCCTCAACAATCTCTCACCTAACTTATCTGTTCTTTCATTTGCATTGACGTTTTTAACCTTTTTGATCGTAAATAGCAGTAGTCTACATTTCATTGAATTACATTTCTATGAACTAGTTTTGGTAAACGTCATCATCATCCATTATCTTCGAAACTCATAAACTAAGTTGATAATGGCTTTTGGATCATCAGGTGGACATCATTTGGATCTACGACCTTCAACTCAAGAAGACCCAAAATGGCTTGTGGAGCAGCGAGAAGCCGAGATACGGTTGATCCAAGGATGGATCAGAACTTATCGACTGGAAAAAGAAGCTCATTTTTCTCCGTTAAAACGTTCTTGGTAAGAGAACAGTTGTAAAGAATATTTTCAGTTCATGCCCACGAAATTCAGAATCTGCAGACTCTGTTACATATCTGGTTTGAATAAATCCATGTAAGCTCTCAGTGTTCACTAGTCTTTTGTTTGAAAGATTCAAGGAAAGTGTTTTGATAAAGCATTTTTGTATTGGGTTATTGAAAAAAAATTATAACACGCAACCAGAAGGACGAAATAAGAATTATCGGCTGGCTACACACTCAAATACATCTGTCAAGTATAGTAAAGAAGATCTTAAAGAATCATAATTTCTCAATATTTAATTTTCAACTTCATTATGAGTTTTATGTGCCGGACAGAGTATATGCAACATTTAAATGCTTAAGAGTGAATTAAGTATTTGACCAAAATAGAAGAAGAATGAATTAAGAAAATCTAAATTTTAATTACTCATATACAACGGTCTTCAAAGAGATCGGAAAATGCAATTACCATATATAATTACGCCTTTTAAACTCCATTGAATTTTGGTTTTAGCCGCTTAAAACGAATGTTGAAGGCTTTAAACGCAATCGTTTCGATATTTTGACTGGTCCAATAAAAACCCCTTTGACTAAATTCTCGACCTAAAAAAAAAAAGAGAGAGACTAGACTTCTCTGCGACGCAGTGTCACAGAACTCGTCTTTTTGCTGTGTGTGTGAGAGAGAGAAAGAGAAAAGGGGAAGATACTATCTTCGTGGTTTTGATCAGAGATCGGAGGAATTTGGGTTCGGTTCTCCGTGTTTGTAAGATAGGTAGAGTCGATGTCGACTTCTCGGTCGGAGCGATTCCCGATAACGCCGAGTACGGCTGCTAATAGATTGACGATTACGCCTGGGTCTAGGGTTTTGAAAAGCCCTCTCACTGAAGAAGTCATGTGGAAGCGTCTCAAGGAAGCTGGATTTGATGAACAATCGATCAAAAAGAGAGATAAAGCCGCCCTAATCGCTTACATCGCCAAGCTCGAATCTGAGGTTTGCTTCTTGATTCTTCGTGAAATTCTCGGACTTTCGTTCAGTTAACTTACCTAAATCTTAAGGATTAGCTAGTGCTTTGTCTAGACTTCACTACGCGTGAACACAATGGAACTAAACTAAAGGGGGCTATTATAATCACTGGGATTAGGTTGTGGCTAGAAGCTTGATTCTAAGTTCTAATGAATTTAATTTTCCCGTCGGGTGGGGTATGAAGAAATTACACGACCGTTCGATTTTGTGAATGCCCTTGAGTTGAGATTGTTATATTGTTTTGTTGCTCGTGGGTCAATGGTGAAAATTTATTGGTTTGCTGGAGTTATTGCTTTGCTTTTGGAAGTTTTAAAGTCTCGATTTTGTTTCCTCTTATAAGCTTGATTCGTCGAGATTGTTATATTGGTCAGTTTTTTTCTTTGCTCTCCTGTTGCTTCCTATTGGCATTGCTATATTGATCGCGATTTGTATGTAGGTTTATGATTACCAACACAACATGGGTCTTCTCATTTTGGAGAAAGACGAATTGTCCTCCAAGTACGAGGAGGTTAAGGCCTCTGTGGATGAAGCTGACCTAGCACATAGGCGAGATCTATCTGCGTATGTCTCTGCCTTAGCTGAAGCGAAGAAACGAGAAGAGAGTTTGAAGAAGGATGTTGGGGTTGCTAAAGAGTGTATATCCAGTGTACGACCTTTAACTTTGAGAGAGAGAAAAGAAAAAGGTTGTTTAATCCTTTTTATTGATTTTAAACTGTTCTTTTTCTTCTTCTTCAGCTGGAGAAGACGTTGCATGAGATGCGTGCAGAATGTGCCGAGACAAAAGTTTCTGCTGGGAGTAAAATGTCTGAAGCTCATATTATGATTGAGGATGCTCTAAAGAAATATGCAGATGCTGAAGCAAAAATGCGCGCAGCAGAATCTTTACAAGCAGAAGCTAACCGGTATCACCGAATTGCAGAGAGAAAGTTGAAGGAAGTTGAAAGTCGTGAAGATGATCTTGCTCGGCGGCTTGCATCTTTCAAGTCTGAGTAAGTCTTCTGTCTCGGTGAATTGGACTATATGGGACTTGTACTTTTACGGTGTGGTATTAAGTTGTTGTGTTTGTTCTTTCATTCCATGTTTTAGGTCTGAAACGAAAGAGAACGAGATAGTGATTGAGCGACAGACTTTGAGTGAAAGGCGAAAGAGCTTGCAGCAAGAGCATGAAAGATTATTGGATGCACAAACTTCACTAAATCAGAGAGAAGATCACATTTTTGGTAGATCCCAAGAATTGGCTGAACTTGAAAAGGGGTTAGAGTCTGCAAAGATCACATTTGAGGAGGAATGTAGAGCCTTTGAGGACAAAAACTCAAAATTAGAGATCGAATTGGCTTCGCTTGCGAAAAGAGAAGAGGTTTGTATACACACAAGTATCTTTTGTTTTTGTTTTGCTTAATATGCCAACAAAAAACCTTCTAGGAGACAAGATGGTATTGTTTCATATTTTATTTCCTTGCAAAAATAGGCTGTCTCTGAGAGGGAAGCTTCACTACTTAAGAAGGAGCAAGAGCTGCTTGTTGCTGAAGAAAAAATTGCCAACAAGGAATCTGTGAGTTTACTTGTTCAGTCCATCAAACCTTCTAGTTATCATTCATACTTCTGGTTTTGTGCTCATTTGTTTGCGAGGGATAGTAATGATGCTTTTAAACAATCAATACAGGAACTGGTTCAGAAGGTCTTAGCAAATCAAGAAGTTATCCTGAGGAAAAGAAAATCCGATGTGGAATCTGAGTTGGAAAGTAAATGCAAATTGGTGGAAGATGAAATCGAGAGCAAGAGACGGGCATGGGAATTGAGGGAGGTTGATATTAGGCAGAGGGAAGACCTAGCTGGTGAAAAGGAACATGACTTGGAAGTTCAATCAAGGGCATTGGCAGAGAAAGAAAAGGATATAACAGAGAGGTCTCATAATCTTGACGAGAAAGAGAAGAATTTGAATGCTATAGAGAAAGAAATTAACCTTAAGACAACTCTCCTGGAGAATGAGAAGGAACGACTAAGGAAACTAGACCTAGATCTGCAGCAGTCTTTAGTGTCATTAGAAGACGAGAGAAAACGTGTTGACCGTGCAACGGAAAAACTAGAAGCCTTGAAAAGTGAGACAAGCGAATTATCTGTCCTGGAGATGAATCTCAAGGAGGAGCTAGATGATTTGAGGGCTCAAAAGCTTGAACTGCTGACCGAAGCAGATAGATTGAAGGTGGAGAAAGCTAAATTTGAAGCTGAGTGGGAACACATTGATGTGAAAAGGGAAGAGTTAAGAAAAGAAACAGAGTATATAACTCGTCAAAGGGAGGCGTTCTCAATGTACCTCAAGGACGAGCGTGATAACATCAGGGAGGAAAGAGATGCATTGAGAAATCAGCACAAAAACGATGTGGAGGCGTTAAACCGAGAGCGGGAAGAATTCATGAATAAAATGGTGGAGGAACATTCAGAGTGGCTTAGCAAGATACAGCGAGAACGTGCTGACTTCCTGCTGGGTATTGAGATGCAGAAAAGAGAGTTGGAGTATTGCATTGAAAATAAACGAGAAGAATTGGAGAATTCTTCTAGGGAGAGAGAGAAAGCGTTTGAGCAAGAGAAGAAGTTGGAAGAGGAGCGTATACAGTCCCTGAAGGAGTCGGCGGCTAAAGAGTTAGAAAATGTCCAAGTGGAACTAAAGAGGTTGGATGCTGAGAGGTTGGAGATCAAACTGGACCGTGAAAGGAGGGAGAGAGAGTGGGCGGAGTTGAAGGATTCGGTTGAGGAGCTAAAGGTTCAAAGAGAGAAACTAGAGACGCAAAGGCATATGCTTCGAGCTGAAAGAGAAGAAATCCGACATGAGGTTGAAGAACTGAAGAAGTTAGAGAATCTGAAAGTTACATTAGATGATATGTCGATGGCTAAAATGCAGCTGTCCAATTTAGAGCGTAGCTGGGAAAAAGTTTCGGCTTTGAAGCAGAAGGTTGTTACACGGGATGATGAACTAGACTTGCAAAATGGAGTCAGCACCGTGAGTAACAGCGAAGATGGCTATAACTCTTCTATGGAAAGACAGAACGGCTCAATACCTTCATCCGCCACTCCATTTTCATGGATAAAACGATGCACCAATCTGATATTCAAGGCTTCTCCGGAGCAATCGTCCTCAAGGAATCATCATGAAGAAGAAGGTGGATTGCCTTCAGAAAAGTTGAAGCTAGATTCATCGAAAAGAGAAGAAAAGGCTTACACCGAGGGGATGTCTATTGCAGTTGAAAGGCTTGAAGCAGGAAGGAAAAGACGAGGTAACACATCTGGAAATGATACTAGTGAGCGAAGCAGTAACAAGAAGAGGAAACATGAGGTTACTCAAAAATCTTCTGATGACGCTGATCCCCAGAGGTAAAAATCTGATCGCTCAATAGCATCTTCTTTTTGTCTTTTTTTTTTTTCTTTGTTATTAAAAGCTTTAAACGTGCATCTTCATTTTGCTCAGTGTAATTTCAAGCCCTCAAAATGTGCCCGAGGACAAACATGAACTGCCAACTAGCCAGACCCAGACACCAAGTGATATGGTAGTCATCAGTGAAACCGTGAAGATCACAACAGTAACGTGTGAAACAGAGGTCATCAACAAAGTGACAAACATTGACTCGTCGGAAAATCCTTCTGAATCAGGAACAAAGATGGTAGAGGAGACGCAAAATAGTGAATTCAATCAGGTAGTTTTCATGAACACACACACCCACTGGAAAGCAAAATGGTTCTCATTACATATTCAGCTAACTTCATACATAATGAATTCTCTTTGTCGTTTGCTGTAGACGAGGATAAACGTTTGTGAAACGGTGACTCGGAAAGAAGCAGAATCTGATAACAGAAAGGAAAAGGAGTCTGACGATGGTGGCATTGTAACATGAGTCAGGTTGATGAAGAATGAATATAACCATATCAGGAGAAGAAAAAAGGCTGCAACAGGAGATATATGCATATAAGGTACGTCTCAGTCTAGTTGACCAAATAGCATTTTGGTGTCAGAAGAAGCTTGAGAAGGTCACTAACCAGAATTATTATTTCGTGTTTGTTGATGCAGAAACGCTATTGAACCTCTTGGCTCTTGGGTTTGTTTTTAGACAAGGGTATGTAAATGGATTTGATTGGTTCTAGAGTTCTCTCTCGATGTGATAACTCATAGTCAAATTTGTTTTTCATCAGATTTCAAGTGAGTAGAGAGTGTTGGTAGGTAAAGTAGGTAGGTTGGTTTCTGGTGTGTTGCAAGTGTGTTGTGTTGAGAATATATGATTTGTCGGTTTCAAGACTGAAAGTTGAAATGAGTTTTATTTGTTTGCTCCTCTGTTGATGATTGATGTCGTTTTAGCTCATCAAGTGTCGACGGTATTCATCAAGTATCACATTCTCTGTCTCCTACTCCGAAAGTAACCAACTATAAAAACATCTAAAACAAAACAATACTTTATAATTTACAAAGCAGCCCCAGATTCTTCATATTTACAAAACTGCTCTAAAGCTTTCGCTATACACAAAAATGACTCCAATCTATTGATTATTACAAAACTACTGCATCTGAGACCTCTCTGTATTTTTTAATAAAGAGCTCTCTGTATATTTGAACAGAGAATATGTTCGTGATCAAATGATGGTCCCTGACTTTCTAATTTTGAGGAAAATAACCGAAAAGTAGGATCAGAGTGATTTAGGGCAAAAGGTAAGAGAGGCTGCTGCCAACGATAGTCGAAAGACACTTGAAAGTCATTGTCAGTCACAGACAGAAGAAGAAGAAGAGGATCATCATCATCCTTTAAGATATGGAGAAAACCAGTGTCTTGTCGGGAATTCATCAAAACTACTTACTCTCCCCTTTACGCGCCGCCGCCTCATTCACCACGCGCCGCCACTCTTTCTCCCCTCTCCAGAAATTTCCATATCCTTCTCTCAGGGTACAAAAATCTTACTTTTTTTGACTCGCTGTTATACCATCTGATGATACAATCACCCAATAATTCGGAATTTCCGATTCTCCACTCCAGATTCGCCAGTCACCTGCCGATTTCACCGTTGGTGAAGTTTCTCGTGACCGACGCGGCGCCGTTTTGGCCAGTTCTTCTAGGTTCAGTTTTCCTCTTCCTGTGGAGCTCTTCTTCGGGTTTTAACGGAACAATACTCAATTTCACTCTGCTTAAAACTCTCGCTTTTGGTTAATTTTGGTGCAGCAACAATGTTAGTGAATTCGCCGACATTGATTGGGACGAGATGGATTTCGGGCTTACAGCAACGGATTACATGTACGCCATGAAATGTAGCCGCGATGGTGATTTCTCCAAAGGTGAGTTGCTGCGTTTTGGTAACATTGAAGTCAACCCAGCAGCTGCTGTTCTCAACTATGGCCAAGTTAGCTTTCTCAAATCCTAAACCTTTTCACTCATTATCAGTTTTGATTCAACCGTAACTTGATCTATGGAAAGTTTCTAGTAGTGAGGGAACCCTTCTTAGATACTAGAGATTTTTGTCTTTGTCAGATTCTTGAAACAAAAGATATAAGCTTGTTCATGGATTGTCTATGTTAGCAAGGCTTTCTGTGAGATTCTCTATTATATCAATAAGCAAAAATCTCTACTTTTTGTACATGACTATGTGCTTTAGTATTTGAAATGTAGCCTTGTTTTGTTATTTGTGTATATCACCGGTTTGATTATTGATGCCTTTTGTTATTGTGGGTCTTTTTAAGGGTTTGTTTGAAGGTCTAAAAGCTTACAGAAAACAAGACGGCAACATTCTCCTCTTCCGTCCTGAGGAGAATGCGATCCGAATGAGAAACGGTGCTGAAAGAATGTGCATGCCTTCTCCAACCGTCCAACAGTTTCTTGAAGCTGTGAAAGAAACTGTTTTGGCAAACAAACGCTGGGTATGGTTACTTGCTTCATTCTTGGTTTTGTGTTGCCATAATTCACTCTTGCGATGTAACTGTAGCTCTTTCGTTTGTTACAGATTCCACCTCCAGGTAAAGGATCGTTATACATAAGGCCATTGCTCATTGGAACTGGAGCTGTTCTTGCTCTTACTCCTGCTCCTGAATACACTTTCCTTATCTACGTTTCACCCGTCGGGAACTACTTTAAGGTTTTTTTTTTTATTTGCCTCTGTTCCTGATGTGCAACTTTCTATTTTCATCGTTTCATTTTCTGAGAGTCTAAACATATCTTTTAACAGGAAGGTGTGGCGCCGATCAACTTGATTGTTGAAAGTGAATTCCATCGTGCAACTCCCGGTGGTACCGGAGGTGTTAAAACCATCGGTAACTATGCCGCGGTAAGTAAAAAACAGGCTCTCAGAGAGTTTTTTTTTTCTTCTGTGTATTTTTCCTATGTTATCAAAACCATAATGAATAATCGATAAATTTCAGGTCTTGAAGGCACAGTCGATTGCGAAAGCTAAAGGGTATTCTGATGTTTTATACCTTGATTGCGTTTACAAAAGATACATCGAAGAGGTTTCGTCTTGCAATATCTTCATTGTCAAGGTAATTACATATACTCTTATATTCAAGTTTCGTTCTGGAAAATGAAATGAAACTCTTGTATATTTGTTGCCTTTGTTCTTGTACAGGATAATGTGATCTCTACTCCTGAAATTAAAGGAACCATCTTGCCTGGAATCACCCGCAAGAGTATAATCGACGTGGCTCGAAGCCAAGGCTTTAAGGTAAAAAATTCAAAAATTTCACTTCCACAAGTTTTTGGCAACACTCGAGATGAACTTACGCTATGGACTGCACAAGACCTTGTGGTTCGGTTCGGTTCGGTTTGGTTTGACAAAATTCTGGTTTTCGGTTTCGGTTAAAGGAATATCGGTTTTTTTTTATAATGAAAGAGTCCAAATTCTGATGTTTCAGGTGGAGGAACGAAATGTGACAGTTGATGAATTGGTAGAAGCGGACGAAGTTTTCTGCACAGGGACCGCCGTTGTTTTATCTCCTGTCGGAACCATCACTTACAAAAGTCAAAGGTAAAATAAAAAATCCTTTATATTTTTAATTTTAATTCCATTTCGCTATTTATTTAAAACAAAAAATCACCGAAAAATATCTGTTAGGGTTTCCTACGGAGAAGATGGTTTTGGAGCTGTCTCAAAACAACTATTCACTGTCTTGACGAGACTGCAAATGGGTTTGAGCGAGGATAACATGAACTGGACTGTTCAGTTGAGTTAAAGCCAAAAACGTAAAGCATAGATAATATATGAATTTTTATGTGTAGATGAAGAATGTATCGAGTTTCATGCTTCTTAGGTTTCAGGATTTTGATTCTTGAAATTATAACTTGTATCTTTTTAAACTTAAAACATCACTGAGTTTAGAATCTTGTTAGACGATGTAGTGTGCGAATTTGTATCTCTCTATTTATCACCTTTTTGGAATTGTTTTTTTCTACGAAATGTATAAAGAATGATGTGGATATGTGAAGTGGTAATGGGTGAAGAACAGGAAAGACATTGCGTGTGAAATGGGGAGAAGAAATTGGTATTGATTTGTGGGTTTTTTCGCTTAATGACTGACAGCTTATTTCTACTTTTCAACTTGACGTGTATTTATTTTAATTATATACTCCTACTAATTAGTATATTTAGTTACGCCAAAATATATAATCTGATAAACCCCCACTATCTTTGTCTTTGGACCGACACATTTCCCTCCTATCCTGGTTTCAAACCCTTAAAATTACTAATTTCTGAAAACAATCTCCAATTTGTCTTTCATGATTCTTTTTCCTGAAATTTATTTGGAATATAAAATTTAAATGGTATATTTACTTGAGGAAGATCTGATTAAACTCATTAAACTTCTGGCGAGAAGAGGAGACAAGGAACTTTATGCAAAAAGATGTCATGATTATCTCATGATTACGATAATAAAATATTTTTTAGATTAGTGTAACAAAAAGAGTGGATACTTATCACCTTTTTTATTTTTAATCTTTAGAATACTTCCAAAAAGTAAATGGATCCTAAAAAGTAAGATGAAGAAAAGAGATAAAATCACTGAAGAGAGAAAGATGCCTTGAGATATTACAGTGACCTTCCTCTTCTCTACCTTTACCTTTTGTTTGACCATTGTTTTCCTCCCTTTTCCACTGTTTTCCTTTTAAAAAGGTTGTTTGTTTAATGGATCTTTCAATTTTAGTCAATCTTGGAAGTGTTATTTATCATCTAAAAGATTTTAAATTTTGATTTTGTTTATTAAACTTAAATTAAACTGGAATCCATATAATTTGATCATAGGGGGATTTCACATATTTTTGGAAATAGATTGAAAAAGGGAAAAAAATGAGCACGATTTTACAAATATCAAATCCAAAAACACATGATTTTTAGTTGACTAATAAATTCTGCTAAGTCAGCACGTCCAAGCTAGCTCCTAAGTGATTGCAAAACCACATACTATTTGCAACACAAACTATAAAGTTGTGGTAATTATTGAAAAAATTAGACACTAAAACCCTAGGCTTTGTTGAGCAACAAAAAAAAGATTGTATCAGCGTAAATGTCATATACAATATGCATGGTAAATTGGCCAACAAAGTAAAATGTTTAATACTATGAACTTTTGTGTTTATTACTTTTTTTTATGGGAAGATTGAAAAGGAAGAGATGGCCTACGTTGCAAGACCAATTCCTGTTTCCTACTATAGTGTTGTTGAAATCTGAATACACATGATTTTCTTTTTTATTACCCTTAACTTCAAAGTTCAAACTTATTTAACTTTTCCATAAGTAAAGATATTTTATCCATGACGTACATTATTTTATTCCACAAAAACATATAAACACAGTGAATAATACCTCAATAATGTGAAGACTTTTTTTTTCCAAGTGCTTTGACTTTTAACCCTTTATTAACCATCACAAGTCAAGTCAACCTTTTTTGTTTCCTCTAGAAGCCTTTGGCTCATTTAAAAATAAACCAATTTAATGTTTATTTGTCTTCTTTTCTTTCGTTTTTTTTTGCTATAGGGTTTGCATATGATGTTTGTTTGTTTATGAGTTGCGTATTATCAATAGATGTACGATGTATATTCAATCGTATTTCATTTGTTCACAAGAAATTAAATTATAATAAACAATACACCCAAATTGACCAATGTTTATTTTACATATAAGATTAAAAGAAGAAAAAAAAAACAAATTTAACCATATACGTTTATACAAGAAGGTCCAAAGATGGTGACGCCAGTTAATAAGAGGTAGTGGGTTTTCTTGTTCCTTAATCTCAGCTGCCGTGGAAAATATAGTGTAATTAGTAAGCCTTTTATTAAATTATAATTGTTAGATTTATATAACATCCCTATCAAATCTTTGATTAAAATTTGATTTTGGGTCCATGGGACAGGCGTCATTAGGTTCAATTTTAATACTGCATGATTATTAAGTGGCTACATTTTTAAATGAATTAAACAAACCCATCTATCAATTCATTATTGCCACCGTGCATGAGTTTGAAAATTTGTCAGCTTATAATCCCTTTTATTTTCACAGAGTATATGTTGTGTTAGGAGATCGATCGATAGATTATATTATACCTGATCCAGAAAACTATTAATATCCATAAAATTGTTAGTGGTAAAATTTCTCCGAGGGTTGGCAAAATTTTGTTCACCAACCATAACGGAATTCACTCTCACAAATTTCAATATCTCTACCTTTCATTTCATCTCTTTTGGTGCATATCATTAACTCCTATCCTTTTCAGAAGGCAAATATATATTAAATAGCAAGTGATTCATCATCCACCAAATGTGATCCTATGATTGGTGATTTTTTTTTGTTTGAACAGTTTAGTTGATGTATTTGAACATTTATCTTGAATATTTTGATATACTGTGGATGAGTTGGATGGTATTTATCTAATAACTTCTAGATCAATTAGCGAATGTTAAGTATTCGGATACCATGCTGTACTTTTTTTCCAACTCATGCTTTGTTTTGATCTTTGATAAAAGAAAAACTTTGTATGCTATATTTTTTAATTGGTATAACAAAGATGTACGATGGTCTATCTATATATATCCATTATAAAACTTCAGTTAGATGATAAATTAAATATTAAGTGTTCTCATGTTTATATATACATTATGCAGATATTGTTCAATAGAAGTTTGTGTATATAAAAATGAATTATATCTTAGTTTGATTCACACATTTCCATCACCAAACATTCGAAGTATTTGTCTCTATCTCGACAACATATATAATACACACCTCTGTGTTATACTACAAATTCAAGTACTAAATAATATATATTCACTCTATATATACGTACGACATACAAGTCTAACTCAATCACTTATTGGTTTATTTTTTTTGAAGAATATTGAATTGTTTTATTATCCTTGAATGACCCAGTCTATCACATGTAATCAAAGTACACATAATCGGTCTTTCTTTCTTATTCGTAAACTGCCATGCAAGTGGGGCTTCAAGCTTTCGTAAAATCTTATGTAATAACTTATATATATACGGTGTTGGAAGAGAAATTGTCTTTACAAAAAAACTATATATAGACACTTCACACTGATCATATGCAAGAATTAACTAATCCATATGTCGTTCCATTATAATCGAATTTAACGTATTTTTGCATGCAAATTACTAAAAAAAATTATAAGCTAATCACACTCCTAAACTGCGGATCAGATGTGATCATTAAATAATATAAAAATAACCCACTATGCTATATAGGACATGAATCATGAGGAAACCTATAGCGTGTAATATCATACAATAAATTATATTTATGCGTATACATTAACTAGAAACATAGAATGGCGGATATTAAAGAAGAACAAAAATTGATTGCAAATAAACAGTGATAGCGTAACGATTAATTTTCAACATTAGGCTATAACCTATATATAGTATAAATTTCCGAGTCTACCATATGTCTATTTTAGACAAAACTCAAAAGGAATTGGAGTTAGAGTTAGATGCAACTCATGCAAAATCCAACTTAAAACTTGTTTAAATTGATTTTTTTTTTTAAATAGATCATCCATAATATAATGTAAAAAATGTTCTGAAGTAAGATGAGACAGCCTAAAATCAAAAATAGAGGGAAAACATAATTACAAAAACAAAAAAATCGGAGAAGAGGAAGGAAGAGAGAAATGTTCAAAGGGTGGCGGGCGGCTAAGCAAACATTATAATTTATGGGGTTTAAAATATGGTTAAAAATTATATTTCTTTGTTAAATTAGTAATGATATTGAATCTCTAGATTCTGGTGTAGGAGAAAAGACAAAGGAGAAAAACATTAGTCTCCTCCTTCTCTGTCATTTCTAAATTCTACAAATATTTTATCACATAAATTTATCATGAAATTTTCCAATTCCATAAAGTCACTTTTGATATATTTTTATTTTAATTCCCTACTTTTTGACATCTTCAATCACATGAAGGACTATCTCCTCCAGCTATTATATACATCTCTCCTTTTTTTTCCTACATTCACATATACTTTTCTCCATTACACACATTTCCATGTATGTATATATAAAAACCTCACACACACGCACCATCACACACCATCATCCTCCTCCTCCTCCTCACCCTCTTCATCGTCAACGTAATTGAGAAGGAGAGAAAGAGAGAGATATATATATATACAATAAGAACAAGATCAAGAACAAGAATAAACAAGAATCAAGAAGATGGGAAGAGCACCCTGCTGTGACAAGGCCAACGTGAAGAAAGGGCCTTGGTCTCCCGAAGAAGATGCCAAACTCAAAGATTACATCGAGAATAGTGGTACGGGAGGCAATTGGATCGCTTTGCCTCAGAAGATTGGTATATACTAACTTTACTTTTGATTTAAAATTCGCACTAAATTTCCAAGTAGTTTATTTATGTATTAATAGTATGTTTTCAGATAGTTTGAGATGGTATGTAAAATCTACAACACCTAGAATTCTTTTATATATATATATATGTGCGTATTGATGTATAAATGTGTGTGTATATACTTGGTTTAGGTCTTAGGAGATGTGGGAAGAGTTGCAGGCTAAGGTGGCTCAACTATTTGAGACCTAACATCAAACATGGTGGCTTCTCTGAGGAAGAAGACAACATCATTTGTAACCTCTATGTTACTATTGGTAGCAGGTACTATACACATATATATGATGGATGAAGATCATCAATCAACACACTTACTCTTCAATTATTGTCATTAATTTTATATGTTCAATAAATTTCTTTAAGGTGGTCTATAATTGCTGCACAATTGCCGGGAAGAACAGACAACGATATCAAGAACTATTGGAACACGAGACTGAAGAAGAAGCTTCTTAACAAACAAAGGAAAGAGTTCCAAGAAGCTCGGATGAAGCAAGAGATGGCGATGATGAAGAGACAACAACAAGGACAAGGACAAGGCCAAAGTAATGGTAGTACGGAACTTTATCTTAACAACATGTTTGGATCATCACCATGGCCATTACTACCACAGCTTCCTCCTCCTCATCATCAAGTACCTCTTGTGATGATGGAACCAACAAGCAGCAATTACTACCAAACGACACCGTCTTGTAACCTTGAACAAAAGCCATTGGTCACACTCAAGAACATGGTCAAGATTGAAGAAGAACCGGAAAGGATAAACCCCGATCATCATCATCATCAAGATTCTATCACAAACCATTTTGATTTCTCCTTCTCTCAGCTGTTGTTAGATCCCAATTACTACTTGGGATCAGGAGGAGGAGGAGAAGGAGAATTCTCTATCATGAGTAGCAGCACAAACTCACCATTACCTAACACAAATGGTGATCTCCATCAACATCAACAGCAAGAGCTTCTTCAATGGATTGGGAGTAGTAATTTTCAGACAGAAGCAATCAACGAAATGTTCTTAAACAACAACAACATAACGAATCTTGAGACCAACGAGAACACGAAATTCTATGGAAACTCATCAGTAGCCGGAACCGGAGCAGCTTTGGCCGGAGGAACGACGAGTACATCGGCGGATCAAAGCACAATAAGTTGGGAGGACATAACCTCTCTTGTTAACTCCGATGATGCAAGTTACTTCAAAGGGCCAAATCATGTTTAACTTTTTTTTTTTTATAAATTTTCATTTTTACTTATTAATATATATATAGAAAGAGGGTTTTTTTTTGTATAAATTTGTGTAGGGGTGGTCAAAAAATTATATGGATTGAGATTAATATTCATGCAGAGATTTCTTTATTTTAGTTTCAACTCAGCTTTATTCACGAACAATATATATGATCTTTTGAGTTTTTCTTTATGGTTAATGTTTTTGTAAATGTGAAAGAGATTCTACCTTTTAGCTTCTTCCTTTTTCCCCTAATTAATTAGGTCTTTAGATATTTTATAATCTTTACACATTTCAATACATCTGACACATAAAAAGAAGGAGGAACTGAGTATGAATCTATATTTGAGAGCCTAAAAGAGAGGGTTGTCTTTTAAACGCACCAACATTGATCACCAATTACTTATTAAAGGTACTAAATAGTTCTTCCATTTTTTAATAAAAAGTTTATAAATTTTTTTATGTACGTTAACACTAGTAATTTAATTATATATAATTCTTTTAAATAGTAAACAGTAATTGTTAGGTGCCTATAGTAATGGAGAATCCAAGGATGATTTTCTGCCCTGTTTCGTATTCAACTCCACTCGAGTCAATATAATAATGTAAATGCATGAGTTATGATACATTTGTCATTTTACTCATTTATAACAGTGCAAACATTTATAACAGTCAAATTTTGGCAAATCAAATCATATTCATATAACGACCAGTTTATTCAACATGTACATGCGTTCAATAATTGGTGTAATTAATTTTGTAATTGCACATACATATGTAAAAATGCGTACGTACGTAAGCGTGTATATATATGCAGTTGAATAATCACTAATTTTAAAAATGCAACAATATGGACACGTACATGGTCGGATCTATATGGCTTCGTCTGATCAGATATACTCCGACAAACACTCGAATACACATAACTGTGTGTATGCACAACTATAAATGTTAGTTGTCATTTAGTTTTCTTACATAATGAGTATTTCAATTATCTTATAAATAAATATAAAGATATATATATATATATGTCCATTTCCCGGTTCAATAGAACTAATGCTACTTGGATCTCTCCGGTTTGTAAAGCAAAATGTAGCTGGAATCCATTAATGTAACACCTAAACAACAATTTCTTAAGAAAGTATGAAATGTTCCTCTTTTATAGACTGTAATTCAATTAGAAAATAAATAAATAATTACCTAATAAAATGAAGAAGAGTTATCTACTTGTCTTACCAATTCAACGAAAGTGTACGTACAGCTTCGAAACTCTCTCTAGTCAGTTTTGGTTGTGAAGATCACAGAATCAAATGATGTCACTCAAAATTCTCTTTCTCCGTTTGAGTTTGGCACATATCTTTGCCCATTCAAACCTCCAGCTAAAATCATTTTCATTTCTTACCAATTTTATCTTACCATATCAAACGTTGGATATTTTGTTTATCTGAAGTTGAAACTCATGTATAGTTAATTATATATGTAATGAGCTATATATATATATATATATGATAAACCAGCTTTTAATAAATAAAATTAGCCAATAATTTATGTTTAGGGACGAAACACTCGTATTCTACATTGACTTTAATAAGGCTACATATATAAATAGACAGGTTTATCAGCCCACTCAAAGAAAGATCAGAATTATACTACAAACCTACAAGATGTAAACTTCAACAGTTCACATGATCTAAGGTATACGATGCTAACATGGTGTTCACATTTTATGTTATTTGTGGTAACAAACTTAAATCAAAATAATAACTGGCAAATTTCTATCTAGATTTAAAACACATAATGATATTAGTACAAATCACCATATACTACTACAAATATATTTTATTTTAAAAGCAAGATTATAAAAAAAAAAATAGATTTTACGTATGAAGAAGTAATTGCACAAACCAAAAACGGTAATGATAATAATATGACGACCCGTTAACCAAATAATATCTAAAAGTCCAATACATCATCTAAAGTATTTATATTTTATTTTTTTGTAGTCATGTAAAAATGACATTTAATTCTGTCTTATCAAACCGTGCTTGATTGATTGTTTTTGTTAATCTCTTCTTTTGGGGTATATATATTCGCTTAAAGACAACCGAATATAAGTGTGTTTTTATATTATAATCGGAAAACCGGTAGTCTCTGAAAGACATGTCATTTTGTATGTTCCAAACATTCTCTACAAACAGAAAAACGACAAATCTTATGGAATTATCCGCCTCTAGTTAATATAAAAACTAAACCCAGAATTAGACAAACAAAACATTTGATTAAATAATCGTAATCTAGGGAGGAAATTAGGAGATTCGAGAGATAGTGATGAAGATTATGTATGTAAGCACTTGCATCGGTGGATGGCAAGACGTGTCATGGCCATGCACTTGTATGCTATACTTAGCTTAGCCGTATAACCTTTTTGGTTTTATTAAAGCATTTCTCATCGACCTACCAAAATACCCTATCAATTTGTTATATACATATATATATATAATATTTATGAAATCTATAATACATAAAAAATTGACGAAAAGTGTCTCTTATATATTCCACACTGGCATTTATTTAGAAAATACAGGCATACACATATACACCATTCGAAGATCGAACCGTTCATAATTCAACAACTAAGTCGATTTCTTTTACTGAAGCTAAATTTGAATCAAATCGAAGTCAAAACAATGATAAACAAAAGAAAAAAAACTTTTTTAAACAAGATTCTGGTGTTTACCCAAAAAGAAAAAAAAAGTATCAGGTTTTGCTTATAAAAAGAAAAAGAAAAAGAAAATTGAATCGAAAACTGGATGGATATGAAATTGAATAAATTATTTTATATTTGTATCCTGCTTGGGTCAAGAAGATAAAGCATATGAAAAGAAGGAAAAAGGAATAAGTATCGCTGAGAAGAAATCAAGCAACAAAACGATATATGAACGAGAGACTATTGATAAATATATGAATATACGGACTCGACTATGATTATAATAATTTAATCCATTGATTAGTGGTACATTCTGTCAAACCTCTAGACGATAAGTAAAACAACACCATATAAAACCTTGATTAGCCTCGCGACAATTCGCCCCGCGACGACCTCGTTGCGTATTTTTATGATTTATTATCTTTGTTTAACCATTAAAATCGGACCATTGTCAAAAAGGAACCAACGTACTTAATAATTTATAATTTTATATAATTCAGCTGATGCTGACACTCACTAACATGTTACTATTATTCACCTTGATTTTTTTTTTTGCATTTTTATAATAATAATAATCTTTTCAACTTTGTGTTTCTGTTTTCTGTCCGTTCAAAAGTTAGGGAATTTGTTTTTATATACATATAATAATGAAATGTTTTATTGTGGAAATGGGAGTAATGTCGCGTCCGTCTGATTGATTTGTACGTGGTTTTAACTTTTTTATTGATTAATAATTTATAATTAGTTTCCATTACGTAGATGAGATTTGGCGATTTCCTGTTATCTACTTATGGAGAAAAAAAGATAGCCATGGAAGCATTTCCGCTACTTTTTCATAAAATTTTATATATAGTTAGAGATTTTTCTCTTCATCTAGAGTATCTATATCCACATTTTAATTTTCATTTTATAGACTTTTAAATGGTTGCGTGAATCAAAATCTAATAACTACAGAATAACTAAAATAATTATGGAGAAATTATGGTTAAGATTGTACTGATATGAATCAACAACAAAAAAAAAACTATTTTGTGATTACTGAGCTAAAAAACTAAGTATGTATTACAAATGGAAAAACAATTTTTTATGAGTTTATCAAGTTAGGTATCAAGTGTATCATATACTACAAACAAATTGTGTTAATAATCGTAAGCGAAGCTAGATTTTAACAAAGAAAGCAGACATGTTTTTCAAAAGACGAATATTATGTATGCGTTGACATTATTACTATGTGATTATTTACACATACACAAACAACTAATAAAGACGAATATGGTGTGTTTAGAAAAAAAAATGAGAGAGAAATAGAGATGAAGAATAATCACAACATGAACATATGAATATACATACTCATGATGTATTTGTTAAATTAATGTCAGATTATAGCATTGAGAATTTGAGTTCGAATGTACAGAATACAAAAAAATATTGAAAAAAATTACAACTTGCAAAACAGAAACCACTCAAATAAAATACCATAAAATAAATACAATTACAAAATACTCGAAGAGTGGTAAGTTCTAGTTTTTTAATCTACAAAACATTGAGATAGAGAGAGAAGTATAAATAGCTTGTGTTTTGAGATTTCGCTTTTGGTGTTTTGTAATTTCGCTTGCGTGACGTGTTAGCTGTGTGTAAGTTTTTGTTTGAGATAATTATAGTTTTTGATGTTGGGATTTGTATTTGTTTTGTGATGATGATTCATGTTTTGTTTTGTGATTTTAAAGTTTTTGGTTTTTGAGATAATGGTTTTTGTGGTGATGGTTCGTGTTTGTGTGTTGTGATGATGGTTTCGATATTTTCTATTATTTTCCCACGAATTTCCTCTGTATTGTGTATCCAAGGTTAAGCCTGCACAAGAAGAACATCAGGTTAGCCAAAAAAAAAAAAGAAGTTGCACGATTCTCATGTTTCCACCTGAAGACGATAATCTCTTCTCCGACATAGAGATTCCATAGCCCACCAGCAGCTTCCTCAGCCACAAGTCTGTTCAATGAAGATAAGCAACTCGAAGCCCTACAACATAATAACCAAATACACCTAAGTCTCAACTTCTCATTCACCTGATCTACACTCTTGGCGATGAAATCAACACTAACAAACTCAATTCAGGAAATACCTGAAATCAACACTTAGTTTTTCCATCTCTTCTCTCGGCATCTCTTAGCTTTCTCAATTTTAACATGAAACAATAAAAGACAACAAACAAGTTTGTGTTAGATCCAAAGTTTCATTTTACTATTTCTAATAGAATTATCATTTACATTCTTAATAAGAAACTGATTGATCTACATTAGTTGTAGAAACAAGTTGAACATAAGCAATCTCTAACGATCAAATGACTGGATACCATGTCTTGTTAGTTTAACAACTAATGTAAATCTAATCTGGTTTCTTATAAACTAATCCACGATTTTAATGAAATGAAAAACCAAAGAGAAGAGAGACATATCTTTGATGTCATTAAGAAACATTTCTCTGTTGCAAAACTTCGACTGCTTGAGCTGAAAATTTAATTAAAAAAATGACGACATGTCATAGAGTTGTATTTAAGTTCACACAATGGCTAATCATAAGAAAGAAATCCGAAAATTTCAATTAAACAGCAGCGTTTACTTAAATTTAGAGATGTTACCTTATCCATCCTCCATAGATATGATCAGATTCAGGGCAAACGTTGTTTGAACCTGAAAACAAAACGAGATAGTGCGTGAGAAAAGCCTGCTATTTATACACAAATCACAATGTAAAATCCGAGGAAAACGACTTACCAGAGATGATCTTCATGACAATCAGCAGATGATTTTTGTCCATCGCTATGAGGCTCTGGCTTGTAACTCTTGTCTTCTTGGGAAGCTCGGGTAAGCAGCTTGCTTTTTGATGTTCTACTTGAACTGACAGAGTTCTCTTAGGTTGGGCAACATTCTCACGAGCAGGACCACCTGCAGAATTGTTACCAATATCACTGATACAAGATGATAAAAATTTACCAGCCTTTGAAGTTCCAAGTGAAAACAAAACGAAAACTAACCTGAAACTGACAAATATATAACCATTTTCATATCTATAAGCCCAGAAGTCAGTGTATGATCAACTACAAAACCATTCTCCTTCGTTTAAAAAGGCCGCTTTTGGTAAAAAGATCCACTTGGCTCCCATTCTATACCGTATCCAACAGCATATTTCACATGCGGAATACAAATTCATATAACAGAGTCGAATTGGGATGAATCTTAGTTTCCATAAAACACAGATACTGTTTGTTTACCTCGTTACGGTGATAGCTTGCCAAGAGAGCAGCACGAAACTTGAACAATTTCTTAGCGTGGAGAGGGATCAAGCATTGCGCAGTAACGAAAAGGCCTGAGATAAGTCAAGTATTGTAATATATACATTCAGACCTTTGGTAAAGAGCAACAAGCCTTATTATATCTTTTTTTTAAATACAAGTGTTCCAAGCAACGAAGGATTAAACTAGGCTATCTTGGCTTCACTTGACTATCTTGGGCAAATGAGTGTTTATATGTTTCCATACAGACTTTTACCACAATATTTACGGAACAAGATCATTCACTAAGTTATCCACCATTTGTTTCAGGCAATTCCTAGAAAAGCAGCAAGAGTAAGAAAAAAAAATCAAAAGAGATTGATTCAAAGCGAGATTTTTAGGGTAGCTCCATCGAAGGTATGTAAAGAATATATAAAATGGTATTTAAAAATAAAATAATAATTAAAAAGTAAAAGAGAAGAAAAAAAATTAGAAACGTATATAATTGTTGCTTGTTTGGAGACGTATATAAGAACATTGAGATACTCTAAATTTATGTGGCATGTTATTATTGGTTTACTTTTTTAATTATTTAAAATTTAATTAAATTATTAAATTATATTAATATAATATATTTTAGAAACGGTATGACCGCTGTGGATGGTCTTAGTAACAATAATATAAAAAAAAATTAACAATATGTGTCTCGTAAATAATAAAAAAAAAGACGTGTAAGGCCCCGTAAAAGCTCATTTAAATATGGCACATTATAAGATATCAACAATGTGTCTCGTAAGGCCCATACAAGCCCATTTTCAGTTGACCTAAAAGCCCATCTGTTACGTTGAAATTGAGAACTAAAGCATGTCATTAAATTACTTAAGTTGAAAGGCAGTAAGAGCCGACTAAATTAATTATCTTTGGAAAAACAATAAACAAAAAGTCAAATAATTAATAAAAAAGATTATAAAGAGAGGTTAATTTGGGAGTAAACCATGTTCAAAAAGATGGGAAGAAGAGGATGAACATTGATAGACTCCACGATCATTAATAAATCAACTTTATAATATAAATCATGACGGTGCATCTAAGCCAAAGAAACAAATCTTTGTGCGATTTGATACTTGTTTCTTAAGTCACAAATGTGCGATGAATCTTCTTGGCACATATTAAGTGGATGCATATACTTTTTTTTTGTTGGCACATACTAAGTGGATGCATATACGAAGCCAACATTAATTTAAGTTCTGCTGTAATTATATATATGTAATAAAATTTGAAATATGCTCGTCTATAAAACAACGTTAAGTGACTTCCCGATTCATAAGCTTACGAGAAAAGCTAACGTGACCCACATGCCACATTAGAGCTTTTTTTTTTTTTTTTTGCTAAACACCATATAGTAGAGGTTATAATATATGATATTATAATTCCGATGAATTCACTATATTTATGTTTGCATCAAGTATGTATGTGTCATGTAAGTAGCAATGCCATGCGTAGATGGCCCCTCATGCATATATGAAGAACATCAAACGGGTCCACGCGTATAATGTATGTAATTTGCAATCCAAATGATTTGTCCTATTGGTCGTCGAAGTCAAACATGGAGACGAACCATATTGATACAGTTTATTTTTGTTTGTGCATATGAATTTGATCACTATATATGTGTATGTATATGTATAAGAGATGTTATATGTTTTTATGTCATGGCATGTGCAGTTATATGGCCTTACTCGTGAAGACCACGTGACTCGAAGCTTGGTTCAAACTTGACATGTTACATAACCTATATCTACTTTACAAGACGTTGATATAGATAAACTTAAGTTTCATAATACTTTGAAATAGAAAAGTAGTTACTCGTAAACTTCTTTTTTTTTTACAAAACTGAATTTGATATCAGATTCCTTGGTGGGTAACAAACTCGATAGAAAGGATAGATAGGGAACAATTACGAGACCGTGCTTATTCATTTTATCATCCAGCGTATGTCGTGGAAGTTCGATCTCTTTAAAACTGTTCGGAGGAAACCCCATAATTAGTCTAAAGTTTTGCTCTCATATCTTTAATTGCCTACGTACAACGTTTCAAATTACTATAATTTTCATGATATTCCATTAATTAAGTTTTCTTTTTTTTTCACACAAATTTAATAAAACACAATTTTAAGATCATAACGACATAATACTGAAGAAATTCTATGACTCTATGATTAGTATGTAACTAACTAATTCAGTTGACGTACAAATATATTTCTTATTATATCGTATTATCATTCCATGTTGCTTAATATATTGTCCGAGTAGTACTACGATCACGATAATTGACGAAAACTTTCTGGTACAACGACTACGCAAATCTCAGTTTGTATGGCTATGGTCGGTCATATGCAATTAAGACTTTTAAGTACAATACTCCTTTTAACAAAAACAAAAACAAAGTACAATACTCAATCAGTATTACTCATCACAGATTCTCGAATCCAACCAAATTATCCATCTCTTATTTCTCAAAGTACATGCCTCTACTATACATATTTTAATCGAATTATTAATTAACTCAGACAGATTTTTGGGGACTCAACCACCAACTTAATGCTCTTCACATGTAAGGATCACTTGCCGTTACGGCCGGTATAGCCGCGTATCATGCTCAAATTAAATAAACTTCGGTTAGTAAAGTTGTATTTATATAGTTCGTAGCACTAACAAAGCTCATGGCATTTTTTTATTTCTTTCATATATTATATATATGTTCATTTATAATAGGCTTAGCAAACCTTTGACCGGTATCTTCATCTTGTATAATGATTAGGCTATGATATGACACTTTATCCCATCGCAAATAATTACACAAAATAAATTAAATGGTTATACAAACGCCTCTCTTTAAATGATTGATTTCGGTAGCTATACTTGGAATTGTATTGTAAGTATAAATCTGTAATTATAATTGTAATCATTGGGACATATTAACCAACACCAACAGTAGTATTTGTTAGAATCGTTTCAAAGGTCGTTCATTCTATAGGTTTGTAAAACGATCCAAGTAAATTTTTAAAATGGGGGTAAAAATCAATTGTTCATCTTTGATATATTTCACACAGTTTTATTACTCGTATGAATAATAGGTTTCTAAAAAAACATCGTATAAAGTTTAAATTATTATCTTCTTCGTTATTGGTATCCGAACTTGTGATTTTAAAGAAAACAAACCCTTTAAATGACTATACATCAATTAAAGAAGATAGTTTGGTAAATTAGTTCATTAAGAAAATAGGATTTGACATGGACATTCTTATGCAGCGCAACGTACCTGGTATGCTAGTCCAATACTTTACTGCGGTAATTATACTGAAGATTTTTATTCGTCAATTGCATGTAATTTTGCTTCATGGAAGATTTTGGAACTACATTTGACTCTCCTCATTTGCTTTCTCAATTGACCAATTCCCGCCATTGCAATAATAAGATTAATTAATTAGTTAATCGACATTAATTAAGCCTCCTTGTGATATGCCTTAACTAACGTTAACGACCATTATAGGCAAAGGAGAATGTATCACAACCAATTCAGAAATTATACAAATGAAAGCTACAAATTAAGAAACACATATTTATGAAATTAAAACATATATATAAGTATATTTAAAAAGAGTGAATTACATTTTATGGGTACAATACATGCAAACTTTCATTAAAATTACAACGGGATATATATATTATATATATAGCCACTGCAAATCCACATTCGGACTGAGTGCATTTTTAACACATATAACAAACACTTATAGTAACAATTTTACACCCGAAAAATTGCATAAAAACTCACCCAAACGTTTATAAATATTACACATAAATAATGATAGTATATATATCTTGGAAAATGAAAAATACTTTTCCAAAATATAAAAAAATGAAGGAAATAAAGAAGAAGAAAAAACCTTGAAGTTTTATTTTTGTTCGTCGTCTCAAACTTAGGGAGATGAATAAGTTCATCGTTCATCAGGTACACGATCGGACCATGAAACCCGGAAAACCCAGTTAGAGACTGTCTTCTTCCTCAAACTCTTGAGCCTTTCATGGCTGCTTCTTGATATCATCCGTCCACAGTCTGTGGACTCTACGAAAGTTTTGAGCCTCTTCAAGGCCAAATCGAGTGTATCTTCGCTCATATTAGCGAAACAAACCCTAAACCAACCCGGTTCGGTGCAGTGACACGACGAACCGGGCGAGATGTTTAGTTTCACGTTGTAAACAATCTTTTTCCAGAGGTCAAGCTCTGCTTCGAATGTGTTTGTGTCTAAGAGGTGTCTCATGTCGACCCAACAGAACAAACCCGCGTTGCTTCTAAGGCAAGTAATCCCCGCGGACTCAAGACCAGACACTAGGCGTTTCTGTCTGGACTTGAGCCGTTTCTGGTTCTCTTCGAGGTATTGGCTTGTGAACTTTTTGTCTGAGAGCAATGCAGAGAGAAGGTATTGTGTCTGAGAAGAAACAAGACCGAAACTCGACATTTTTGTAGCTGCGGAAACGATCATTTCGTCGTTCGAGTAGATTGCTCCCACGCGGAAACCAGGAAGTCCCAGATCTTTGGATAGGCTGTAAACGACGTGGACTCGTTTCGAGACATCGGTGTTTTCGAGTTTCTTGTCTTTTAGGACATCCATTACGCTTATGAACTGTTCAAACCCGAACATAGTGCCTGAGTAGATCTCGTCGCTAATGAGATGAATGTTCTTGGAAGTGATGAAGTCAACGAGAAGGTTGAGTTCACGCCTAG